TAACCTATTACAAGAAAATATCTGAGCCCTGTATCAATAAGAGATACTCAATGGACCAGAAAACAGTTTCAGAACAGAAAATGTTTTACAGCCATTTTTATCATCTGCTGTAAGGTGGTTGAATGATGCCACCTGCTGGACACAAATAGTGTATTTGCAGAACAAACATGAGGCGATTTGCTTGCCATATTTTGTCCACTGTTGCCATCATCTGGATGAACTGTGAAAAAATAATCTTCTTTTGTAACAAAGTTGACATTTTAACAACAGTAGACCCCTTGGTGCTATATAGAACCATTTTCAAAAAAGTTTTATAGAGAACCATACACAACACATTCTCCATCAATCTGAAGAACGATTTTTCCATAAGGTTTTGGAAAACTTCATTAAAAAATGTATTGCTGGTCACAATTGTGTTACAACTTGGAAACTACAGATTCAAAAGCTGTACAGGTTGACCACTCAGAAGAATAATTGAGTTAATGAAGAATGAAAAGTGTACATACGAAAGAGTCAGGACAGAATGTGAAATGCAAAAAAAATAGAAAGCAGTGATTAGTAAAGGTGGTTTGACCTGTATTTAAAGCAAAGCAGTACAGAGATATTTCTGTTTTACCTTAGCAATTTCATTTTTTTTTTTAATATACTCACACTCTGAAATTGGTGCCTGCAACATGGTACAAAAAAGTTGGGACAGGGACACTGGAATGTTGTGAAATGTTCAAAAAACATGTGAAGCGCTCATGCTTTTGAATAAAAGGGGCATCCAGGAAAGGCCTAGTCCTTTATGAGCAAGGATGGGTTAAGGCTCCCCACTTTACTAAAGAAATGCATCAGTGAATAATCCAACAGGTTAAGAACAATGTTCTTCAATGAATGATTGCAATCACTTTCACTCTGTAACATGCATAAAATCATCAAAAGATTCAGAGAATTCGGGGGAATTTCTATGCAAAATGGACAAAAGCCACAACTGAATGCCTGCGACTTTTAGTCCTTCAGACAGTACTGCATTAAACCCAGCATGTTTCTGTGACTGATGTCACACATGAGCTTGAGAATACTTTAGCAAACTGCAAGTTAAGATTGTCCTATGCACAGCAATATGCATAGGACATATGACATGGCCATATGTCAACAACGTCTAGAAACACCATCAACTTCTCTGGGCATGAGCTCATCTGAAATGGAATGGTGCACAGTGGAAATGTGTACTGTGGTCTCACAACCACTAAGAGTGTTTATAGAAATAACGGATGCTGGATGAATAATGGATCCAGATAGTTACCAGAGTAAAGTTCAGACATCAGAGTCTGTAATGGTATGGTGTATGCTTTTTCAGGGACATTCTTGCTTGTTTCAACACTACAACGCCATGTTACAACAGGATGGCTGTTACTCAGAGAGTGTGGGTGCTAGACTGGCCTGTCTGCAGTCCAAAACTGTCTCTCATTGAAAACATCTGGTGCATTACAACAAGGAAAGGCCCCTACAGTTGTGCAGCTGAAGACTTGTATAACAGAAGAATTGCAAAGAATTTTGTCTTTAGAAATAAATCACTTTGTGTCTTCAGCCCCCAAACGATTAATGTGTTATTAAAAAAGAAGACAATGTAACACAAGGTAAACATTCCTCTGTTTTGAATTTGGAATGAGCATTTATTTCCAAAAACAATGAGGTGCTCAAGGTAAAACATTAAATATTGTGTTTTTGTGCTGTTTTCAATTTAACACACTGAAGGCAGAGTTCACTAATCACATTCTATTTTTATTAGCATTTGACATACTGTCCCATTTTGAGGTCTGTAAAAATGCTGTGGCAGCTTGATTTAATGATGGAAATCATGCATGTAGTCTCTGTTGGGTCATCCTGTTTTAGCATATCCAAAACTTCAGTCAAGCTGTATGAAAGAAAACTATTGGTAGGATTAGTAACAGCAAATGTGAGCCTCCCACTGGTCACAGCTGTAACTGTTTACCTTGTTTTGTATAAGGTTTAAATAAGTTAAGAATTAATAGAACATTTGGTGTTTGATTTGATGTGACTATTCAAAAAATCTTTAAAAATAGTGAACTTAAAGAAAGTAATTGTAATCTGATTATACATACTTTCTCTGATTACAAAAACTTGAATTTTGTAACTTGTACACAATTTTCAAATGTATTCCATTACTTTCCATCACTGACTATGGACCATTTAGTTTAGCGGTCAAAAGAATTCTGCGGGAATGCCCACTGTAGCGAGGGAGTGCCATGGGTGACTCAGTTAATTAATGTTATATGTGAGCCTTCATACCCAGGCAGAGCACCACCTTCAGTTTGGCACACACTATTGCAGGATGTTAAGTCATAGTGTGGCAGCCATAAGACAACACTATAAAAACCACAATGAACAAAAGAGTCCTTGTCCATCCCTCCACCCCTGAAGAGACTAATGTGGAAGAGACACACTAAATGAGGAATTTTGCATAAAATAAAGCCTTAAGGTTTGTCAGACAATGTAACAAAATGAGCAGCTGATTCATACTTATCCATAGGCATCAATCTATCATGAGTTGTTCACAGAGAGCAATTTCAAAGTGCATCTACAGACGTAACTCCTTTGAGTCACCTCTGCAAAGGATTTATGCATGGTCAGAGTACAATATTTCAAAAGAAGGGCCTACACATGTTGGCTCATATCCCTAAGTGTCTTCCCCACTTTCCTAGCAGACAGAATGTTACAGTCCAGGACACTGTGAGCAAAAACTTACAGTAAAAAACACAAAGCCGCATGGATCACATGGTGAATCATGGGTCTGTGTCTAATATGAAATGATGGACTTTCTCAGGAGAAAGAAATGGAAACTAAACAGTAAGATGTACGTAATGGAATGTTAGAGCTATTAAGGAAGGTGATTCAACACCTCTAAATTGAATTAATTTTTGTTCAATTAGATGCTGAAAACATTTCAGTGAAGCAATTAGCCTTGTGTGTCTGGAGTGTGTAATGATAATATCCTGTTTAATATCTTGCTTTTAAAAGCTTAATTGAAATATAGCACACAAGTTGAAGAAAACTATACTGTATCATTTTAGATCTCTCTAAATAAATGAATGGATGAATGACAAAAATGTTCTCACCACAACTAATCTTAATTGTATAATAACAGGGAAGCTGATCTTGGCGGTGTTGGTTTCTCTTCACTGGGAGTGAAAAGTAAACTAAGCTGACTGGTATTGTAGGTTCAACTGAATCATGTTGAAAGCTTAGGAAACAGTGACGTATCACCTAACATTTCAAGAGGGACATCACATCCCAACAGGGTGAATTAGATCATAATTCCTCAGTGGGAACCAAAATTTTTCTTTCTGTCACTCTTCTTAACTCTATGTCCAACAAAAAGTTTAGTATGATAAGTGAACTAGTCAAAGATCTTTTTCTGATTGGCCTAAAGCAGGGGTGCTAATCTTTTTGTCATGGTGGGGCTAATGTGCAATCTTTGTGGTGGGCTGAGGGCCAAAAAGACCAAACAATATTCAGATAAAGAAAGCAGTTATGTAGGAGTTTTTAAAAATGTATTTTGCAACATTACACTGTGTTTTGTACTTCAAAAATACAAACTGAAAGGAACATAATGAATCAAGTTATATATAGTGTAAAATACACCGATCAGGCAAAACATTATGACCAGCTCCTTGTTTCTATGCTCATTGTCCATTTTATCAGCTCCACTTACTATATAGGTGCACTTTGTAGTTCTACAGTTACAGACTGTAGTCCATCTGTTTCTCTGCATACTTTGTTAGCCCCCTTTTACCCTGTTCTTCAGTGGTCAGGACCCCCATGGACCCTCACAGAGCAGGTAGTATTTGGGTGGTGGATCATTACCAGCACTGTAGTAACACTGATGTGGTGGTGGTGTGTTAGTGTGTGTTGTGCTGGTACGAGTAGATCAGACACAGCAGTGCTGCTGAAGTTTTAAAACACTGTGTCCACTCACTGTCCACTCTATTAGATACTCCTACCTTGTCAGTCCACCTTGTAGATGTAAAGTCAGAGACGATAGCTCATCTGCTGCTGCACAGTTTGTGTTGTTCATCCTCTAGTCCTTCATCAGTGGTCACAGGACGCTGTTGGCTGGATATTTTGGGTTGGTGGACTATTCTCAGTTTAAAAACTCCAGCAGCACTGCTGAGTCTGATCCACTCATACCAGCACAACACACAATAACACACCGCCACCATATCAGTGTTACTGCAGTGCTGAGAATGATCCACCACTCAAATAGTACCACTCAAATAGTATAAAATGGACAATGAGCGTAGAAACAAAGAGGTGGTCATAATGTTATGCCTGATCTGTGTATGTTTCTTCTCTCATTAGGTGAAGGGCTTGGGATAGTTTAATTTTCTGGCAGGCTGATCAAATGTCCTCAAAGGCTAGTTTTGTCAGATGTAATTTATGGTTATGAAATTTTGTGCAGATATAACTTGCATGAACCTCCAGCGGTACCAATGTGATTTTTTTTTTGATTATGTGTAATTTTCATACCATTACTCATAATCAAATTTTGATTTTTATTGTTTTTGTTAAAAATCAGTAGCTCTGTGTGACCAAAAGACCAAAGTTAATATGATAAACTGAGTGATAAAAAGCTGACAATGAAGTGCTAAATGCTCATTTTTAGTCATATGATTTGATGGATTTGAAAAATGTTTATTTTTAAGGAAGTTTAACATTTCAGTCATGGACATTATTCGGTCAGTAAAGGTGAATAACCCCTGTTTTGGAAGTAGGCAGGTAAACAAGCCAAAATCATGGAAGAAGCAGGTTAGAGTAAGTGTTTCAAATCACTGCACAGATAGACAGATGATAAGACCAGCTAGTTTAAAGTGGGCCGGGAGCCCATGTTGCAGTGCAGCCCTGTTTTAGGAGAATTGCAGTCTCCTCCCACCAGAGTTGCCTGGCTTGGATGGGCGTCTGCAACAACTGCAGCTGCTACTTAAAGCTGGCTTGCACATGTTCTGATTAGCTCACTGTAAGAGGTAGAAGCAACGTGCTGTCACTGACGTTCTTGTGCTCCTCTGAGGATGATAGCAGTGCACATCATAACCGCTGTCTTTACCTTAGGACTCATCCTGAAAGAGACTCAGGCTTGGGGGTACAAGAATGGGATACTTCACAACTCCATTTGGCTTGGTAATTATTATCTCTTCTTTACTTTTTAAATGATATGTGAAGTATTGGATTACAGTTGACATACGTAAAGAAATGATACACTGTATCTTGAAAGTAATGTAAGAGCAGACGTAATGATGTTCTAGGAAAGGCTTTTTGGCAAACTACCTCCTTAAAAGGAAATGAACTGCTTGGTGTGCCAAAGCCTCTGTCATGCACTTCTATAACTTAGGAATTATTCTGCAATATTACACTGTAGTACTGAATAAAAAGTGTAGAATGTAATAAGCACTGGATTTTAAGGGTTTATTTATTTATTTTGTGAAACACTGAAAAGACCTTTGGAATATGGTTTCAGTGTTATCTTTTTCTCATAAGAACCAAAGATTTGCATATATCTGGCTGTCTAAAACAAAGCACTGTGTATGTAGTGAGTATATGTGGTGTGGGTGTTTGTGTGCACACTGGTCACTCACCAACTCTAGGGCATTTATGACCCTCTCAATGCTGACAGTCCCTCCTGCCTCAGTCTTGTAAACTCTGGGAAATTACTTCACTATGGTGCAAGACACCACAATGTTTTATTCAAATTACAGAGATACAGTGTGGTAATGATCTCAGAACAATTCAGCACTGACAACACACTGGAAAAAAATGTTAGGTTTTTTTTTCATGTGAGTTTACAAGATTTAAATGTGTCAGTTTGTTGCGTGTTAATTAAATATATTAGGTCAACAAGCCTGCTTTCTTTCACTTTGCTTCTTTTGGCAAGAATTGTGTTAATCTAACACATTTCATTCATGTGCAACCAGCTGACACATTGAATCAAATAAATTTAAAGAACCTTTTTTTTCAATGCAGATCTAAAAAAAAACATCAGTGAACATTAGTGATTTTTACAAATCATTTCCACGTATTCCTCTCATTTTACAGGCATGTTTATTAGTCTCTAAAAGTTAGATGGTTATGTTACCCCACTACTTTAAAAGAATAAGCTGCTTGAAAGTAATACCAGTCTTTCCCACTACAGCACATCTGGAAAGCATAAACAAGCTGTTTACACATCCTGCATCATGGGACTTGCCTTTATTTCTAATTTGAGAGGAGTGAGGTGGGAGCACTCCAGGGTGTGTGTTGTTCTTAGGCACCTTGATGGGAGAAGCCAGCAAAGCTCGTTAGCAATCTAAGGGGCTTCAGCTTCTACAAGGTTATGCATGCGTGATGTCAAAACAAGTCAAAAGTAGCTTGCTGTTCCAAGAGGCATGGAAACTGTGACAGATGCCAGCTTGGAAACGTGAAACATTTGCCTCAGCTGTTTAATTTATCACATCCAAAAGCAGCTGGTTCTTAAACATTCAGTATATTTCTCTCATACAGTGTTTTTGGCTGTTCGTCCCCTTTGCTATTAAACATCTCTAGACAGAGTTTTCTGTTTTAGATGGTGTCCTCGTAGCAAAGAACATCTTCAAAACAGGCAGTTTAGAGAATCACTTAACAATTCAAATGTACACCTTGTTCTTCTCCATAACGGAGAACCTGTTGTTCATGGTTGATTAAAGCAATGGTTCTCAAATTGATTCTCAGGGCTTCTCAAATGGTGCAAAACTTTGCTCTCTCCCTATATATTGAGATCTAGCAAAGATGTGGATTGCATGGAGGTTCCTGAGGAATGGTTTTGAGAACCACTGCTTTAAAAAAACATCTGGAAAATATGAAAGGGTCCTGCTCAGAGCCTTTTTGGTACTATACAGAACCCTTTTTGATAAGTGTATAGATAATAAAGCACCTAACAGTTGGAGACATTGAGCAGACCCTGCAAGATTCGCTTGTAGGCCGACTTGTGCTTTGAAGCTGATAATGGCGCTGAATGAGGGGTTTCTCTCTCTACAGAACAAGCAGCTGGAGTTTACCACCGGGAATCTCGCAAAGGAAGATATCAGCTGACATATAAGGAGGCCAAGGCCGTCTGCGCGTATGAGGGGGGAACACTGGCCACTTACGATCAGCTGGAGGCCGCCAGACAAATAGGTCTCTGTCGCCAGTTTTTCCAGTTTTGGCATTGGTCTGATACCACTGAGAAGTGAGGAGGAGATGATGCTTCATAGGTTTATGTTGAAAACTAGGCAAGATCAACACTTGAGCTGTCTTGGGGCTTATGGGTACAAACAAAAACCAGATGGAGCTTTAATCTGCCCCAAATAAATTCTGCAGATAGTCAGTGTGGTTTTAAGACTGCCATTTTATACAAGAAACAGATCTGTTAAACAAATGTTTTGTTTAATAAATCTCTCATGTGTACACATTGTGTAAATAGTAAAAGAAAATGGGCCTAATTCACCAATATCTTCAAGTTTTTGTGTAAATTTGTTCTTGAGAAAGATCCTATGAAAAAGTTCATGACACATTCTGAAATGCACCTTTGTGCTCTTGAGTGTGTGTAGATTCTGTTCTTACCTAAGAACTAATCCCAAATAAGAAAACATTGGTTTGTAAAAACTACATAAGTGGGTTTTAAGAAGAGATGGTTAAGAAGAACCGTTGGTAAATGAGGCCCATTGTACATGTTCTGTCACCGTAGCTTGTAGAGTCTGCAAAATGTATCTTTTTACTTTTTCAGTTAGATTTCGCTGTATGCAGTCTCTGCCTTAGGGCTGTTAATTGTTTGTGATTGGAAGTGGCTTATACACATCCAGAGAGGCCTGCCTGTCTTTTCTTAAGTCCTCAAATTGTACCAACATGCTTTAGAACACTGTAGGTCTTTATTTCTCAAAGCCCCAAACACACAGCAGATTTCCTATGATTACCCGCTTCCTCTGGGACCAGGTAATTTTCTGGGGAACTTTTAAGTTTATTAAGACCAGATGATCTACCAAAAGAATAGGATTTGTGCAATAATTAGGTTATTTACAAACAAAAGAAGATAAGATGAATTGCTGGACTGTCCTGATACTACTAATGAACTTTGTGAAAAATGTTTTTTTATTCAGTGACGCAAGAACATAATAACATTTCTCTATGTCCCAAAGGCTTTCATGTGTGTGCAGCTGGATGGTTTGATAAAGGCCGTGTGGGATATCCCATTGTCAAAGCTGGGGCCAACTGCGGCTTTGGCAAGGTTGGAATCGTCAATTATGGTTATCGGCTAAACAAAAGTGAGAGATGGGACGTGTACTGCTACAACCCTAACTGTGAGTAAGACTAACAGACAAATGGTAGTGAGGTCATTCTGGGAGGGCTGCTAATCGCCCATGGACAGTGTCTTTAGCAAGGAAATCACACAGTGTTCTTAGAAAAATCCTCGAAGTGGGCTGTCTGGATAGTGAGTGGAGTTACCATTGGGAGTCATCCTGATTTGCATGTGTGGTAAGCTCTCAGAACTTGTTTTATTTGCTGAATCACACAGACATTAGTCTCTATGGACATAGAGACATAAGTGTTGAGCTCTGTGTCAGCCAACTATGTGGGCAAGCTGATTTGTGGTCTGCACTGAGACTCATACAACTGAGACGACGAACCAAGGAAAATATGATAACTGTTTAATCACACCATGACCAATGGGTAATAACACGGGCCAGTGAATTTCAGCATAACAAATGATTCCAAGCACATGTACAACTTTAACACCAACAAATTTACATTTACCAGTATATTTAGCTTACAGCAGTAGACAACAGTAGAAAAAACAGCATGTTTAATTCTGAGGGATTAAGAGAGATTAGAAAATGAATTAGTTTTTGGTACATAAAGCCACATAAACATCACAAGTAGGCATTAGGAGAAAATAAAATGCGATCATTATAAGTGCAGAAAGTTTTTTAAACATTTAATTAAAAGGAAACTTCTAAGAACATTCTACACTTATTTGTAATGATTGAATCTGGGAAAACCATTAGAAATGTCAAAAATATCCTGAATACAAAATTAACATTAGTGAGGCTTGGTGGGACTGCATCCTGATGGCAGTGCACTACTAGAAAGCCAGTTATGTTTGGCCTGGGATGGACACATTCTCTTGAATTTCAATTTATTGATAGCAAAAGGAAGAGAATTTATAACACAGGAGACTCCAAGTTAACTGTGATCTTGAATAACAGCATGTTTTACTCATTTTGTCTTACAGAATAGAATACAGTACAACAAGATATTAAAACTGAGTTTTTGGCTGTGGTCATTGTTATGGCCTCACTAAACTTAAGAGAGGAAAAACTGTAACTAAAAGAGACATGTTATAATCAAACATACAAACATACTGTAGACATAATATGATGTCTTATAACACTGAAATATGACTGATGTAAGATTCAGATAAGATTAGGAAGGTTTGGGAGGTACAGAACTAGTGAGACATTCCTTTCTGCACATCATCAGTGTCCAAACAATTTTTTTTGGCAGTTTACTCCCTACGTTTTCCTACATTTTGTTTCAAATTTAGAAAAAAATTAAGATTTTGTGGTTCTATCTAACTTTACCTTTTTCAATACAGCAAAAGAGTGTGGTGGTGTGCATACAGACCAGGAGAAGGTTTTACAGTCACCTGGTTATCCGGATGAGTACCCTGATGAGCAGATCTGCTACTGGCACATCCGCCTGCGCTACCGCCAGAAGATCCGATTGCATTTCCTCGACTTTGATGTAGAAGATGACACAGACTGCCTCAGTGATTATCTGGAAATCTACGACAGCTATGACGACATCTCAGGTTTTGCTGGAAGGTGTGGAGTCCACAAATCTGCCAACAGCTCATTCATGCATTCATGCGTTGCATTTGCAGGCCTTGAAATGTTTCTTATAAACTTGTTCTCACATGTACACTGTATGTCCAAAAGGTTGTAGATACTTTTTTTTTAAATTAAGGGTATTAATAGGGACTTTGTCTCCTTTGCCGCAGTTACAGCCTCTACTCTTTTGAGAAGGCTTTAAACTACATGTTGGAACATTGTTGTGAGGATGTGTTTGCATTGAACCATGAGAACATTAGTGAGGTCAGATATCAATGATGGATTATTAGCTCTGGCTCACAAACATCACTCCAACTCATCCCAAAGGTACTGGATGAAGCTCCGTCACTCCAGAGAACACAGTTCCACTAGCTGGTGCTTGGCATTGAGCTTGGTAACGTCTGGCTTATTGGGGGCTGCCATAGAGCATCTTGTTCTATTAATATTGCTTTCCTATGGAGATTATTTAAGCTCTCAGTGCGCAGTTTAATGCCTGTATCAGCAATGGATGAATTAGAAGTGTCAGGATACTTTTGGACAAATAGTGTATGTACCACAAATTTCTTAACCTAATCTGTTTTATTATCTCTAATCTATTTTGTCTCTGTAGGTACTGTGGGGATGAACTGCCTGAAGAATTTATTAGTACAGGTATAATTTATTATGATGATCATCACAATCACAGTTTAATTGATGTCATGTCGATTAGCAGTTCCTCAGAATGATTGCTCTGGCTTGTATGTTTATTGCTCTGGTACACTGTTTAAATGTAAATATATTAATACCTAATAAATGACATAGTTACATAATTAAATACATTCACATCTGATTCACATAATGTATTAGCAGTTTTTTTTTACCAAAACAACACTTCACATTCAAATCATAATAAAGTACCTCTCTATCTGATAATAACAAACATGGGGTAGTGTCTATTGAATGTTTAGACAGCATTTATGGAGAGTTTTTTTATTAATCATTGGACATGCATCTATATTTAATTATTATTTATTTTTATTTTTAGTTGTTCTCTTTGAGCAGGAATCTCCGAGTGTGAAATATTTCCATTTGGAGAACACAGGCACTGTTAGATGATGTACAAGCTAGCTAGCCACCTGCACAGCCTCAGATAAATTTATTCTTTTTTGAACATTGATGAGTAACTTCTCACTTTGTTATTTCTCCAGGTAATGTCATGACACTGAAGTTCCGCTCTGATTCCTCTGTGTCTGCTGGAGGTTTCCAGCTGCACTACATTGCTGTAGATTCATCTGAGCTCTCCAACAACGAAACAAGCACTTGACCACTCCAGACACTGTATCTTAAGAGTGTTCTTTTTTAAGTTATGTGTTTGTGTTTTTGAAACTTACCCACCCTGTAAAGAAATGTGTAGTGTGTCTCTTTTTTTTGTATTTCAGTGTCATACTTTTGTGCCATTCCTTTGTGCCTTCTGTAAAAAATAGGCTACAATGACAGCGAGTGATCATAGTGAAAAAATAACGAGAAGTTACATTAAATGCAATGTACCTACTGACCAACACTCCTGTTTTTTTTAAATATCTTTTCAAAGGTTCCGAATCTGGACAGTGACTGGTTATATTTAAGCTTATGGCATTGTTAATAGCTGTAGGCCATAAAACCATGTGATACAAAGACTTTGTGTACTGTACTGATTTGAACTGTGCAGCACTTTGTGAAAGCTTTTCTCTAAAAAGTGATTTTTTAATTAGGAGCACATTTCACTGCTTGAAATTTGAAACAGATGAATTTCTTCAAACACTTCGACACTGTTTTATTAGTGTTAAAACTTCATTATAAGTTCTAGAATAAAGAATTAGATGTGATTACTTTTTGAAATTCTCACTTTTTGTTGAAAAATTTAGCTAAAACTAGGAATTGCTAACTGGATGGCTAAAATGCAATATAATAATAATAATAATAATAATACATTATACTTATATAGCACTTTTCAAGAACTCAAAGACGCCTACAGGTTTTCGAAATACAGAACAGTAAAGACAAACATGAGAACATGAAGCACAGTCATAACATCACAAGCAAAACATAGCAGGACTTGGCAAAGGGCTGGTTTAGGATTGAGGACAGTTATAAGCAATAGAAAAGAGATAAGTTTAAAGTTTAGATTTAAAAGTGGAGACAGAGTTGGCCTGTTGAATATGTGAGGGAAGAGAGTTCCAGAGTCGGGGAGCCAGCCTAGAGAAAGCACGATCACCGTACCCATGTAGTTTGGAAGGTGGGACAGTGAGTAAACCAGCAGAGGAAGACCTGAGAGTGCGAGTTGGTTTGTAGGGAATAAGTAGATCAGAGAGGTAAGAAGGAGCAAGGATATGTAGAGCTTTGTATGTGAGGAGAAGAATTTTGAATTGTATGTGGTATTTTACAGGAAGCCAGTGGAGATGTTGCAGGATGGGTGTAATATACTGATGTGCACGGGTGTGGGTGAGAAGGCGAGCAGCAGTGTTCTGTACCATCTGGAGTTTGCATAAATGGGAGGAGTTACCAGCAAGTAGAGGGTTACAATAGTCCAGGCGACTAGAAATGAATGCATGAATAAGGGTTTCTGTAGCAGACTGAGAGAGTGACGATCGAATTTTTGCAATGTTACGGAGATGGAAAAAAGAGGTTTTAACTACAGAGTTGATGTGTGCACTGAATGAGAGAGTTGAGTCAAAGAGAACACCCAGATTTCGTACCAGAGTGGAAGGGGACACAGTTAGATTGTCGATGGAAAGAGAGAAAAGAGAAGTTTTAGAGAGAGTTGATTTGGATCCTATAAGAATAAGTTCTGTTTTGTCACTATTTAACATGAGAAAGTTGTGCTTCATCCATATTTTAATTTCTGTTATGGAGTTTTCAAGCTGGGTGAGGAGTGGATTTTTAATAGATTGAGTGCTAATGTAAATCTGTGTGTCATCCGCATAACAGTGAAAGTTCAGCTCGAAACTACGTATTATGTGGCCAAGCGGAAGCATGTACAAAATAAACAAAAGAGGTCCAAGAACTGAGCCTTGAGGGACCCCCTGAGTAACCACAGACGTGTGAGAAATATGGCCACCGAGGGTGACAAACTGTTTTCTGTCAGTCAGATATGACTTAAACCACTCCAGGACAGTGTCCCTAATGCCCAGATCATGCAGCCTTGATAGGAGGATTGAGTGCCTCACTATATCAAAGGCTGCACTCAAGTCAAGTAGTAGAAGGATGCTAAGGGCACCAATATCGGCAGACACCAGGAGGTCATTAGTGACCTTTATTAAGGCAGTTTCTGTGCTATGAGAGGGACGAAATCCGGACTGGAATGGTTCAAAGAGGCAGTTAGCTGATAAGTAATACTGAAGTTGGCTAGCCACAGTTCGTTCAAGTACTTTGGACAGGAAAGGGAGGTTAGAAATGGGGCGGTAGTTACTGAGCTCTAGTGGATCAAGGCCAGGTTTTTTAATTATAGGTGTGATGGCAGCAATCTTGTAAGCAGAGGGTACCTGTCCATAGAGAAGCGAGTTATTGACAAGAATTGTGAGATGAGGAAGCAGGGCAGAAAGACAAGATTTAGTTAAGGTTGTTGGAAGGGGATCAAGAGAACAAGTTGTAGTTTTAGAAGTAGTTATGGTGTTTATAATGGAAGAAGAATCAACAGTGTTAAAGGTAGAGAGATTAGAGGAGGGGGGCTGGGGCTTATAGAATGGACAGTCAGGGAGGAAAGGGAAGAGATATTATCAGTAGGGGATAGCAGAAAGCTGTTGATTCGTGCAATTTTTGATTCAAAGAAATGTAAAAATGAGTCGCAGAGTGCAGGGGAGGCAGCCACATTGCACAGATACACACTCTGTATGAAAAGTGCCTTTTAAGTTATTGTCAGAACACATAAGGTAGATGTTACCATGAATCTAAAACTTTTTGTTGCTTTATTATTAAGCAGAAATAAAAATCTGGGTAGGGAACAAGATTAAAAATGGTGACATTATGGTACACTTTTTTTTTTTATTTCACACAAACAAAAATCCACTACTATTACTTCTATCACATTTATAAATACTATTTTTGTAACACAGGGAATGGAGGTATGATTGAAAAATCACTTTAATACATTTTGGGTAATTTAATCATTCTGCCAGAAGCAAAAGTGTATTGAAAAAATCCAAACTGACTGATGTGTAACAGAAACCAAAAGAGTGCTGCTGCAGGAAAGTTCACCAGTATGGAGATTCTGTACACTCTTTAAAAAGATGGTTCTTCGAGGGATCTTGGTTCTATATAGAACCATGAACACTCAAATCACATCACGTTCATTGTCACATCACATTCACACAGGTGCAAACGTGAGTGAAAACCTTATAATAGAAATAGTTCTAGCAGCAAAAAAAATGGTTCTTCTATTGTTACAAGCTTGACATCGTACTGATATCAGAACCTTTTTTGGTAGAATATAGAACCATTTTCAAAAAGGTTCTATGTAGACCCATATACAACACATTGTCCATCAATCCATGCAAAGAACCCTTCAAGTATGTAAAGGGTTCTTTGAGTGTTCATGGTTCTATACAGAACCACTATCTTTACTGCAGAACCCTTGAAGAACCATCTTTTTTAAGTGCGGTCCTCTCCTACTGAATTATTCATAAGCGGGCGGTGACTACGTCGGGTGAAAGGTGACGCTGTTGAGCGCGCCTCGTTTGGCGCCAGCGTTTTCGCGGGGTTGGAGGAGCTGAAGGAAACTTCGCACTTGTGACAGTCACAGTTTTTTGTTTTGTGTAACATCCCTCGGTTGATTTGGTTCACGTTGCCCTGTCCGTCCATGTTGTCTTTTGTTGGTTGTGTTCCTTTAATAACTGTGAGGTGAGTGAATGTGATGTTTTGTTGTTGTTTTTCGTGTGTCGTGCTTAGCTGTGCTGACTGGAAGGGGGTTGGGTGGGTTAGCAGCGTGCTGGTATCAGGAGCTCCACAAATGAGGCCGCTAACGGGCTAAACTGGGCTCCATTTCCACCTCACTTCATCTCCGTAAACGCAGCGTGATTTTACTGAAGAAAAACTAGTGCTATGTACGTTAGCTGTGTGTTAGCCGTTTCAAACTCGCTCACCAAATGTTTAAAACCTCTGGCTGCGTGTCATTAGCTGGGAGCTGTTGCAGTGTGTGTACAGGACGCTAAACGGAGGCAGTGGCTAGCTAACGTTCACTAAAACGGTGTAAATCTGTAGCTACGAGAAAATAAATTGTTGACAGCCGAATCAAACACTGGTTATAAAGGTCATAACGTCGCGTTAGCTGCCTGTTAGGCTGCTGTAAACCCACTTCTAGCCAGTTGGTAAACGTTAGCCAAGTACCGAGCAGGGTGAAGGCAAGGAAGCTAACCTGGTTAACCTAACCGAGCTAACGTCACCGTCTACGCTTAGACCTTTACTGAATGACCGATGCTTCGTTCTCTGGACAGTAAATACTTGATCATACACATTTTTTTTAGATCCTGTCTAGTGTCAGTTTGTTGGTTCCTTGCGTCTCTAGCTTCACTGCCACCTGTTAGCTGACATGCACAAATGATAAAGACCCTCCTCATAGTCACGTAGCCAGTAAAGTCGATCCACTTTAACGTACTGATTTGGTGTTAAAGCTGATTAATGTAAATTAACCTCGATGATCTCCGCAGCATTTTCAGCGCTGGTAACATTATTCGTATTGATTCACTTTAGAAACGCATGTCTGGTGTAGATTTCGTGATAGTTAACCACTAGCTGTGGATCCATAAAGTGTATATAATGTTTAGTAATTGCTGTCCGTAACTGTCTTGGTGTGTTCAGTAACTTAATAAGCTACAAAACCTAAGTTAGTGGTTTAAAGTATTCTTTAAAAAGCTCCCTTGCATAACTTATAATGCCATTTTTCCCAACAAGTTTCTGGCTGTTGCCTACTAGAATTTATGGAAGTCCAGATTCTGGGTAGATGTTTGTTTGCATGTTAAGTGCTGTGCAGTGCATAGTGTCTTGTTTTCCTACTCTTGGATGTGAAAATGGCAGCATGGTAGGGCACCTAAAAAACACTGGTGGAATGATTGTGTTCCTGCAGGGTGTGAGGATGATGGCCACGGTACCTCTCTCTAGCTCCAGCCTTCTTCCTCTCCTGGAGTCTCTGGAAGATAATGCAGCTGGAGCATCAGAGCAGACTGACGCTTACCTCACCATTGCCAAGTGAGTGATACAGTTTGTCTACTGTCTAACTTACTGCATCTGCCATTGGTTGTCTTACTTATTGAAATGGTTATACTTGCCATTTCATATCACATCCCTAAGCATCAAATGATTTTGCTTTTAAATTTTTAGTCGGCTCAGCGGAGAAGATGGGAGACAGTTCTTTCCTATAGTCGTAAAGCACTTTTCACGACTGGGTAAAGCTCTTCAGGTGAGAGTGGGTGCCATGTGAAGTAGCTTGCTAAATTGCTGACACTTACATACTTTACCATCATTTGCTTACATTGTCTAATCTTAATGATCAATGCTTGTGTTTATTTAAAGTTTGGCGCTGTTAAGTGCTTGTACTTATTAGAAATGTCTTCTGAAACCTGCAATTTCTGAAGTTCTTCAGTGTACTTGATACTTGATTCACTTTTGTCTGTGTTCTGTCAGACTCACATATCCAGTGAGAATGAGGAGCTGAGTCAGGCTGCGCTTCAAGCTTTGGGCTTCTGTGTATTCAACACAAACATTGTCACGGGCATCCCAGGTAAACTATAGAATAAATTGGAGGGAGCGCATATACACTCTGCAAATCTTAAACATGCTGGAAGATTTGTCATTGTTTTTTATTTGTCATTGTTTCTTACAGCAAATTTTGCAGAAGAGATATTGTCAGCTCTTTGTGCCCTGGTGTTAAAGTCCACAGACAAAAACACATGCACTCGAGCGTTATGGGTTATCTCAAAGCAGAATTTTCCTGCCGAAGTGGTGTCCAAGAAGGTCAGTAAATAAGACACATTGCAATCTGCCTACTTTTTAATTTTAAGGCATGCCATGCTCATATCTATGTCTCCTTCATCTTTTCAGACATCAGAAATCCTTAGGACCCTAGATGCCATGCAGACAAAAGACATCCAGTCAATCCTAATGGATCATGAGTCACTTAATGTTGTTATAAAGTAAATATTTAATATTTTTTTTTTATCATAAAGTATTATATAATTTCTCTGTACTGTGAGGTATGTATACCCCATCCTGTGCTACTTTGCTTATAAATGTAGCAACCTCAAATAACCTGTGTTGATACTCAAGTATCAACACAGGTTACCAGCTCAAGTTGGTAACATTTTGTGTCTGTCACTGTCAATCATTGGACTTCAGTAGAGCTGACTGAAGTGAACAGTCACAAATACATGCTAAAGAAATAGTGCATATTTGTGTGGTAAATACAAAGTGAAACATATTGCTTGTCCTGTTTTAATCTGGTTAAATATTGTCAAATGCAGGCTGCTGGAACAGGCTCCCACTCAGATGGGTGAAGGAGCAGTGTGCTGGGCTAAACTAGTCATTCCTCTGGTAGTCCACTCAGCCTCGAAAGTGCGCCTACGTGCTGCTGCAGCCCTGGAGATGGGACTGCCTCTTCTTCTGGAGAAGCAGCAGGAGGTGGCTGCCATTGTAGAGCCTATGATGTCATCTGTAAGTGTTTGCCTTGACTGCCATTTTAATGCCTAGATATGCTGAGTAAGCAGGGTTAGACACATCAGGTTTTGCCAAAATTATCTAAGCATCTGTGCTCCACTGATAAAGCTGACAGAGCTTCAGACTAAATTTGAAGATGTGACAGCAGCCAGTTGCTTCCAACCTCTATTGTTCGTTGCAGTATAGTGATTATTACAGTAACGTAGCCTTAAATTTGAATTTTATATTGCTTTATTACTGCCACAATCTTTTTGCTTGTGATGAAAGCACCCGTTGCCAACCATTGTTCTGGTGATTCCATCAAATAAGCCCATGATGTTCATGACTAAACAGATGTTTATATAGAAAAGGTAGTTTAATGACATGGAATCATATCAGTATTATAGTTACCTTTTCTCCTTATTCTGCCATGCCTGACTCTTCTTTTTCAGAAACTTATTCCTGAAATGCAGAAACTATTCTCCACTAAGAATGAAAGCAACGTGCTGAAGCTCTGGCCTTTATTTGTCAAGCTACTGGGCAAGGTAAGATTCATGCAACAGAGGATTATGCCACCACAGTGGATTATTGTAGAACTGCTGCACGCATGAAGAAATGTTTGTCACTGGTTATTAATCTTAGCTTTCTTGTCTTTGTTCAGTTGCTCCACAAAGGGGGTGCCTTCATAAACTCGTTGCTGTATTTAGAAGAGCTGGGCTTCCGCAGTTCCTCACCCAGCATTAAGAAAATTGCCTTCATAGCCTGGAAGAGCCTCATTGATAACTTTGCACTTAACCCTGGTAAGCTGACAACCTGGTCCTCTTGACTTAAATAAGTGCTTATTGTTACATATAGCTGTGTTTCTAATGCTACGCATATTACTTCATAGTTTTTCTGGATGAAAACCTGGTCTTTCCTCCGGATATTTTCGTTGTTTTGCAGACATCCTCTGTAGCAGCAAGCGATTGAAGCTGCTCATGCAGCCCCTCAGCTCCATTCTTGTGAGGACTGAAGCCCTGCTACTGACAAAATTAGAAGTCTGGTGGTACCTTGTAGTCAAACTGGGGCCGAATCTAGCTTCTAACTTTGATCAGGTAAACAAAAAAACTAATGTCACAAGGATACCAGTTTTACCAGTATACTCTGTGCTGAAAACGTGGCCTTGAACTAGCTATTCAGTATTAAACTCTCATGTGTCAGGTTGGTGTACCACTGCTGCATAGTACACTTTCTCCAGATGCATCAGTGCTTCAGTGCCCCACCACTCCTGCTAGAGGCACTAGCCAGAGCAATGGCATCGGGCTGGCAACCCCTAAATCAGGTATAAAAACCATTTGCTACTGTTCTTTTTAAATGCATTTTAGGTACTTAATCACTTTAAATTTTTTGTTACAATCCAAACCCACTTTTGTAATGCTTTCATGTTGTGTGTGTTTTCTTCCCCCCCCTTTTCCTTCTATGTCTCCATCTCAGGTGTTCCCTCATGTAGCAGTCCTGGTGCTACCTCTCGTAGCCTCAACAGCAGCATGAGTGTCCCCCAGTCCTACACCTCCATCCAGCTGCTGGGACTTGAAATGCTGTTGCACTACTTTCTAGGCTCACAGGCCACTGCTGCTGCTACTAAAAACAAACTGCAGCTCAGTCTTGGTAAGACACCATTCTTCTTCTTCTTATTGTCTTATTCTTATTCTTCTTATTTTTATTCTTATTACTATTATTGTTATTATTATTATTAATTGATTAATGTATTTATTTAAATATTTGTTTTTTTTCACACAATTTAATCTGCATTTTCTTATGTACTCTTGAGATATGCACTTTTAAAATTTTCAGAGCCTCTGACGCACAACCTCTTGAGCAGCCAATCTTTCTTCAGCAAGCACTCCTCCACTTTCATCTCGGCTGTTAAAACTGGCTTCATTGCAGTGGGCAAGGATGCTCCAGGTGATCACCTTGCTCAGTTACCTTATGAACTATGCTTTATTGTTCTTTGAGTCAATGCTTTGAGCCAGTCTTTTTTTCTTTTTTCCCCCTTCTTTGTTAATTATGGTAAGTCATGCATCAGGATCACTGGCGTTAGGGCAACCCTTAATGTGAGACTTATTTCTTCTCTGTGTAGGATTAGAATGCTACAAGCCATGTTATGAATGTTGTTCTGTTTTATTGATCCAAACGTTAAAGATTTATACATTTTGGAGAGGCACGATAGTATCATTGTACTGTCTTTTTCACATTGTAATAGTTATAAAGCTTGCCTTTGAAGCTAAAGCTATACTTCCGTTTTGGGAAGAGAAGATAAAGGTCCATGTTCCATTCACAGTTCCAAGTTATACTAAGCTCCCCATTCATGATCATTGAGTGGTGTTTCTACCAAATGACTTGGCATCAACTACCAGTAAAATTCCATTATTCAGCATCCAAGTCTCACCCCTGTGCTACACTGTGGGGGTGACACTGTTATGCAACACTAACCATGTATAAAACCATTTGCCTGTTGGTCCCACTTAAATCACTTGGTGGGTTATGAAAATTTTAATTCTTAAAAACTGACCATTTACTCCTAATCTGTAGGACTACCCATCTTGTATTGAATTTGCGTTTGAAGAACATTCATTGATTCAAAAATTAGTAATTTGTTAAACAGCAGTGGTCATGACCATTGTAATGGGCTCTGTTTTCAGACACAGCATATCCAGCAGCTTGGTTTGAATTGTAAATTTAACCAAACAATTCTTTTTGTTTCATGTTTGTCTTGTTTCATGTGTTTTTTTTAGAAGCACTGCTTAGTCTGATTTGGAATAGCCTGGTCAACCTTGTCAGTGCCACAATAGAAACTGGTAAGTGAATGGAGTGACTTAGAAATCTGCACACATACCCTTGCATGCTGCAAGTGTTCCTGTTCAATTATCTGTCTGTCTTTACTTCTCTCATTTCCAGCTGGCAATAAGAAAGAGAGACAGGGTTCTGAGGTGCTTACTCTCCTACTGCAGGCACTACAGTCCATCTTGACCTCTGAGGCCTTGCCAGCCCCACGTGGTCTGGTAAGTCGTTTCAGTCCGCAAACAACTGTTTATGCTTACCACAGGTCCTACCACATGGAGACTTTTAATTCTTAAACACATTATCCTCTCTTAAAGTTGATGGATTTTGTTCTTAGCCCATTACGGGAGTTTTTTCTACTCATCTTGTGCCAGACATTGGTAAATGGTGCAGCAATGTACTTTCTAGACGGCTGTGTGGAACACTACTAAAAGGTGCCATTTTTTATATTGTGTCTTTTTGATGTAGGCTTTGCTGGAAGCCACTGTGAAGGGCATACCTCAGAAAGTGCTTGGGTCTGCAGCATATCAAGTAGCCAACATGGATGTCTTGAATGTGAGCTTGTTTGATTTTTTTGGGGGGGAGAGAGGGGGATTTCTTATTTGTAGGGAGCTGGTTTGTGGCACTTTATAAAACACCATTTTGTTTATTTCTGCCCTAGGGTACCCCAGCTCTTTTCCTCATACTCCTCTTCTACAACAACAACCTGCTCTCATCATTTGTGGCTGATGAGAGGTGAGTACTTCAGAGTGTTTTCAAGCATTTTTAATTCAGTGTTTAATTTTGTCTAAATCAATATCAGAACAAGAATGGCACAGTGAAAAAGGTGAACCATGTTGGCTATTAATTATATAATATTTAGTAAAATTCTCCTTTTTTATATTTTATGTTTTTATCAAGCTGATCTGCTTGCCCCTATTAACCACTGTAGTCTTTAAGCATTGCTTAAAATTTATATGGAATTTAAGCCAAGCTATCTGAGCCATGAGCTCAAATGAAAGTTTCTTTTGTCATCTGGTAGGTTTTTCCTGTGTCTTGAGACCCTTGTCAGTTGTGGTCTCTGTGGACCCACGTCCCCACTGGCCTTTGTGGAAGCAGTTTTAGGAACAGTCAGTCGCAATGTGGAAGCTGTGGAAAACAAAGAGCATTTGTGGCGAATGTGGAGTGTGGTTGTGAACCCTCTGACTGATACCATTACACAGGTTTGCACTGTGGTTACCGTAGTTCACTTTTTGACAGTTCTCGTTGTGAGCATTGTAATCACTTACATTTTATAATTGTCTTATACTAGCTTAAATTAATCAGCTTCCTCTTTCAGACAAATGAGGTAAACCAAGGAGATGCTCTGGAGCATAACTTCAGTGCAATTCACAGTGCCTTGATGTTCCCCATTACCCACCTTTTGCCTGGTTCTGCTCTTCCACAGGTCAGAGGCTAGCTACATATTTTTATTTATTTAGTCTGCATACAATCAACTGATCTTATAGACACACTGTGTTCACATTATGTACCATGCTATTTTAAGTAGTGCACACAGCAGTTGTGTGCAAGTTATTTTATATATGGATTGACTTTTTCTGCTGACGCAGATGACTCAGAAGACTATGTTGAGCACGTGGTCTCGATTATACAAGGCTTTTGCACGCTGTTCAGCTTTGGTGGCCACAGCAGAGGAGAATGTGTGCTGTGAAGAGTTATGTGCCAGGATTTCTGCTACCCTGGAGGCTCAAGCCCTGAAGGTGAGCAGCATGCTCACTTGAATATATTGATTGATTTTTGTATATCTTACTTTACAGCAGTAGTGGGGGGGTTGGGCAAAAGAAAATTATATCACAGTGTAATTAAGACTACTTACATTCGGTATATTTGACAGTATAGTATATTTATGTATTTTTTTTATTTGGATATTCAAGTAGACTTTTGTAGTAGATTGATAATGTATAAGATATATTATTTTGGTTTTCCTTTAATTTTTAATAAGAGCCATATTCAACAACTGAAGTAAATCTTTTTTTTTTCCAGTGAAAAAGCAAAAGCAAAAATGAAAAAAATATTGACAGATGTCAAAGCTGTTTTCTAACTGTAATGAGAAAGGCGAGTGTATTTGAAGCCCACAGCGGGTTCTCTGAGAAAAATGGTGCTGAATGTTGATTTATGTCCGAAAGTCATTTGTCTCATATAAATGGATCTTGCACTCAAGTAGATGTTATAAGCCGTTCACACGATTAGAGTGAGACTGGTTTTTCCTTCCACTCCCTTTGCTGCCCCTTTTACACATTAGCTCATTACAGTCTGATGTGTGCTCCTTTGACAATAAACTTGACTTACTTAACTCATGCAGCAACTAAATGAGTGTGTTTTGCACTGTTTGTATGTTGCATTCTTATTTATTTGCATACCGCTATCATGGTAATGACAAAACTAATACCATGTTCCAGATGAACCAGTATATCGCCCGCTACTACTGTACATAGGATAAAAAAAAAATGTGTTGTTCATGTCATAAATTTAGTTTTCTTATTTTCTCCCTCTTTTAGAATTTGTCCACTCTTGATGCAATAGCAAATATCTTGCTCTCAGTCATTGAGAGTGTGGATTTCTCTCCATTTACTGCTCGGTTTCAGCAGAAGATGAAATGTAAGATATTTCTTGTGTTTAAAATATTTAAAGGCACAACTTGGTAATGTTTTTTTTTGATTAACAATGGACCATTCCCTCCTTAGCCCCTCACACTCCTCTGGGTTGGGTCCGGAAGAGGAGTAAAGCTTTGGGGAACCTCTCAAACTTCCATGTCCTCCTGGTGCAGTCTTTAGAAGCCTTCCTGGCTTTGAACTCTTCAGATGAGAGCAGTGTGGTTTTAAGTGGAATAGGTGTCATGCTAGTCTCCATTGTCTCTACTCTTTTCACAAACCTTTCATTACCCAATGTTATCCAAGAGTCTTTGGCTACCCTCACCAAACCTCTTGCACTTCTTTATGGACAAGTTGGAAGGTGAGTTGCAGTTTTTCTGTGTGGTATTGTCATGATCTCTTAAAATGAATACTGTCCTCATTTAATTATTACCTTTATCCATGTAGCTCTGAAGGTGAACCATCAAAGTCACATTCAGTTCTAGGATCCAAGGTATTTATGATCCAGATATTGATTCCCATCAGGAAGTACTATGGATATGTTTCTTTAATTTGGGGTTTTGTTCTTCTCATTTACTCGCTGGATTAGTTGGAGAAGCTGGTGGGTGAAATGCTTGGCTGCCTCCAGACACGCTCTGCGCTGCAGTATGATGATGAGCTGCTGGCAGTGCTGTCTCCTTTGCTCTGTGTCCTTTTCCCACACACAAGCAAGCATATCCGCTCAGCTGTCACTCAGTTCTGGAATGCCACTTTTGGAAATGCACTTGTACTGACTTACCCGGAGATGCTCACGTAAGTGTAATGTATTATATATTTAAGAACATAAGAATCACCATGCATATTTCAGTTGAAAACCCTAGAGTTTCCACAAAGATTTTGTTTATTCAGACTTAATTTGATTTTTATTTATTTATTTTTTTCCCCTCCATTTTGTCTATGTATTACATGCACTTTCGCACAGATTTGGTTGACAAACAAAAACTGTTTTTTTTATAGGCCTGTTTTAAGTCAAGCTAAGCAAAAGGCTCCCTTAATTTTACCTGGTTTTCAAGCAGTTGAAAATGCAGAAGATTTCAGTGGCCAGTGTTCAGTGAGTTGTTTTTTTTTTCGTTTTTCCAAAATTTGGCATGTTTCTTTTTGGTCTTATTGCTAAACCTAAGATGGCATCCTGGCATTTTAGTTGCGTAGGTAATTTTTTTATGTTTTGATCAGAGTGAGTGTTCCCAACTTGATGCCGAAATCAGTGGGATGAAGATGTCCTCAGCAGGGAAGAGGGAATCCTTGCTGGCCAAAGCAGCAGAACTAAAGGAAAAGAGCTCTGGAACTTCCAAGCCTGTATCTGTAAGTAAACTGAAATAAGATCTTGACTTTTGGGATCTTAACAGATGGATGTTTTGAGAGAGATATATATATATATATATATATATATATATACGGACACACAGACACACTCACACACACTAGATTTTGGATCTCGCAAACTAACTACTATTTGTAGGTGAAACTAGATTTTGGATCTCCCAAACCTCCACGGCGAGAAGTTCTTGAGGAGGAGGCATCAGTGGATTTTGTTTTCATCCCACCTGAGCCAAAGGAGAGAGTGCTGACTGAACACCAGAAAGAGGTCAAAAGGACTAAAAGGTAAGATTGTAAGCAAGCCAGATTCTAAGCCCCTGCAAAATGTCCTTCTATATTTAGGCATTGCATTTATATTGTTTGTTTTTCTAGGGACGACATCCCTGCTATGTACAATAACCTGGATGCCTCTTTGGATGCTACGGTCTTTACACAGTATACTCAGAGCCAAGAGGAATCCATGTATGTACTGGTCTTTTGCCATTATACCCAAACATCACCTTTTAGTGCTTTGCTTCTTACCAAATATGTTTACATTTAGGGACATATTACCAGCTGATGAACAGCCTAAAACTACAGACACAAATAAGATTGAAACCATGGTAAGATGAAATATCTGATTTACTTAAATGTTATCATTCTAAATGAATGTCTAAATGTGTCTGGCTGTTTTATTATAATTCATGTAAATTAACAGTGCATACATTAAAGTGTGTTGTGTGTGTAAATAAACAGGATTTAGAGAGAGAGGAATTGCCTGCTGGGGATGCTAAAGAAGCCCAAGAAGAAATTTGCTCAGAGACAGATGTACCAGAGAAAGTAACAAATGATGCAAACCAAGCTACTGAGATGCCAACACCTGTAGACATCTCAGTGGCAGATGTCAGTGGGCCTGAGGACTCTGCTAAAATAGACCAAAGCCCAAATGTATCAGGGTCATCTGACATGATCTCTGGTACGCCACCAAAACCTAGCAGCCGACGTCAGTCCTTTATCACCTTGGAGAAATATGCGGAAGGAAAGCCAGCCAGTCCCTTAAGTGTTACGAAATTTACTGGCCCACTTACTAGGACTTCTTGCAGTCAGGACACCAAAAAGACACAACAGTCGACTCCAAATGCCACTTATTGCTCACAGCCAGAAACTGATAAAAAGGATGCTCAGGACTCTTCTAGAATGATCGCCCAGCAGTCTACTCCTCAGACTGAGGAAAAAAAATTGGAAATAATGGCAGAAGTAAAGTCAGTGGTGAAATGTTCCAGCGAAGGCACAGAAGATGAGGACGACGTGATTCCAGATACCCAGACTCAAGGTCTGAATGGATCAGTTGATAGTGATCAGTCTTTGGATAAATCTAATGTAGAGGTAGAACCTGAAAAAGCCTCCCTTGAGGGGAATTCAGAGGTTCCTGCCCAAAGTTCAAGTCATACTGAACCACGGAGGTCAGGCAGACGTAGGAGTAGGCCTGTCCGACCAGGAGAGGATTCAGTAGATCAGGAATCAAAAAATAAATTGCAGAAAACGGATTCTGTTAATGAGTCTGCTTTGACTGATGCACAGAAGCCCACATTTACCAAGCAGACAGACAGCATTTTGCCTGGCAGGAGCAGAAGAAGTAAAGTGCTTGAAGAGAACAAGGGTGAAAGCAGTAGATCACAGTTTGGTGAGCTTAAAGAACATAGCCTGACTGATTCACAAGTATCACCTTCTACAACTTCAAACTCATCACAGGGCCGAAGTAGTAGAAGTAAGAATAAAGAGCTTAGCCAGACTGAATCTCCCAATAAGCAGTCTCCATTAAGTCAAACAGATAACACAAGGGACTCTGATAGTCTGTCACATAGTAGGCCTGTTAGGCGGACCAGAGTGTCTGTTGTCAGCCCTGAAGGTTCAGGCAAAAAACAAAATGAGGAGGGCTCTCAAAGTGACTCACAAGCTGGTATATCTATTTTGAAGAACAAACATGCAGACACATTAGTATCTGACACAGGGGCTGATAGCCAGTCAACTGGCAGACCAAGAAGAACAAGGAGGTCTGAGGCCACTGATGCACAAAACAAAGATAAGCCAGTGATTGAAAATGAACCAGTCAGTGATCTGAGTCATTCTGATTCGCAGACATTGACACCTGCAAAAGGCAGATTAGGAAGACGGAGGAGAGCCGAAGAAGAAATTAATGCCAGCAAAGACACTCCTCCATCAGATGCCATCAATTCTGAAAGCTCACAGGCTGAGGCAATGAGAGAGACACAAGACTCTCAAGGACGTGGCAAATACAACACTCGCCGGTCATCTCAAGGCTCGCTGGCGCCTCTTGAGACCTCAGAGTCTGATAGTTCTGATAACAGAGAAGGCCAAAGATCTAAAAAGGCTAGAGGACAAAGATCATTGGCTTCTGAGGTGATGCCAGACAATATGACACATGAAAATGTTTCTGAGAGTAAGATGGACAAAGAAAATGCAGATCCAATTGAAATGTCTGAGAAAGAGCCAAAGGCCTGCTTAGATGTTAGTATGCCATGTGAGGCCAAAGCAGAAGACAAAGAGGAGGTCTCCACAGCCAAAGAGCCAGTAATTGAACATTGCATATCTGAAACAAAATCAACTGAACAAAAAAGTGATGAATTAAAAATGGAAGTTGATACCATTAAGGAAATGGGTGCTGTTCTTGAACTGAAGCCTCTGGAGGACGGAACAGTGGCATCTTTGCAGAATAGCCTAGTGCTACCTGAAAAAGTTGTTTTAAAGACTCCAGAATTGCATAGATGCCCACATATTAAAAAAATTCGTGGACGCAAGCGTTCTACCAGCTGTAACTGCCTTTTGGCCAGTAGTAGTAGTATGCCTTCACAAGAAAATGTTAGCAGTGATTCTCAAGTTTGTCAAAACATGAAAGATAAGGTTCCTCTTGAATTGAACAGTTTGCCATCTGAATCTGAACTGAGCAACATCAAGCCTGTCTTTATGGAAAAACATAGTGAGACATCTCCAGACAGTTGTCCTGTGGTTGCTAATGATGAGCGTTCAACAGTTTTACTTAACTCAACTGACACAGGAGTACCCACTGAAAGCCCAGAGAAAGAGCTCAGTGCAACTGGTACCCAGTTGTCTGATATGAAGGAAGGTTTGACCCAGGCAAAAGAAGACCAAAATGCAGATGATGCAGAGAGTAAGCACCAAGGAAAGGAGCAGAATAGCAGTACCTCAGAAAACGTTTTGGATCGGGAGCAACTTCAAAGTTCAAGCACTCAAGGTACCTCTCAAAACCATAGTGGGTCTATGGGTGATAAGATTGAATGCCCAGAACAGTCTGAAGCTCCTGTCAGTCAAAACAATGCCATTGACTTATCTGTGAATGAAGATGGAGAAAAGCTTGAAATGCCAGAGAAGGAAGACGTGCATGGAACAGATGGTGATGGTGTTACACCCCTTCCAGAAGGAACTGAATTAGATGATGCTCCTCGTTTAAAGGGGGATAGTGAAGACACACAGATAGATGACAAAGATATTCAACCTGAGACTGATCTACCCAGTGAAGAGTGTGTGCCTCTACAGATGGTCTCAACAGAAACTTGCCTAGACTCTCCACCCAAGCAGAAGACCTCAGATGTGAGACATGGAGACCAAGAAGTGGGACAAAGTCCCAGTAGTAGTGGAACTCGTGGTGTATGGTCGCCATCTGCTTCACCATCTACGAGCATTCTCAAGAAAGGGCAGAAGAGACAGTTTGAAGAGGATTCTCCTTCCCCTCTTCTGAAGGTAGTATTATCTTTAGATATCAAATCTGCATGGCGTCCACTTTGATTGCTGCAGGAGGAAAGTTAAACTATAATGTGTGGCTCGTTTTCTTTTTGTTGCCCAGTCCCGGCGAGTGTCCTTTGCGAACCCAATTTACCAGCAGGAATTGGCTGATGATATTGATCGTCGTAGTCCAGTAATACGGACTAGCTCCCCAAGGTCAAAAACTGTTGGTCAACCCAAGGTATTATATCAATGTTAATAAATCAGTACATTTATGTATAGAAAAGTTATTTTTTGTCTTTAATCAAAGTGAACTTTTATTGCAGTACATCACAACACCAACCAAAGGCCTTTTGACACTTAGTCCCCGCAACCTTCGCAGTCCAGGGTACAAGAGTTCGAAGAAATGCCTGGTATGTATGTGTACGTTGAGTGGGTGTGGTGGTGTGTGTTTTTGGTGTTTTTTTATTTATTTATTTATTTATTTTTAGTTAACTGACCTTCATTTCATCCCTCTCCTAAATGCTGTGTACTGGATCCATATAGCCTGCATATCTCCAGAGATATGCAGATTTTACAAAAACTAATAAAAGTGGATACCAGAGCTGCTAAAGCTCTTAAATAGTAAACTTATACACATACATAAAGCTGAAGTTAGTTTCTTATTTGACAGCTTTTCATTTGAATTTTCCGTTTAACCTCAAATGGTGCTTCAATTACACTGAGGTAGAATGAATTACAAAAGCTGGGAAGTAAGAAGCCAACATCAGCGTACTTCATTAAATGCATTAATTTACCTCAATAAATGCAGCCGTAATCAACATTGGCTTGGAAATGTTTAATGAGCAGCTAACGTGCAGCACAGCAAAGCAGCTGCTGAATGTGTCTCGCTGGCTGATCTAACACTGCATCCCAAACCACACACTTCTGCGCTTCACCAACTACACTAATGAGTGCACTAGTGGTATATGTTATTATTACACACTGTTCAGTGTGCTAGTTTGTGGTTTGGGATGGAGCATTTGTAACACAGCAGGAAATCTTAGCCATTTAGATTTCAGCTTTCATTTATCACTACAGCAACAAATAAGGTCAAAGCAATATATTCAAATCAGTTAATAACAAGATTAAAAAAATGAGATTTAAGAAATGATAAACGTTGAATATAAACCATCAAGGACATGAGTAAAGTGCACAAAATTAAATATCGATCAGATATATTCGTAAAATATCACTAAGGAGGAAATGGTATGTCAGTATCATGGTATACCGGTATAGATGACATATTGCCGAGCACTATGCTAAATAGTTTGGCATGGAAATTTCATTTGTCATAGAAAAGTCATGGAATTCCACTGTTAAAAAAATTTACAAACCCTGAATTTAACATTGTCATTGTTAAACCTTGCAATAGATCTCAGAAATGAGTCAAGAACCCCGGCCCATTCCAAAGGACTGTGTTTATCCAGCTCTGGTCTGTTGCTCTACTCCTGTGGAGGCTGTTCTACCGCAGATTTCCTCTCACATGTGGTGAGTCACAATGTATAGCAGTAAAAATGGCATTAATGAGTGAGGGGGGGGAAGTGAGTTCAGCTTTGGGAAGTTGGACCCTGTTTACACCTGGTCATGTGTTCTGAGGGATAATGTCTGGATAGAGATTAGCTACATAAATGCAAATGAGAATGCACGCAAGGCTCATTTAAAACTTAAGGATTTGGTCTGAGATGCATTTTAGCCAGGCATACGAGTGTAAATGCATCTGTTTCTGTTGGCCACATTCATCAGCACAGACCCCTCTTAATAATGTGGGGCCTTCCTCTGCTGCTCTGCCAGTTTGGTCAATCTTTACTTCACCTCATTATTATTCACCACCTCATTACAGTACATTTACGTTTTAACCTACATGATTCATGACCACAGTGATTAATACAGGAGGCTAATTGTTCTAAACACCCATCTTCTTGCAAGTATTGGTGAAAAGCAGCAGCCATTATGTTTATTAAGACAGTAAGAACAGGGGAAAACTATCTGACTAGTGAATGTTTGAGAGAATTTGCATATAATGCACCATATCGCCATTTTATTACCAACATTTGAAAAAATCTTATCAGTTTACAATCCAAATGCAAGTCACACAAAAACAATATGGGAACAGGGTCTTAGATTTTAGTTTCATGCAGTTTCAGGGAAAAATGATACGAAAGATGTAATCTTGTAATCTGTGTTTGCTTTTTCTTTTATAAAATTTTTTATTGTAATTGTATGTGTTTATTCTCCATATCTAGGCCTCGAGGCCTTGGTCAGCTTGTCCGTGCTAGGAATATCAAAACAGTTGGAGATCTAAGTGCCCTTACCCCCAGTGAAATCAAGCTGCTCCCCATTCGCTCACCTAAGCTGTCAAATGTGAAGAAAGCACTCAAAAACTATCATGAACAACAGGTACTGTCTTTATAAGTAATTGCTTAACTGCTAAAATTTCTTTTAAGCTTTTCTGCTCAAATTTCTGTCTTTTTCTTTTTTTCTTTTGTCCCACCAAGCGAAAAGGGCGATCTGATGACCTGAAAGGCTTTGATGAAATGGAGAAAATGACCTCTGAACCTGAAGAGATGGATGCAGCTCCAAATCAAGAGGAGGAGCAGACATCCACAGTTGCTACAGATGCGTCAGATGCACAAGGTATTACCAGAGTTTTCCTACATGAATTTGGGATCTGTACTAAGCCATGATCATGTATATGAGTGCTAGAATCTTGATGTGCTGGATTTCTTTTCTGCAGAGGTCGTCTCTTCAGAGGTGGCGTCAGCTTCAGAGGTGTCGTCAGATTTATTGTCTGCTTCGGAGCAGAAACAAGAAGCACCGGTGTCTGTGGAGTTGTTGTCCGATGTTTCTGCTTTGGGAGCTCGACTAACTACTGAGGAGCTCAGTCGCTGTTCACCGAGAGAACTGGGTCTGATGCATGAACAGCTCAGTGGCATGATGAGAAGTATTGTGGATCACCTTCAGTCACGTTTAGTCAAAAACCTTGAGGACAGTTTACTGTGATGGCAAGCTGAATTTTCACCCTGAGCCTTCTTCATGGAACATTTGTGCTTCAGTGTCTGGTTGTTAGCTGTGGACTACTTGGTTTTTTAGTGAATATTTTATCAGTATCTTTCCTAGACTGATGGCAGAATTTCTGTAAATACTTTCATGGAACAGCTATTGTTTTTATGCCCTTTTATGGCATCATACGGAATGATAGCCTGACTTTTGGTTTTATGGGACTTAAATAAAAGCAGACCAGGATGCAGATGGCACTTTTTATATTAAAGTACTGATTAAATAAAGGAATGAATGAGTAAGTATTGTTTATCACACAGTCTCACAGCTTACCATACCAGAATACACTGATTGACAAAGCTGTTGTAGTCACTTGGGTTATATTCATGGTGAAAGTCACCCTTGACGATCACTTGTGTTTTAGCAGTCTGATCCTTGACACGTGCTATTTTCTGTCATGTCTGGACAGTAAAGTTCATTTTAGATCTCTTATGATAAATTGACTTCACCACATTATTCATTATCTTAAAATCTGTTGCACAAAACCAACATTTACAGAACGGTAAATTTTATTGTACATAAACTAAAATGAATAGGTAGCACATGCATGCATTGAAGGGAACTATGTGAATGTTCAGCATCTCTGCTGTTGTAACACACTTCTGTGATGTATAGTCTATGGTGTACCTGACTTTTCTTTCCTGTTTTTCTTCCTTTTTTTTTCTTGTTTTAATAAAGACTAAAACTCTAAGCTGGAGTTTGAGTGCTTTGCAAAGAGAAGTTTCCTAAATCAGTTTGGAACTTTGGACTAGCGTTGCATGGTTTTATTATACCTTAATTCCTTATGCAGATACACTACAGTTTTTCATCCACCATATATATTTCACATTATACATGAATATTTCATTTTCTTTACATATGGCACATATTCACGACAAGAGACAGGTTTACTGCAGAAGCGTGGTGTGCTTTATTAGCTATTGAGTCATGGTGTATGACTCTAACCCTAGACCTAGGGAATCGGAAGAAACAAAACACACATGCAACTTGTGATCAGCCTTCAGCCAAGGAGGGAAGAGGCTTATTTCTTAGAACTTTTCAGTACACGTTTGCATCTGAGGAATTGATGGTGTCTCCTCAAGGTTTGCAAGTTTCACTATCCCCGTAATTTTCAAATGACATCTTTGGTATTGTAGTTGTTCAGTGTTTATGAAACATCGAACATGTCAGACTTTCTTTTCCGTTACAGAAAAGGAGTACAGAAAGTTAGCCCATCTCTTCTTGTGCAAAAGTTTCAACACTGGAAATTCCAGGGAACACTTCCATAATGTCAATTGAGTCTGATATTTTTCAGCAATATACAAAAATAATGGGCTTTCATTTACTCAACTGTTACACTAGGTTTGGAACATAAAAGATAAATACTCTACAATGGGCTATCACAAATAGTTAAGTACTGTATAATGTTTGTCAGTTTCTCATGTCACATCCACAGAAGAAGACACAAGGGGCATGAGCAAAATTGCACATTTTAATGGGGACCAACAGTAGCGTAACTATTCTAAACCTAACCTAACATTAACTACACAAACAAGCTTCTAATCTAAATGCCTGAGGTGTTTTAGCCCAGTGGATGTGTCATTCTCCCACTTGTCTTTAGATTGCTTCCACGTAGTTGGCTGGCAGCATGCCAGTCTTGCCTGTACGCTGCACAGTGCCATACATCCAGCCCTCGTCGATGGACTGCACATTCACAATAACGTCTCCATCCTTGAAGGACACCTCATCTTTGTCAGCAGCACTGTAGTCATACATAGCACGTACGGTTTTCTGTGAAGAAACAGAACAAAATGAGCATTGCATGCTTTGATTTATATTAATCATGAAATGTATATGGTTTCATATTTGAAAAATGCCCAAAAACTGTTTTTGCTAGTACAAAGTGGCTCAGACTGAACTGTAGTTTTTTGAAGATGAGTGTCTGATGAGATGTTTGTCTGATGAGTATTACTGTAGACTACTGAACATATAATTTTGGAAAAGAAAAAAAACTTTCCAAACCAATTCAGTATCATACTTACTCCAGTAGTGGAGGGGTGTGAGGGCACAGAGGACACAGTGGTCTGCTGGGTGGCCACTGAAGAGGATCTCTGCTGAAGCTCTACAGTCTTAGCCTGCTGATAGCCTTTAGGACAGAGAATGAACACTTTCTATGTATTTCAATTTTAAGTGTATGCCTATATATATATATATATATATATATATATATATATATATATATATATATATGTGTGTGTGTGTGTGTGTGTGTGTGTGTGTGTGTGTCGACTGATGTTATTAAATAGACACCAAGACTTTCTTTTTTTTTTTTTTTTAACAATTTAAAGGTATGTGTGAATGATGAGGAGTTATGACATGGTGAAAAATAAAATAATTAGAGCTATGTGAGATTCTCAGCCAGACTTTACTGCTCTGTTCACTTTTCACAGCTTCCTACAAATTGTTTGAAACCTAAAAAATATTAGCTCTACAGATAATAGAATCAATTTATAATTTTATCTGCAACAAAATTGGTTTTATAGTATTAAAAACTGTGATTACAAACTTCTAAACAGTAGTGTAAGTTAGCCAAAAGTTATTATACATAGATAGAACGTTATTTATTCAATAACATGTTTTTTGCCAAAATAACTTGAAATATAGGATAAAATGTCTCAAAATATCTTTTGTTGTCTAGTTTATAATATTTAAATCTATAGTGCATTTTAAGTGTTATTTGAATATCCTTCATCTAAACAGCAAAAATATTACAGTTAGCTACAGTCCTGAGTGTTTCTCTTACTGATGTACAGTAACCATACCTATGGTTGTTGTAGGGAATCCGTTGCTGTAGAGGGACAGGTGGTGTTCCACATTCTCAGACACTTCAGATTTCTCGTCTCCTACGCCGCTCATGGCGCTGGTGGAGCGAGAGTGCTCCTTACTGCGGCGCTGAGCTTGAACTGAAATATGAAGAAAGCACAAAGGTCAACATGGCACAACATTACTACTACAGTCCTAATCATGCAAGAATAGAACAGAGCAATGTGTGTAGTCAGGCAACCATGGAGATCATAGTGTTACAAATCTGAGATAAATGCAATATCAGTCCTAAAACTTCATCTTCATAAATTTGAAGTACACAGCACTTCCTTTATTTCTTTAAAGAAGTTACCAGTAATCAGAATCTCCCATTACTGGAACACCTTCTGACGATGCACAATAAAAGCCAGTTGTGTACCTGACATCATGTGCAGACTTCTTGACTGGATGTTGTCTTCAGCAGGGTCATAGTCAAAGACAGAGCCAGGGTTGGTGCGCCATACGCGCAGGTCTGTGAATTAAACAGAGCCGACTTATTGTTGCGTTCTCAAAATCAAACGTGCTGTGAGATGAAAGTCTGTGTGTGTTTCAATGTGCTTAAGTGAGCTGACCAGCGATGGTCTCCTGATCATGTTCTATGGCGCGTCTCCTCTCCATCTCCACCACACGCCTCTGAATGCCGCGGTAGCTGATGTCACTGAAGTCCTGCATGTTCCTCCTCACACGCTCAGTCACGGGGTCACTGGTGGTGGGAGTGAAGCTGCCCTTACTCTTCTCAAATTCCTGGTGGTATTGCACCTGTCAGAGAAAACACATGCTACTGTCTAAAAGCTTGGAATCTACATTTAAAAGTTTGGAATCAACATTTTTAATAATCAAATACATTGTGAAGCAGATATCTGTATAAAATAATGCTAATATAATGACTACTGTGTAATTCACAGGTTTCAATAATTAGAAAGAAGCTTTTAAAAATAGTTGTCAGAGTTCTAAAGTGGCTGAGAAAGTTATATATCGCAATAATAAATGTAATTATTTTAATAATTATTAATTATAGAATAACATTTTGTTCTCAAAATACTTGAAATATTGAATATACTGCAAATAATATCTTAAATCTTATAGATATATCTAATATTTCTGATTTTGAGATTGTTTGACGTTATTTAACTAGAAATATGTTAAATAAGAAATAACGTATTTAAAGACATTTTTACAGGCTTTAATTCATTTAATCTAGAGATATTGTCTTATTCTACTGACAATGAAATTAAATAATTAATTTAAACAAGCAGGTTATCTGCCATAATCTGAATAAGACAATTTAGAGAAAATGACTTAAAACAAGTAAAAACCCTCTAGAAATAAGGTGAATACACTTACAATATTCTTAATCTCAAAACGAGAATATGTTGACTTGATTTAAGATGTTTTTACTTGCCATAATACCATTTTTTGCAGTATAAAATGTCTAAAAATAACTTTTGTTGTTTACTTTGTTATTTAATAACCCACCAATAGTATATTTTTGATGTAATAAAAGTAGAGACTGAACTGAAGCTTACCCCAGAGATGATGCGCTGGGTCTCCTTCACACGTCTCATCTCAGGAGTGTCCAGCACGAAGGCTGCCTTGCCCTGTACCTGCTTACGGAAACTGTCAGAGTACAGCACCTGGCAAAGAGAAGGAACAGTAAACAGAATATAAGCAATGTATAGGATATACTGTACTATGTGCTTATCTTATGTTGACAGGAAACAAGTGGGAAAAACAAACATCCAGTCAGACAGACGCAGAACATAAAAATCCACAGTGTTATTGCGACCTCACACGGATGAATTAGCAGAAAGTTCCACACTTTCAGAGGCCTGGAGGTGTGTGGGTGTGTCCCACTCCAAAGAAGTGCTACAGGACAGGGGGAACGCATGAAAGTCTATCAAACCAAGGGGACGTTAGCAATGGTTCGACACATCACAGCTATATTAAATGCATTATATTTGGCAGGTGGAAGAATCAAGTTAATGTTATTAGCCACCTAAGCAAGAAAAGGGAGTTAGACAGGTTATGTTGGACACTAGCTCTAAGGCACAAGTCCCGTGGCTGAGTACCGAGCTAATGTGTTCTTGGTTCCGTTTGACCCGCTCCATCTCGGGAGTGAAAACCACTGGAGTTCCTTTGGCAGAAGTGTCTTTATATAAGACCTGGAGTGGAGAAGAACAGCAGCCAGACAGGCCAGTCAGAAGCACACACTCACATATCTCACAGTTACACTCACAACATTCCTGTAACAAGAGCAGGAGATGTTGGTCAGCACTGACACAACAAACAGCATTCAAAAGATCACATCTGAAGGTTATATCCCTTATACACTACTTGGCCAAAAGTATATAGACACATGAACATCACATTTATATGTGCTTGTTGAAAATCTCATTCCAAAATCATGGGAATTAATTTGGAGCTGATCCTCTCTTCAAATTCCACTCTTCTGGGAAGGTTTTCTAATAGATTTTGGATCATGGCAGTGAGGATTGGCTCCTGTTCAGTGACAAAAACATTAGTGAGGTTGGACACTGAAGTTGGCTCACAGTTCATGTTTCAAGTAATCCCAAAGGTGTTGGATGGGTTTGAGGTCAGGGCTTTGTGCAGGATAGTCAACTTCTTCTACACCAGACTCAGCAGACTATTCCTTTATGTGTGGATGGGGGGCTGTCATGCTGAAGCAGGAAAAGACTTTGTCTAATACCTCCCTAAATTCTCTATAATATGAAATAGAATTAAGATTTCCCCTCTGCGGAATTAACCCAAACCATGAAAAATCAGCCCCAAACCATTATTCCTCCTCCAGCAAACTTTTTACAATTAAGTAGTGGTCTCCTGTCATCTGCCATACCCAGAATTCCCAGAGACAAATGGTGGTGTGTGTGCGGATGCTCATCCAAGGAAAGCCAGTCCACAAAAGCTCCTGATGAACATCAAGTGGCAGTTTGAAAGCCAGTAGTGAGTGTTGCAACCAAGGCCTAGATGATTTTAGGCGCTATGGACTTCAGCAGTCAGCGGTCCAGTTCTATGAGCATATGTGTGCAACTGCTTTATGGTTGAGCTGTTGTTGGTAAGAGATTTTTTCACTTTACAATACATTCACTTAGAGTTTACTGGGGCAGCTTTAGCAGGACAGACATGTAGAAAAGCGTTAAACGACCCATTTTACTGCCAGTCTTTGTCTATGGAGATTCCTTAGCTGTGAACTAGATTTTATGCACCTGTTAGCAATAGGGGTGGCTGAAAACGCAGAACCCACTAATAAGAGGTGTCGTCATACTTTTGGCCAGGTAATATATACAGAACCCTGCAGTGAAGGGTTAAGAAAAGCAAAGATAAGGAGTCAGCTGATGGTGGATTGTGGATTTATAAGTAAACAAAAGAAAAAAGAGAGGGTTACTCTGTGTTGGATTAGATGCATAGTTTGGAGTTTCTGCGCATTATCCACAAGTCTGAATTGTGGATATTTTAGGTATGATTCTGGTATGGAATCTACTTTTAGAAGAAGATGGTGTTCTATTAGGATTAGGTAAAGGGACAGGTTTAAACTGACAGTGATGACAGTCTTGACTCTACTGTGCATCTCAGGGTTTGGCAGGTGATGGAATGGAGCTATGGTTGGTAATGATAGCGGAGGATGGATGGAGAGGAGGCAGCGTGAGAGTTCATGCGCTGATGTAAACTCTGTGAAGCATCCACTACCGAGCTGATGTTCTTCTGAGTCTCTCTGACTCGTCTCACTTCGGGAAGGTCCGGTATAGCTGTGGCTCGCCCCAGCAAGTCTTTGTACTTTATCTACCCACAGATTTGGTTCCATGCAGATAAGATGGATTGCAAGATACACAGAGCAAAAATAAAGCAAAATCAGAACAAGAACATTCAGAGACAACAAAACATCAAACAAGCAAAGGACAAACGTTAATGTCTAGTAAAAAGACAGCAGACATTATAAAAAAGTGACAAAGTACAGATCTTGTCATGAGAACAACAAACAGACTTAAAAGCATTACCAGTCACCACCTCTAACACCTTACGGACATTTATAGGACATTAAGAGACAAATAAAGCGTTTTTTTTGTTTGTTTGTTTGTTTCCACTGAATTTGCAGGAAAACAAACAAACAACAACATTTTGAGTTAAGTATGAATATTTAGAAGAATTAGCATAGAGAATGTGGTAGGTTTGTCATGAACTACATGGATGTTATTATAGATGTTATCACTCCAGGATTTAGATGCTACTTATTATAAGGGACAGCTACTATTAACCAGGGGAGTTTTAGGACTTGGCCTAGGACAGAAGTGGGGAACTGAGGGCCTGAGTTCAGCATACTTTGGTGATTTCCCCGCTGTAGCACACCAACTAAACCTGGTAATTAACCCTTTCCCCACCCCTGATCTAGGACAGGTGCAGAAGTGAAGGATGTAGAAGTAGAAGTAAAGAAGTAGGATGACACAATGATATATGACTAGGATAGGGTCACACCGCAGTGTACCGTGCTAATATTTTGCTGATTGCGTTTAACTCTCTCCATCTCAGGTGTTTCTGACACAGCAGTTCCTCCTCCTAAATCTTCCTTGTAATGAATCTTTAAGTAAAAAAGGGTTATTAAAAGGTTATTTAAAAACTGTTATTCACAACCGTTTCAACCTCATAAACTTCTTTAGATATGTGAAAATCAGAAAAAAATACATTAAAAGGAAAAAAGGAAAAAATAGCTTGATAATAGGTAAATGTAGAATGTAAGAAAATACTTTTCATTAACCATACATAATTAACAATACACCATAGCCTAATACAAAAAAAGGTAAAGGCAGTGATACTGATAAAGGCAGTACATTGTTTCAAACAGATATCAATTAGAAAAATAACATTTGGAGCTATTACAATGCCAGATGGAGTTAACAAACTGGGTAGGGATTCGTATAATAAAACTAAGAAACTCTACCGAGCTGATCTTCTTCTGAGTCTCCCGCACACGTTTCACCTCAGGAAGGTCTGCTATAGATATGCCTCGACTAGTCGGCTCCTTGTATTTGATCTACTCATTTCAGATTAATTTGTATGAGAAAAAATAAAAAAAAGACATCATGATACAACAAGAACACAGTAAACAGAAAGATCATCAAAGTTGAGTGCCAAACAGGAAAAAATAGTAAAAGAAAAATATACAACACTACTCATCATGAAAATGCTTGGATGCTCAGTTATGGAGCATGCCATGTCACACGTTTAGGTAATTTAGGTAAAATATATATGACTTTTGGTTAATTAAAACTAGTATGGGCGTTTTTTTAGAAGTGGTATTAAATGATGTAGATATTCGTGTCATGTCAAGAACTGTAGCACTTGACATGACGGTCATTAAGATTGAGTCTTGATTAAAATGATTTCAAGGGTAGGGTCCTCATTCTGACTGAGCACGGACAAGTAGTACTGGGGAGGAGAAGGAGATATGAGAGGAGGATAGGTTGGGATAGGGTCACGCTTTAGTGTACCGTGCTAATAGCCTCCTGATTGCGTTTAACTCTCTCCATTTCAGGTGTTTCTGCAATAGCCGTTCCTCTTCCCAAATCCTCCTTGTACTGAATCTTTGAGAATGTACAGGTAAAAACATTATCATAATTTGATTGACAGTTGTTTTTTGTTTTTTTTTGTTTGTTTTTTTTCCCAGAGGAGGCACCTGTAACTAAACTTACAATGAAGGAAAAAAAAAATCACATATTGAACATCTGACATACATTCACAGAAGACAAAACATGCACACAATGTAAAACAACTGGCAACAATGTAGAGAAGCAGAAATGTTTTAGCTTCTAAAGTGGTTAGAGCTGCTAACAAAACTTTGCAGCAATGTTAAATGAGGCTGCAATTTGCTAGAATGTAGTTAATAACTACACCAAACTTCTATATGATACAGGAACTAGGCTGCATGACAGGGTCTGTTAACTTAAAATTGCAGTGAGGGGAAAAAAAGAAAAAAAGAGAAAAAGCAAGAATTCAAAAAAGGTATGTTGTTAGAAAAAAGGGTATAAAATGGGAGGAAAAAATATACTCAGTGAGCAGTAGGTACCGAGCTGAAATTCTTTGTATTTTCTTTAACACGAAGCATTTCAGGTGTGTCCTTTACTGCTGAAACTTTGCCCTTAATGTTTTTAAGGTCAATCTGGTAGTGTAGCTATAGAGAAAAGAGCACAATGGCAGTTAAAGTGGTACACAAAAAAACTGCAAGAAAAAGAAAAACAGTGCAAGACAAGATGGTCACTATGTTCATATGAACAGAAGCACTGCATTTAATCATCAGGAATGACTTTAGAGACTTGTCTGTCAAACTTCTCTTTAGTCAAACACAAGGACAAGAGTCAAAACCAACAATAGAAAGATTTCACTAGGAATAAGGAAGAAACAGAAACACAGAGACAAACGGACAAGTGAATGGATCTAAGCTTCATGCTCTAACACTTACAGTGCTGAAGTTCTTCTGGTTCTCACGGACTCTCTGCATCTCAGGAGTGTCCAGAACAGGCACGTAGTGAGACATGGTCTTCTCTGCCTCCTCCTTGTACCTTTTCTATAAGATAAGCATTAATGATATTAAACATTATTATCAGTGAGCAGGAAGTGTACATGAGTACGTGTTAAAGTATTACCAGCCAAATGTACACACAGACTATTTACTTACTACTACACGTTGTTACGTTGTTAATACATATGTCCCATATTCATTGTTCAGCCAGTAACTCTTACCTGGCTCACTATGTTCCTGATCTGTTGAGCATGGATGATGTCAGGAGTGTCAATCACAGTGGTGTAGGTGGCTCTGTCGTGCTCAGCATTCTGTTTGTACTTAGTCTGTAAAACAAGGGTCTCGCTTTAAAAAAGCTGCTTACAAGACAGATGGCTAACGTGGTCAGTGTTGAAAAGACAGCGACTCAGGACACTAATAACATTCTCTGTTTAAAGGAAGCTTGTTTTAAAAATCAGTGAAAGCTGGTCAATTAACATTTCCCAATTGCTTAATGCTTTGCAGTACTGGTTATTTACTGTTTTGGCCAAACCCATTTTTAAGAGTGAAGTATATAATTTGTACTGTAAGCTAAGAGACCTGCCAGTAAATCTCCAGCACTCCAGCACATTCATTCTTGACCTGTGTCAATCGAGGGGTGAAAATAGACTTTCAGATTTTAGATCAGTCTGACAGAGATGAATCACTGACCTGGCTGAGGATATCTGTGGCATTTCTTGCTCTCATAAAGTCTGGGGTGTCTGTCGCCAAAGCCAACATTCCTTTGCCCTTTATCTCTTGCTCCAATGCCTTCTTATACTCTCTCTGTGAAAGTTAAGACAAGGTTAGAGGTTTTCTGATCAAATAATTCCACTGATTTTTCCAAATTTCTGCATAATTCAGTCAATAAGATAAACAAACTCATTCAGAGTGGTTTGAGGTGAAATGTACTATTCTAGAAAAACTAACTGAATCAAACTTGTTCAGAAAAGTTGTGATAGGAACCAGACATGTGATGTGTTAATGCCTTTAAAGGCTCCCTCTCAAAACGTTAATGCATGAGTATGTTGCCTGATCCTTGAGAGATTATGGATAGTAACTAAAATGGTTATATTTTTGCATTCTAGACATTGTGACCACTGGTTCCTAACATCACCATCTGACTCAGTAAGTTTCTGTACAGTGAACTGTTTCACATCAAACCACTCTGAATGACTTTGTTTACATCTTGTTGATTTAATTATACAGACATCTTGAGAAGTAGGTGGAGTTCCCATTAAAATACGCTACTTTTGCAAAGCTGATGAACTGTCACTAAGGGTATTTACAGGCCGCTAAACTAATTTGAGAGGTTAAAGGCTTCATTAAGGAGTTCCTTAATTTGAAGAACGATTAGAGGATTTGGGTAAAAGAATAGTGCATGGGTAAAGTCCGGTTAGAAAACGAGTGATATTAAAGCGAAGGGGAGTTCAGAAATGGAAGAAAACATCTCTAAGTGGGTAGTTTTATGGCAGTAAACTTTTATTACCAAACCTGGTTAGATGATTGGGTGGGGTGGTCCATTAGAAGAGTGGGTGTTTTAGTGGTTAGCAAGGCTCGGAAGGACTCAGCACGTTTAGTGCAGCCCTGTTAGTGTGGTAAAGAGGCGAAGAAGACTGAAGACATAATGAAGAAGATGAAGAGTGAGACAAGGGTTGGCTTCATCTAGCTCCATCCTACCTCGTTCAGGATCTGAGTAGCATTCTTTGCTCTCAGTAATTCAGGAGTTTCCTCAAGCACTGTAAGCCCTTTACCCTTCACCCCTTCCTCTAGATCCCTCCTATACTCTTTCTACAGGATGGAGAAGAACAGAGAGACTGCAGAGACAGCAAGGCACAGACACACACACAGTACTGCTCACACACAGCTCAGTGTCACCAAGCCTCCACTCTAAACCTGTTTCTAATGCTAATCGTTGTGAGTGTGGGTAAAGACAGCAATAATAATCTGGCCCATTCAGTGATCATGTCTACTGTAGTGTATGTGCACATGTGATAAAAGTAGTTCAGTTTAAAAAAGGGTTTTTATTTCATTATGCTTTGAAGTTCAGATCAAGGTACAGGTGAATTTAGAAACCAACCTAATATGCACTTTAGTGAAGAGAGAAAATAATGAGGGCACCAATCAGGGCCATTCAATAATTAAGAGTGCTGTTGTGCGCAAGCAGTAAAAGTTACTTAGTTTATTATTTTTTAATAATGACACTATGAAGGCCAGAACAAAGGCATTGGTGCATTTGGAAAGAAAATGATAAAATACAGTACTGTGCAAATGTCAGAGATCACTCTTCTTTCATTTCCACTCAAAACACTAAATTATTAATTATTTAGGAGATATATCAGAGGAGATTAGATATAAAACAATTTACTCACACAAGTCAGAGGAAAGTCAAAGGAAAACAGATTTTGGAAACTCCTGAGTTCAAAAAATAAAAGATATAGAGAAAACAGGTCTCCTAACAAGCGTGCGAGACCTGGTGAATTACTAAAACTGTCACCATCAGATAAAAAGTACTTAAAACTTTCACTGTTTAGAGATAGGAGAAATTAAGCTCCACTCCTGAAGTCAGATCTGAATAACATCCACAGGTGTTTCTTTCCATCCCTCCACTGTGATAACAAAGATACTGTTGGTGTTCTCAGAACAATAGACTGGCCAAACCAGTGTCCAGAATGTGTTTTGCAATGAAAGTGCAACCAACATCTAAGACTGAACTTTAAAGGTGTGGAAAAAATAAGCACACGTTTGGACAGAAAGTCTCAAAAAAAGAATGAAGCTCTAATAAATGCAATAGGTGGCTACAATAAATACTGAAAAAATGATATTATATTTAGTTGTTTAAGCTTCTGTGTAATTTTTGTCAAATCTATGTTTTCTGATTCTCTTCCTTTATGCTGAAAAACAAATACCATGCTTAGTGGCTGTTTTCACTGAAATGAAAGAAATGAAGGGTGGTCACTAACCTTCGCAGAGTAGTGTACACTATGAAAAAATCCTAAATATGACACAGTTTCTGTTGTGAGTAAATAGAATACCAAAATGAACATTTACAGAAACGTTAATTAAAACGCACACGCAGGGTTAACTAACATGTTGGAGGGTGGTTGAAGAGAGCAACAACAAGAGACGAGACAAGACCAGACAAAACTGACAAATTCACAGAAAACTAGAAACAGTCCACGAAAACTTTAAACACTCACAGAAAACCGGGAAGAAGGAAAGGATATTATTGAGTGTATTATGACTGGGTGGTGAACCATGCAAAATAACCGCAAACTGTCCACTACTTGGGTGCGACCAGGAACACCAAATGCACTCACTGTATTAATACGGTTGTGTGGCAGTAGTCTTAGTATGATTACCAGGAGGGGAGGAAAAATATAGACCACCTTTTACCTCACTAGCAATTTTGGTTGCATGTCTGACATGTATCATGGCAGGGGTGACCTCCAAGCCTGAGAGGTTCGTGCCTTTCATGTATTCCTCAAAGTCCCTCTTATAGTCTTTCTATCCACCACAAAGATAAGAGAGTGAAAGACACATGAAGACTCAGAAATATAGACTTGGGTTAACTGCTGTTGTCATGGTCACAGCACATCATCAACCATCAGTGCTGTGTGAGATCACTTTGGATTTGTTCTTATCCTTATAACTCAACATCCAACTGTGTTCTAGAGGACGCTGAAAACAAATATTCATATTGAAGAAGTTCAACTTAATGTAGACAGACTCTATAAAAGACAAGAACATACAACACACAAAGACAAAACATACTTTACCATCTCCTTGGGTCCTGGTGGAAACTGTGACTTATTGGTGTCTACACTTATTGTACATGTCAGTCATCTTTAAAGAACACAACTCTATCAAACAGTTTTGCCAGAAATGCAATCTGAAACTGAAATCTACTGCAAGAGTTTTAACTTGAGCATGTCCATGTTGGGCATAGTAAAATGAATCAGCATGGGAATTTTGAGCTTTCTCTGTTTTCTATGACTATATAAAAGAAGTCTGTCTTATTGATTGTATTGTGATGTATTCTGAGTGAGGTTTGCACATTCAGAACAATTCAGACTGATAAGCACTTATTGTTGATTTGTTTTATCTGTGATTATTTTTTAAATAATGTTCTTACTTATCAAAATAAATACAACATTGGGGTTGAAATGTATTTTTCTAAATTCTTATTAAATTCAGAATTAAAGGTCAAATTTTCCTAAATACAAAATAGGGAACCTGCCTGCAAAGGCAGATCACCCCTGAAAGATTTTGTTGTTGACTGAACACTGGGCATGGGCAGAACTTACCTGGCTCTGCATATGCTGTGCTTCCTTGGCACTCACATAAGTTGGCGTTTCAAAGTCCAGCATGGCCTTGCCTTTCTCCTTCTCATATTTCTCCTTGTACTTCACCTGTTTTTGGACACAACCACAAAGGTGAAAAGCAATTTTCAGGTTAAATAGAATACATATTTAATCCATCTACTTCTCTAAAAACATTCATTTTGCAAGCATCAAATTATTCTAATGTATTTAACTGTGCATTAAAGGCGCAGTATATGATTTGAATCCAATTAACTTCTTGTCAAATTCAGCTCTCCATTCTGTGTGCATCCTGTGAAAAAATCCGGTGTTCGCACACAGCCCTGGCTCTGAGAACAGGTAACAAACTAAGTGTTTAGGACCGAGCCACACAACGCTATTCCAACCAGTCAGCAACAGGGGGCGTTTGTGCTTGTGCACAGGACAGGTAGAAGGGGAGGGGCTATGTGCCGAACGCCACATATTAAAAGTAAGACGGCCAAGAAACAGCCGAAAGGTTCTTTACTCAGGGAAGGGCGTTTCAATGGTGTACAGACCTCCAAGAGTCAACGGTGAGGCATTTTAACGAGAGTTGATGTGATGTGACTGAAGTTGGCTTTCTTTTTTGCATTTCCTGCTCCATCTTAAATTGAGCAGCAGTTCCAATCTGGGGCCTGAATGTTACTGCTGCACCATTTAAAGTGGAACAGGAGAAGTCTAACAAGAATCTGAGGCACTTGAATATAGCCTGCTGTACCATTTAAGGTGGAACGGGAAAATTTAAACAAGAAGCTGAGGTGCCAGAATGTAACTGCTGTACCGTTTAAGGAGGAATGGGAAAATTCAAACAAGAAGCTGGCGAAAAAGAAGCTGACTTAGGCTTCATCGAGAGTTGAAAGGCATGAGAAGGGAAGAGGAGGTTGCTCTGTTTCTGTATGACAGGTGGGATAAATGTATTTTTGCTGTTTCAAAGAACCAATTGTTAATATATTACAGTACATGCTGCGTCATTGTTCACTCTATTATGACATGGTATTTGTCCGTACAACGTTTGCGAAGATCCAAAAAACAAGTTTGCTAGGCCAGTGTCATTTGCCTTGCCAATGCGCGTCCATGAATTCGGTGGGTGGAGCTTATGAAGGAGCACTGAGGCGTGTATTTGCTTTCCTGATGAATTAAAATATCAACAATGGTTCGCCAAAATCGTATACTGTGCCTTTAATGCAAATAATGCATCAGTAAAGTGTTACTGGACCCAGAGTTATTGTACCTGATGTACAGTAAAGCACAACCTCTGCATTTTCAGGCAAGAGACATGATTTGTTCCAAATGTTAACACCTCTAGAAAAATGTTTATGTTTTTGTAACTGTGGGGAAACTCATGAAAAAGTAAAGGCTATCATATTTATGGTGTACAGCATATAAACAGCTTTGGTTTGGTTTTAAAGTGACGTGTGAAAAGGTTTTAGTAGTTTCATAAAATTTCATAACTTGCGTAAGTTATCCAAAAATAGCAACTGTGAAATAGGTTTATTGGCAAAAATTAACCCAAACAAATTAAACAGTCCTTCTTTTGAGAAAAATGGAAGGCGTGCACTGATTAAGAAATGAAATAAGAGCAAAAAGAAGGCTTCTTCTCTCTCTCTCTCTCTCTTTCACACACAGTTATACATAGCAGGTGTTTTGTGTTCTGGACAGGGCAAGAATAAGTGGGACTTACGTAGCTCTGCAGCTCTGAGGCCTCTTTGTGATGAAGCTGCTCAGGTGTGTCAGGGATCATATGGTAGTGACCTTTACTCGCCTCGAATTTCTTCTTGTACTGGTACTGAGAGGGAATGCCCACCAAAGCAACTCAGTACAACAATTGAACTCATCATTGTTCTGAACCACCTCTCATTCATTTCACCAAAAAACACCAGATTTCAGGCAAAATGCCTGGAAATCTAAAAAGAAATGCCAATTTGGAAATCTTAAGAGAAAAACAAATCTAGCTTGAAACTGCCATCATGATCCTACATGAAGGTTTAAAAAAGTCTGGCAAGATTTCACCTTTGATAAGAACTAGAGTACAAGATGTGGAGTTTCAGCAGATAAAATGTAAACATCAAATGGAAAAATGTATGAAGTCAAGAAAACATTAAGAAGGATGGTTATCTGGGGTTGAAAAGGGAACTTTGTTATTCTCAATGGACACATCAAAAAAAGTTATAAAGTGTTAGAGTCTTATTAGGATGACCTATAATCACATGTAAGTGAAGGAAGCAAAAATGTAAAAGGTTAAAGCTAAGCGCTAGTAAGAAAAGAGGTTTGAGATCAAAGAGGAGGAAAGAAAGGGTCACTACCAAATGATGTCCTTCAGGAGTGGGTAAGTGTTTCAGGGGAGGTACATGAGAATAAGCATGATATACAGTACTGTGCAGTTTGATATGGAAAGTATTTGGGCAGTAAGCATTTACTTGTTAAAAAAACAAAAAATAGTAGAATAAATACAATAAAGAATACAGTATGATTTTATGTCTGTTAGTGTGTGATCTTAACTGTTTCCATACCTGCTGAGGTACTCAATTCTTCATTAAATTATGTCAGGTGCAATGAGTGAACTACACCGATAAGTCAGGAAAAAACAAAAAAACTCCAGAATACACCTTACTGTACTTATGTTTATTTGTATTTATTCTGATATTATATAGTGTTTGTTCAAAAACACACTTACTGTCAAGATAAATAGTTTTAGCCAATTCAAAGTAATTGCACAGTACTGTAGATGGTTCTAATAATGTGTTATAGTGATGGAATTACATGATAGGTTGCAGTAGGTGGTTACAGTGTGTGAGATGAGGCCACATGAAGATGTGGAGAGAAGTTTTCTGAAAATCTTACATCACTGGCCAGCTTGCTGGTACTCAGGCCGTGCTGCATGGCCAGAGATTCAGCCATGTCAGTCACAGGCTTATGGATCTTCTTCAGGTCACCCTTGTATTTCACCTGCCAGAGAAAACCATAACAACAGATTTATCTTTGTCTTTAATTATCTAAATGTTTAAATTCAGATTAGAAAAAAAGTTTTCACTGCCTTAATGGATGGCAGGAAGACACAAATACAATTCCAAGTACACACCTCACTTGCAAGTACACTGGCATCCTTCAGAGTCTGATAAATCTTACTACTCTTCAAGTCATACTGGGGTCTCTTTCCTTTGAATTCCTTGTCAAACTTCTCCTTGTATTTCACCTTTTTGAAGAAGACAGTGGAATTATTAGATGATCGTAAGTGTGTAAGGCAAAATGCTAACACAGAGAGATTCAGGAAAATGGCATCATCTCAATAGCTGCATGCATTCGACAACACTTAGAACAGACCAAATAGGCTGGCTAATAGAAAGAAAGTGCACAACAGAGTTAAGAAGTTAGAGCTTGACAACTGGGTGTGATAAAGGGCTACTTAGAGTAGGAAATTCCCTCTAGCATTCTAACTTTTGTTCTGCACTTCTAGCATTGCAAAATTGATATAGCTGGTTTGCCACTTTCAAATATTCTCTATTAGATTATTCTTAAATGGCACGATCCCAGGTGGCAAGCTCAACACACAGGTCAGAACATACAGGAGGATCAGAACACCTACTTCATATGTACACACATATATACACATACATATCTATATATGTATTTGTGTGTGTGTCTGTGTGTCTGTGTGTATGTATATGCAATAAGAGGCACAAATCACGTGTCCACGATCTTGAAGAATCTGCAGAGCAATCAGTTTCTTTTGTAAGAACAAACATCAAGCAAAGAGAGAATTCTATGAGGAAAGTGGAGACCAAATAAATCTGCGGTACATCTCATGTTTAGTGAACAGGAGTGGAGGATTAACAACGCCACCTAGTGCACTGAGCACATAAACTATGTGGCCGTTTCAATTGCTGTATAAAGGTCTACTGGATCTGCACAGTCCTCATTTCATGATATTTGTGAGGGATGCAACAATAAATTGAAATTCTGACACATTACAGACTTACAGTGTCTAAGTTCATGAGGTGGCAATCACACATTCAACACTTCGGACATTAAAAAATACCAACAAAAAAGCACTTTATGCTTGGCAACGAGGCAAAGCTTGCATGACAAACACAAAAAAGGACAAAGCAAACTCAGAGTGAGTGGGACTTTGGAAGTGACAGGAAAAATGCAAAAAATGATTTCTGGGGGGAATGAGTACATTTTTAGAAAATTTATACAGTTGGTAAGGGGTGCAGCAGAGTCCATTTCCTTGAAAATAACACTGAGTGCCACAGGGCTACCAGAGATCAATCAGTCAGTCAGAGATGGAGAGGACAGAGAGAGACACAAGACAAACAAAGTGGTCACTGGCCCTGGGGTTCAGGGTCCCTCCTTACATCACTAGTCAGGGCACTCATTTTCTTAATGTGCCGCATCTGGGGGGTATCATAGGAGGCAGCTCCATGGAGGGAAGGCTTGGCCTCCACCTATAAAGCGCAGTGAGATGGCAAGGTGACAGCAGTGAGCATGTGACAAGACAATGAAAATGGACAGTAAATGGATGGGAGAGGACAGTAAATGAATGCAAGGATGGATGAATGAATGTATTAGAAAGAGATCAAAATGGGACAGAAAGGGAAATGTATATGGGGGATACAGATAAAGGACAGTCAGGGGTCACATGGACAGTAAAAGGCAGTGGTATTAATGCTGGTGGGCAAGAGAAGCGCTGATAGAGCATTTAACACTACCACTACAATTATGATAAGCCTGCTGTCCTATAACATGCCTACTTAATTAGGTAAATATGGACACAGGAACACTAAAATGAACTACATACTACCTCACAGCTGACACACTGCGACTGTTATGAAAACTTCACAAAAGAAAACATAAAGGTGAAGCTTTGATCACCCGTTACTGAAAGAAAGTTAAAGGAAAGGACAAAAGATGTCACCTGACTGGTCAGTTTGGACACTTCAGTGGCCAAGGTGATGTCAGGACGGCCGATCAGAGACCCTCCACGGCTAGCTTCCTGACGAGCCTTATCACGGTAACCCACCTGGAAACAAAACAGAAGAGTCACTTCAACTACGGGTGACTTGCATAATTACAATTAGATCTTATTAAAACAATTATTCTAAATATTTTGTATGAATTTCCAAAGATGAATGATGATGAGAGAGGTACTTACTTCACTGATGAGCTTGGCAGCTTGGGTAGCCTTCCTGATGTCTGGTCGGTCAGCAACAGGGGTGTAGTGCAGTTTGGCTTTTGCCTCTTGTTTGTAGGCAATCTGCCAAAGGAGAGTGCTCTGAGGTAAACTTACTGCATATTAATAATCTAACGGCAAGAAATTCCAGACACTAGATGATAGAGTAATGCTATTGTTTTGGCCACATTTACTCACGTTGCTCTGGCTCTTGGCTACATCAATAGCATGCTGAACATCAGGGGGTACAGTCATATTGTTGTACTCAGACTTGCCCTTCTCCTTCTCAAACTTCTCCTTGTACAGTTTCTGTGGAAAATGTACATAATGACTGAGTTAGACTATTGACAAACAATCTAACTAGCTTCCTGAAAATGAATAAACTTGGCACCAGTACTTACAGCACTTGTGATTTTGGCCACCTCTCTGCTGTGTGCTGTCTCACGGGTCTGAGGTAGAGTTGTGAAGCAGCCAGACTGGAGCTCCTTCTTTGCACCCAGCTTGTATTTGTTCTGCCAGGGAATTTTACATTATATGACAGTGAATTTTCTAAGTATGCAAATGGATATCACATACATTTAAGTACCCGCAGTGGAATCAATATACTACCTCAGAAACCAGGGTAGCCACTGATTTAGCGTGGAGAATCTGAGGGGTATCAAGGACAGCAATGTAGTGGCCCCTGGCCTCTTGATACTTTTGTTTGTATTTCACCTGGTGAATAATCCCAAACAAACATACAGCATGTCAATCAAACCTAGTTTTGATTTCATTCATTTTTGCTTTCACTTTGCAATTGTTAAGGTTCCATATGAATGACTTGTTACTCACATCACTGGAAAGCTCAGAGTTCTGCTTGGCCAGAAGTGTGTACTTATCATCTGCAACAGGCATCACACAGCCTTTCAGCATCTCCTTGTCATACTTGTACTCAACCTGTAAAAGATGAAGAGTTTGATTCAGGCACTGTTTATCTTACTCTCATTAAAACAGAGCACTGAACATCAATCAAACAGCACTAACATCACTCTGCTGGTAGTTGATCTTTGCCGCATGGACGAAGTCAGGTCTGTCCACAGTCCAAATCCACTTGTTCTTGGTGGCTTCATACTTCTTTTTGTAGTCAAGCTACAGAAGAGAGGACGATAAAGGATGACAACTTAGGTCTTTAGGAAAGAAAATATAAGTCAAAGCATTTGCTGAGGTATTTCAGTTTTTGGTGAGATCTTACATTGCTGATATTCTTGTAGGCCTCCTTGGCGGCACGGATGTCGTAAGCATCAGGAGCCATGTTGATCTGAGCTTTGCTTTTTTCATACAATTCCTTATACTTCAGCTGTGAAAGAAGAAGTGATGTAAATTACAGAAGAATCATTTATAGATTATTTGGACTGATACTTTCTGCACACAGAATAGAAGACTTACAGTACTGGTGATTTCCTTGACCTTCTTCATGTGCTGATTCAGAGGTGTGTCATGACCAAGAGTGTAACCTGTAGCCTTGTTTTTGTTATACTCCATTTTGTAGATGATCTAGAAATGAAAGAGAAATGTCAAATGTAATTTATACACATGACCTACTAATCTAGGAGGATTTTACAGATTTAGGTTAGTTTACAAATCAGATTAGATTATATATAATCATGAATTAGTTGAGTTAAGGTGGCGGAAAAAAATGAAGAGGGGCTTACGTCACTGATCTGCTTGCGACGTTTGTGGACCTGGTGCTCAGGGGTGTCCAGCACTGCTGTGTACTTTGACTTGAGACGCTCATACTGCTCCTTGTACTTCCACTGAGGAAATGGGACATATGATGTGCAAGTTAGAGTCAGTCAGTGACCTCAACCTATTAAGACTACTTAGTAAATTAGGATGAGATTTTACTGTATGTATGCATGGATAAAAAAGAACTACTTAGCATAATGAAATGACAGGATTAAAGTACATGTTAACAGCAATATGATTTTATGGAGATTTTGGCGAGACCAAAACCAGCTAAACTCCTTTTAAATGTTAGAAGCAGTGGTTACAGAGGTAAAACTCTGTTTGCCTGTGTTAAAGTCCATGCAATACGCATTCACACTCCCAACTGTCAAAAACAATCAGGCAATATAAAACCCTAAACACACAATCACACATGCATAAAAAAGCAAGCAACACTTAGAAAAGCCATAGTTGGAGGTTGAAAGCAACTTCAGGCTACATTACATAGAAAGATGGTGATGACACTGATGGTACTTGTTACCAGAACTCTATTTTGGAGAAGGCTACTGTTCCTCAGAGAAAAACTAAACCAATTCTTTCATCATCATATGCTCTTCTGTTATTTTGTGATAAATTAACTTTTTTTTTACAGCAGCTTATATAGTGCTATAGTCACAGTAGATTTAGAAATTCTTCCCCAAGTTTTTAAAAACAACTGATTTAATAATGAGCTTAAATCAAAAATATGTAAATAAATAATATATAAATAATAATATATTTAAAAATAAATAATCTTGGTCTAATTTAAAGCACAAGCTAAAACAGGTCAATATATATTCCAAGTGAAGGTGCAAATGAAATGTTGCTTTCTTCAACAGAATCCTCCACCTCACACCTGACAGATCACATATGAACGATTATAAAGCAATGGGTTGATGAGAAAGCAGAGTCTTATTTAGTGATGGTGATAGCACCAAACCACAAACTGTGGAGTTAGATTACACTCCTTGGTGGCCTGTGGGATTGCCTACAGGCAGATGGTTACCTTACTCCACATGCTAGAGTTGTATAAGGCGTTCAGAATGTCAGGGCGGAGCAGCTCGTTGCAGCCGCTCCTGAGCAGCTCCTTGGCCCTGACCTTATACTTGACCTGTCCACAGACATACACATACAGACACAGAGGTCATGCTACAAAAATAAGGGCAGAGAGAGAGAGAGGGGGAACGGACAGTGGCTTCTGAAGTCCAGCGAGAGGCTTGCTCTAATGTCAATCTGGTGACTCCAATGAGCTTAATCAAAAATGCTACTGTTTAAATGAAGGGATTTCTGAGACAGAACCACTGTTAGTAGCTCTTGCATCTTTTGTATTATGGACAGCAATGGAATATTGGAATACTGGTTCTCTCTGGGGTATACAGATTGACATTATGCTGCACACTCAAAGAAACCACTGAGAGTCATTTGCATGGCACGGTGGTAGGCACCTAAGAGAGAGAACGAAACATGAATTAGTGACATCGTAAGCATGCGACGGCACCGTCCAGCAGGTCTGAGCTGGCCTCATGCTCGGGCCCCTGAGGCATACTGGAACCGAGGGGGGGGTTTTACCTGGCTCAGCTTGTTGGCCTCTTTAGCCAGGATGTTTCTAGGGTCATCTACAACTACGGTGTACTTATCCTTAGACTTCTCATAATCAGCACGATAGGATCTCTGCTCAGAACATCGAAGAAACAGTTAAAGACACCTGCCTCCAGTTCAAAAGAGGCTTAACCAGTCACCCAGGAGAAAAATGCTTAACACTCATCCAAGAGAAAGAGGAAGTAAAAGGTATTTCTATACAGTTATTTAAAACATTTTTCACAATAAAAAGTAATCTGCAATGAATTCATATGGAAAATTGCCTTGTACCTACTTTAGATGTAGAGAAAGAAGTGCATGTTAATGTTTAATATACCATAACATAAACATAATATGATGTAAACACAACAAAATATAACATAAAACATTATATAAATGCATGCATTTGCTCAATTTAATACTTATTATTCAAATATTTTACTGTTTAAAAAAACATGACAAGACAATTCTCTTTTTAACTTACATCATTGGCGAGAGCAGAAGCATGTCTGACAGCCTCAAAGAAGGGTGTGTCACATGTGTACTTGAAGTTGCCTCTGTTCTTTTCATAAGATGCTTTGTACAGCCTCTGTTAAAAAAAGGAGAACATAAGAAATAGGAGTGTAAATCATTCAGTCAGTTTCAACACGTATTAATTATATTATTGCTTTGTATCTGTTATTCTCCAACAAGAAATGTTCTTTACCTCACTGTAGAGAGCCTTGTTATGTTCGGCCTGTACCAGCGCAGGTGTATCCCACACATAGCAGCCAATGCCCTTGAGCCAGTCTAGATCCTCTTTGTATTTGATCTGATATAAATGAGGAGGTTTAAAAAACAAACATGTTTTAATCAAAATTCATCTTGATGGAACTGTCTAAAGATTTCATCTGCTTAGGCAAATTATCATACTCACATCACTGATGCAGTCTCTTACAGCTCTGCTGTGGAAGAACTCAGGACGGTCTGGGATGGACTTCCAGGTGCCCAGTGAGTCGATGTACTTCTCTCTGTACTTAACCTGTGATAGGGACGGTAAGACAGTAAAGGACAAAGCCCCTATACCAATTCCCGTCACACTTAAAATGGAGAAAGAACTCTTCGCTGACCTCACTGATGTCATCTCTGACGCGCTTAGCACAAACAATGTCCAGTGCATCCTTAACAGTGTGATAGTGTCCCTTGGACATCTCAAAGGTCTCCTTGTATCGCAGCTAGAGGGAAAAAAGCATGCATTAGGTCTTTGAGGTCAATGAACAGGCCATCAAGTTTAGACAATAAGTAAGATATATACTTACATCGCTGGAATTAAGGTAGGCCTTTTTGGCACGAACCAGAATAGGTGTGTCATGGATAGCAGTGTACCTGTGCTTCATCTTTTCATATTGTTCTTTGTACTTTTTCTAGAGATGGAAAAACAAAGATGCATGTAAATAAATATAAAAATGTGGAAATGTGCTGTACAAATCATTCCAGATCTCAGTAACAATGTGACTTACCTCACTATACACAACTTTCATATTTCTGGCATGGTTCAAGTGAGGCGTGTGTGACTCTGGGGTGTAGAATGCTCTTTCTTTGGCAGCCAGGTCAGTGTACAACCACTATAAAAGGGACAGACACATCATATAAAACTATAAAGTCATCATAGACATATTTCCTACATCACTTTTGCTCATAATCGCCCATATTTATCAAACTACTGGGGTCAGCTTATAGACCTTAATTTGAAACGCTTGATAAATATAGCTCAACATCTCCAAAATTATTCAGAAAAGAGTAAGTTGTTTGTTAAAAGCTTGTTATTTTATAAACATTGACAACAACAGATTAACCCTAGGACTATAAGTTGGTCTATAATAAAGTTCTGCAAGTACTTTACCTTGTTGGTAAGAGTCTGGGCCCACTTGGCTCTCTTGAAGTCTAAAGCATCTGCAGTAGAGGTGCACTTGGTCTTCTGTACATTACCATCGGCTTTGTACACCAGCTGTCAGCAGAAAGACAGACATGGGATAGAAAGTTAAGTGGCCATTCGAAAATACATTTGATATATCTGCTGGGCCATGATCTGTGAGCAATGATGAACAACTCACATCACTTATGTGGGTCTTCAGCTCAGACACACGCTGGTACTCTGGAGTGTCCAGGACCACAGAGAAGTTGGCGAAATTCTTCTTGGCCTCAACATCATAGGAAGACTTGAGGGGGTAATAAAAAATACTGATTCAAAAACTGACAACCGACACAGCTCAAGCTCAAATAAACAATAATTACTCAATAATGCCCTCTAAATGTGTTACAGGACCGGTCAGATGTTAGAACGTTTGCTGTTTTCATAAGAATCATGACAATAAATGAATGTTTTTTCTCCTTTCTGCAATTTACATGATCATACTGAACTTAACTCATAAATAATGCAACCAATTGACCTTCTTTTTGTTGTGATAAACATAAGATTGTGAAAGCTAATGACTGTGGAAAATAATTGTGATGAGCTTGAAGGGCCAAGGTTTCTACTGTGCCTTATTGAGAAGCTGCCCTACCCCCATCCCAAATGGAGTTCTTATCAGCATCTACATTTCAAAGACTTGGTAGTACTCTTTCAGGCTCGGGGGTGTTTTCCACAAATGGTCACTTCTGATTGGTCAGAATGACAAGGTCTTGGTTTTACATAATAACAGTCTGGTCAATGATGAAAGGCGGAAGGAGCCCTTGGAGAAGGGGATTCTGCGGAGAGGCTGGACCGCCAGTCCTAGCTCTCTCTCTTTCTTTCTTTCTCTCGCTCTCTTTCTCTCTTTGTATCTATCTATCTACCAGGTAATATATCGGTAGTATTCTCAGGTAGTATTATCAGTGATGTATTTGTCTTATTTACAGTATCTTTTGTATAGCCTCATCATAGTATCCATTGAATTATAACATGTAAAAAATTGATTATGTACTGTTAATAAACCATACCCTAAACCACAAGTTACTACTTGCTGTTACTACTGAACAGCATTGCTTAATATACTACACCATATTTAAAAGCATAATGCCACATTCACTCTTAAAGCCCTTGATGATCTACAAGCTTAAATAATTGCAGCCAGATCAAATAACTGTGATTAGGTGATTATGCAATAACTGTGACAGGCCTAATTAGGGTTCAACATTTTAATTTACATAGATGATGACGATGATGATCATTTTTATAGTTACCCTAAATTTGTTGAACTGACGGATGCGGACCATCTCAGGGGAGTTGAACAAAAAGCAACCAATACCTCTCAGCCACTGCAGATCCTCTTTGTATTTCAGCTTTAAATAAATGAAAACAAACATAGTTAAAACAAATACACTGCTGACGTTCCACGGTAGGAGTTATTTGTAAAATGGGGCACAAAATGGCACAAATACGTGGTACATACATCGCTGTTGAGCTCATTTACGTGGAAGCAGTGCAACAGCTCTGGAGTGATGGGCATGGGCAGGAGTGTGCCTCTGCTGCTGTAGTATTTTTCCTTATAGCAAACCTATTGGGAATCACAGATGTTTAGTGTCATTTGAGTGCTTAAAAAAGGAAAATAAGTAAAATGTTACCTTTGATATTGCAGAATTAATGTAATGAAAATGCTAAAAGAAGCGCTACATATGGGTTACTCACATCACTGATGGCCTCCTGGGTAGCCTTAACCTGCTTGATCTCTGGAGTGTCGTACACAGAGTGAACCTTGTCCTTTTCCTTCTCATACTTGGCACGGTAAAGTCGCTAAAAATATAACATGAATAGTAAAAAACTTTGTTTCTCTGACACGAGCAGAATAATACCTTAAAAGGTAAATGTGATTATTTGTCTTACGTTATTGATGATCTGGTTGGCCTTTCTGATGGTGACAAAATTGACATCATTGGGGTCCAGTTTATAGCTCTTCGCTTTCATAAGCTCATAAGCTTCCTTGTACTTCACCTGTGGATATTGGAGCAAGACACGTTGAGATATAATGGCATCATCAGATCAACATGCTTTGATTGTAGAGCTTGTTATGATGCCCACTTACATTGCTAGCGATGATCCTGCTGGCCTTAGCGTGTTTCATAAGTGGCGTGTCATGAGGAAGAGAGTAGCCAGTGGGCATGAAGCTCTTGCTGGCCTCTTTGTACAAGTTCTACATAAAAAAGAGAATATTATTAAAATATTATACATGTAATTGGAGAATGCCTCACAATTATGCTGTGAACAAAGTTAGGTAGGAAGCAATCTTACATCACTCTGGATGTAGTTGGCCAAACGAGCCCGTTCTGAGTCAACGGTCACAGCAGGAGCGGTGTTTTTACCCCTAACGTTGGTGACATAGTCATAGCGGTAGTTGAGCTGAGGATGGGAAGGACAAAAGTTAATGCACAGGATAGGAATTCTTTACCTCACTTAGAATGCTGATTCAAACTGTGACCAACATATGTAGTTAAAAATTGACAAGGATTTTGATGAGCAGTGTTTTATAAGCATTTTAAGAGACTTACCTCGCTCAAGTTCCGGGCGCTCAGCTTGCATGTCTCATACACAGGGGTTTCCGTCACAACGGTGTAGTTCTTGAAATGCTCGATTCCTTTAGCTCTGTATAATGCCTGAAATAGGCAGTCAAAAACGGTTCAAATGGAGTGTAAGAGCAGCATGTGAAACATAACAGAGGAGCAGATGTTGATAGCAGGAAACAGTCCATACTTACTTCACTCTGCAGCTTCATGGCTTGCTTGCAGCGCAGAATCTCAGGAGTATCCCAAGCATAGCAGCCAATTCCCTTCAGCCAGTTCATGTCATCTTTGTAGAAGATCTGCAGGTACACAGTCAATGTCAGGAAAAAATTGCTTCACTTTCCATTCACCACAATCAATGATTAAAGAGACTTGAGTTTTCCCTTACAGCTTCTAATAAATTATATCAAATTCAGATGTGATGGCACAGAGGTTGAATTACTATAAAAAAAGTGATGTGATGGTACAGAGGTTAAATTACTGTAAAATAAGGAGTTTTAAATACAATGCAGAAATGCAGGTCAAATAGGTTCCAGAACAGTGCAATCCATATTGAAAATATACTAGATATAGACATTTTAGTGGAAATAATGACCAGTAGAAGTGTGGCAGAAACCATGATTCATATTTTTCTTTTATTTTATTTTACCCAATTAATGACATTTGTATTATGCTCCAAAAACAAAAAAAGCTCCTTTTAGCCCCTAAAGGGGAAACAACTTGTTCGATTAATGTGCCTTTCAGACTGATGAGCTCTGTTATGATTGACTGCCCTGCATTGTGCCTCAAAAAAACTATATAGGCCAAAACTTTATATATCTAAAACATGGATGGGTGGATATTTAAGCAATACAACACGAGAGGGAGTGTGTTATCGCCATAGATCATCACAGCCGTGATGTTATAGCAATAACACACAACCTCGAGTGTTCTGTTGCTTTTATACAACAGTTAAGTAAGAAATAAATAAACTGGGCCGTGAATGTGGCATTTAATGTGTTTCAATGTTAGCAGTTCCTTCCACCAAATTATAGTTCCTTAACAAGCAGCTTGATGCTACATCAGAGTAATGAGCTCCGCTCACTGGCTGCACAGCTGGCAGTTCATTCTCCAGCTCCACACAGACCAACTAACAGTTTCGGAATTTAGTGTAGTCTCATCTTCAGAGTCTGACCAATTCAGCTGTAGGTCAAATGTGATCTTAGAAGAATCTATTTTCTGTTCGTTCGCAAAGTAAGAAGTAAAAATGTTCAAATGGCTTGAGCGTCTCCTACAGCTGTGAAAGTCGTTGCTTAGCAACGGTGTCTCAGTGGAGTGATACAGTGTTTGTGAAAAAAACGTGATGTTCCGGCGAAATAACAGTGCAGTTAGAACGCGTCTCAACCAATCAGCTTGCGTGGCCAGAACTAACTGTCGCATAAATGTAAATATAAATGGACATTTCTACGTAAATTTGTGACATCACAAAAAACAATAAATTCAGTGGGCTGTTTTTGCATGTTGGTTTCCATGTATGGATGTATGTGTGTACTAAGGAATGAACTTTACATGCAACATCAAAGTGTTTTGTTTAAAAAGAAAGGGAAATTAATCTTCTATGATATTTGCCTTTAAGTTTTTTCAGTTGTACACAGCGAACACTTATATATTAACCTCATTGTGGTGAAATATGTAAGAGGGTTCACTCACGTCACTGAGCTGCTCATTGACTTTGCGGGCATGTACGTAGACCTGCATGTCAGGCAGGCAGATCCACTGGTGCAGGTATTTACGGTAATCAATTTCACTGATCATTTTCTGGGTGTTGCGGGCAGCCACCACATCCAGCATGTCAGGAGGCACGTGGATTTTGGCTTTGATCTTTTCCCAGTTCTGCTTGTACAGGCGCTGTTGAAAAGGATGGAGATAAAGCAATCAGAAATGGATCATTCCTATGATCTTGTAAACCACTGGAACATATTTGTAAGTAAGTATCATTATTCATCTTAAGAAAGGGACATGCCACTTACATCTAAGTTGAGTTTACCAGCCTTGATGCATCTGGCAGTGGCAGGGTCATCCTCCAGGCACTTGGGTAGACTGTAGAGGGACTTAAACTTCTCATAATCCTCCTTGTATTTCACCTGCAGAAATGACAGTATGTTTATTCTCGAATTCAAAGTGTCAGCTGGAATTGTGAAGAAGCTGTTGAATGAATTGGACTCACGTTGCTCAAGACGACCTTCTGCTGTTTGGCATGGACCAAAGCATGAGAGTCGTGAGGGATGCTGTAGCTCTTGGCCTTGATTCTATCCCAGATAGCGGAGTATGCTTTCTGTGGGTGAAAAGTTAATGCATACATAAACTTAGCACAACAGCACAGTCTGAGGCAAGAGCATGTAAGATATTTGATTCCTCAGACTTACCGTGCTGTACAGTTGCTTCAGGTTTAAGCATCTAGCATAGTCATAGGTGTCCAGAACAGTGGTGTACAAGTGCTTCTCCTTGTGGTACGCTTCTCTATAGTTCAGCTGTGGACAAAGTGTAAATCATGTATCAGGTTAAATGTGTAACACTATAAAACAGTTTTTTTAAAGATTTGTAAATACAAAATTAAATAATGAAATATTTAAAGACATTATTTAAATGTTTGAATTTCTGAAGACATACTTCACTAGCCCAGGTGTGGCCCAGTATAGCAGTCACATACACAGGAGTGTCTGTCACAATGGAGTAGTTGTTGAACTCCTTCTTACCCTCTGCCTTATACTTGATCTGTTGAAAAACACAGAAGATCAAAATTAATTATGTAATCTTTACTTATGTAGAGTACATATCTGGATTTGCAGTTTAGGAATACCAGGTCTTTAAATTGCTACTCACGTCACTCTGAAGCTCATAAGACTTCTTGGCACGCACAATTTCAGGTGTGTCCCACACATAGCAGCCAACGCCCTTCATCCAGTTCAGGTCATCTTTGTAGAACACCTAAAAAACAGATCAAACAATATAATTTTACTTGGTTTGATAGACGAGATATAGTGTTTGATTTGGTACAGAGGTTCAGGGATATCCTACATCACTCAGGATCTCATTGGCCTTGCGGGCGCGGATAGCGTCATTCTGGTCAGGGTGGCACGTCCACTGGTGCAGGTAGGTGCGATACTGCACATCACTCAGGATGTCCTGGCATCTTTTGGCAACGATGTGGCTGATCATGTCGGCAGGAATGTGTAGCTTAGTCTTGGTCGTATTGTAGTCCTTATGGTAGTCTCTCTGTAGTCATGAAGTAACATAAAAGCAAGGCATCTTTTACATTAAATCTTTGCATTAAATTATGTCTTTTACTTGTCTTAGGATTTCATGTCAAATCCTCTATGATGTGATGTCACAGCTTACCAGGTTCTTCATCTTTTCTATTTTACCAAAGTGGACCACCTCAGGAAAGTCAACCAGAGTGCCAGCCATGTAGTGACCCTTGGCCTTTTCGTGGGAATCGTGATACTTAACCTGAAAAAATCAAATGAACAGTCAAGTAATTATGCAAAAAAAGAAAAAACAATAGATAAATGATGCCTTCAGTAGTCTTATGCTTGATAATGTATTATACATGCACACCACTCACATCACTGACGATGTCTCTGCTCTTCTTGGCTACAGTAAGTGGGAGATATTGATGGTTCAGCTGATAACCAGTGGCTTTGGCTTCATCCCAGCCAAGTTTGTACAGTTTCTGCAAAAAAAAAGGAAATGTAACACAACAGAAACATTCTAAACCTTTTTGGTTTTTAATTAGAGGAAAGAGTGGAAGTGCTTTACCTCACTAATGTTCTTTGCAAACTCTCTGCAGTGGGCCAGCTGCGGGGTATCATCAGATCCGATGTAGTGACCCTTCTCCAGGTTGAAGGACTCTTTGTACTTCAGCTATACAAAAAGAGGAAATGGAATTACAATTGGGAAACACAATCAGGAAATGGAACCAGAAATGATAAAAAGTAGCATACTTTGGTAAATAAAATAAATAAATACAATTAAATTAAATATGAAGGAAAGAATTAAAGGGGAATTCCACAGATTTTTCAAAATTTCTGCTTTATAAATGGTTAAGATGTAGACAATGTCATTCAGAGAGGTTTAGTGTGAAATGCTCCATTCTAGGGAATCCTACTGAGTCAGAATTGTTCACAGTGGTGCTGGTAGGAACAAGACATCCGAACAGTTTAATGTGTCTAAAATCTCACAGAAAGCTACTGTATGAAAACTGCTTGATGTCAGAGATGTTATTTTACTATAGTTTTGAGATAATCATTTGGATGAAAATGGATTTCATAGTGAAGAGGTACATGCAGGATACTGAAAGAAAAATAGTTCCCAAAGAATTTTTTTTTCAGATTTACCACTATTTTACCATTTTCAACATTACACATAAAAACTCTGTGTAGGTTCACTGGTGGTTTCAGATAGTAAATAAAATGTCTATATTAATGCTGTAGTCATCATGACCCCTGGTTCCTATCACCACCATTGTAAAAAATCAGCAAGTCTCTTTTCTCTACAATGCAGCATTTCACATCTAAGCACTCTAAATAACTTTGTTTACATCTTAATATTTAATTATGCAGAAATTATGAAACATTGATGGAATTCCCCTTTAATAAAAGGCTTATATTACTTTTATAGATTTTCTGCAGTGATAAAATAATTTGATCATGTTAGGCATCCTTTATGAACAGCATTATGGTATAAGAATATGCTTAAACAATATGGTTGCCCAAAACAAAAATACCTTAAGCAGTCCAATGAAACAATCACGATTTATGTATTAAGAAGTGATTCCCTGCACATATTCTGAAAAAGGCCATTAACCATCAAATTTCAATTAATCTCAGGATCGACCTCTACTCTCCAGAGAACCTTTATCATTTCATATTTAGTGTTTCTAAAGACTAAATAACTTCACAAAATACTTACATCACTGAGATTGAAAGCGTTAACCTTGGCCAAGACAATTTCAGGGCGATCCACAATAAGGGTGAACTTGGAGAAGTTGTCCTTGGCATTTTTCTTGTAATGTCTCTGTTTAGAGAGAACAGAAGCAGGTGTTGGACAAGAATAATGAATTCTCAGTCTGAATAGTACTTGGGTCAATGAGAAGAATGGTGAGCACTTACATCATTAAGGATCTCTTGGGCTTTCCTGACTTTGACATGTTCAACACTATCAGCTGCCACCCATCCACAGCCGCGGATCCATTCCAAATCTGCCTTGTAGACGTTCTTGAAGGAGAAGATGAGAGTGGTTATTTAATTAATCTATTTTTAAACTTCCTATTATCTTGTTTAACATAAGTTTATATTTGTTATATAGCCGTCTCCAATTCTTAAATATAAACAGAGAAAAGGTTAACTAGACTTACATCACTGCAAAGATCATAGGCTTTGCGAGCCTGAATAACATCATTCTGATCTGGTAGGCAGGTCCAGTTGTGCAGGTAAGTTCTGTAATTATCATCATTGACCTGCATCTGACATTTCTTGGCTAATTCAAAGGCCAACATATCTACGGGGAGGTTGAACTTTGTCTTGGATTTGTTGAAGTCTTTCTTGTACAGGGCATCACTAGCGATCTTAGCAGAGTTCACAGCCAGCATCATCAGTGGATCATCCTGGATGCTTCGGGCACCAATATGATGACCAACTTGCCTACGGTAGCCTTCCATGTACTTGTACTGCACAAAAAAATGTCAGAGGTTCTTTTGTGGCAATAAAAATATCTAATGTGTAACATATATATAGAGATCTAAACATTTTAAAGAAAAAACTACTTACACGACTTTGCACTTTCGAGGTGCTGATGCACTGTTTAATAGGAACAGCATCTCCAGGCATGAAGTATGAGGTAGCCTTTGTCTTATCCCAGTCCTTGGTGTAGAGTGTCTAAGAAAAATAAAGTATAATAAATACATATTAAAGAGTAAATAAATAAAGAGTATCTTTGCTCAAGTCATTAAATATTTCATTGGCACTTGAAAAGATGCAAGGAAAAATTTGCACTAACTGGATGAGTATTCTTGGCCACTTCCCTGGCTGTTGCCAGCAGTGGGGTGTCCAGCATTGTGTATTTGACCTTATCACGGTGCCATGCCTCACGGTAGCTTGCCTGGGAGACAAGAACACAATTGTTTAAAATACAGGTTTAATACACCATTGAACATGACTAAACTAACATTTGTTGTCTAACAGTGATGACAAAGGCTTCCATACAGAACCTAAAATGTAATTATCACCTTTACAATCTGAAATAGAATGACATCGTTTTAGAGAATAGGATTTCTCACCTCATTCAGCACGCTAGCAGAATTCTTGGCACACAAAATATCAACCCTATCAAAAGGAACAGTGTACTTCTGTTCATCCAGCTTCACACGGTAGCCTCTCTGTAAAAAACAATCACAAAAAACATTTTTTCTCCTTTTGTATCTCCAAAAGTAATAGGCGCCGATAAAAATAGCCAAGTGTTACATATTCATTTTTTTTCAAAAGAGGAGAACAATTTTTAGGCACTTACGTCAGCCAGGATCTGCTGGGCATTCTTCACCTTCTTGACTTCTAAGCATTCATGCGGGCTCCAGCCACATCCTCTCAGCCACTCCAGATCAGCCTTGTATACAGCCTGTTCATCATAAGAAGAAAAATATTTACAACGTCACTAATCCAATAGACATCTTTAATAGTTCCTGCTCAAAAATTATATTAAAACTTTAGCTCACATCACTCCGGAGGTCATATGCCTTCCTGGCTTGGACAACGTCATTGGAGTCTGGCAGGCAAGTCCAGTTGTGCAGGTAAGTTCTGTAGTTGGCATCGTTGACTTGGATTTGGCATTTCTTAGCCAGTTCAAGATTCAACATATCCGCTGGGAGATTGAATTTGGTCTTGGATTTGTTGAAGTCCTTCTTGTACAGGGCATCACTAGCAATCTTAGCAGAGTTCAGGGCCAGCATGATCAGTGGGTCATCGTTGACGCATCTGGCTCCAATATGGTGCCCAACTTGCTTGCGGTAGCCTTCCTTGTACTTGTACTGCAAAGAGGAAAAGATAAAGATCATTTTGTGCAAATCTTAGCTACAAAAAAGTGTATGTTATTCTAAAAATGTTCTTGCAAGGCTTACATCACTAGCAATGTCTCTAGAAGCTCTGGCCTTCAAAACAGCGACAGCATCCTCTTTGATCTGGTATGCTTTTGCCTTCTGGGAGTCCCAGTCTTTAGTGTACAATTTCTGTTGACAGGACAAACAGCTAGTGAAAATCAATTAAAAACAAACAAAGAAAACAGTTGGAAATTTGAAGGGTGTGCTTACGTTGCTGACAGCAATGGCATTTGCTTTGGACAGCATAACTGCTGGTGTGTCTGGGTTCATATGGATTGTCGTTTTGTCTTTCTCCCATGCCTCCTTGTATTTTCTCTGTGATTGAAGAACAAAGAAAACAAGCACATCTGTTCACCAAAGGTAGTCATTTGTTTTGCATACAGTTCAGCGATTTTAGTGTAGTGGAACTAATACATAGTTGCTGGACATGAAACAAGAGAAAATTACACAAAAAATATTTGTGATGCTAAGACTATGAGCATTGTTTGCTGGAGCAATGAGAGCAGCTTACTTCACTTAGGATATCAGCATTCTGCTTGGCTAGAACAATGACAGGCAGGTCCACTGCACTTGTGAATGGGACTGTGCTAGGATGCTGTCTATACAGTCGGTCGTTGAGGACTCTCTGGGCATTCCTGACTTTAATAACTTCAACAGAACCTTGTGGCATCCAGCCGATTCCACGGAGCCACTCTAGGTCACTCTTATACACCGCCTAGGAAGACAGTTTAAAACCTGGTCAGTTGTGAGCTGATATATTAATGAACAGCAGTTGGAGCTTCTCAGAAGATGTATACTTACATCGCTCCGGAGGTCATAAACTTTCCTAGCCTGAACAACATCATTGGAGTCTGGCAGGCAGGTCCAGTTGTGCAGATATGTTCTGTAGTTGGCATCGTTGACTTGAATTTGACATTTTTTGGCCAGCTCAAGACTCAGCATGTCCACTGGGAGATGGAATTTGGTCTTGGATTTGTTGAAGTCCTTCTTGTACAGGACATCGCTAGCAATTTTACCGGAGTTCAGGGCCAGAATGATCAGTGGGTCATCCTTGACGCTTCGCGCTCCAATGTGATGTCCTTGTTGCATTCTATAGCCAGCTTTGTACTTGTACTGCAAGAATATAATGATGAGTATCAGCTTTGTTTTATATGTAAATTACTTATGTCTATTTAGAGTACAGACACTCACATCACTGACGATGTCCCTGGAGGCCTTGGCAGCTTTAACAGCAACAGCATCTTTCGGCAGGAAGTATCCTTTCTTAAGACTGTCCACGTAGGCTTGGTGGTAGTATTTCTGTAAAAAACAAAAACATTAAGGATGTTCAGTGGCTAACAACTGTATCATTTTGAAACTGATGTTTTTAGTCATTTACTGCAAAAGTGCCAATGCACTTACAATGCTGTTGTTGAGTTTGTTCTGCCTTCCTAACTCAATCTCAGGCGTATCTGGCATGATGTGGACTTGGATCTTCTCCTTATTCCAAGCATCAACATAAGCTCTCTGCAAAGCAGTAATGGTTAAGAATGGAGAAGAAACAGGATTGAACTATTTATGAGTATTAATAAATATATGTCCAACTGGACAATCATTTAATTTGTTAAAACATTAATATTACATCTATGCTTTTTCTCACTATTTCTTCACAAGAAAAAAAATAGAATAAAAACTACCTGGTCCATGATCTGAGCATTGGCTTTGGCAAGAGCCATTGGGATAGAGTCTGTTGTGCTGGTAAACTTGAAGTTGCTTGGATGCTGACGGTATTTCCTCTCACTCAAGATTTCACTGGCTTTTTTGACCTTTTCTACATCCACAGAGCCAATGGGAACCCAACCTGTTCCTCGAATCCATTCCATATCAGCTTTGTACACAGCCTGGTTTTATGTGAGAGAAAAGGCATTATTGCTTTCACCTTCAACTTTAGAGGTAAACATATATATATATATAGATATATATACTAAAAAGGCCTTGAGTTGATGGCCATGCAAAAAATGAATAAATAAAAATTAACGCACATCACTCCGGAGGTCATAAACCTTCCTAGCCTGAACAACATCATTGGAGTCTGGCAGGCAGGTCCAGTTGTGCAGATATGTTCTGTAGTTGGCATCATTGACTTGGATTTGACATTTTTTGGCCAGCTCAAGACTCAGCATGTCCACTGGGAGATTGAATTTGGTCTTGGATTTGTTGAAGTCCTTCTTGTACAGGGCATCGCTAGCAATTTTACCGGAGTTCAGGGCCAGAATGATCAGTGGGTCATCCTTGACGCTTCGAGCTCCAATGTGATGTCCTTGTTGCATTCTATAGCCAGCTTTGTACTTGTACTGCAAGAATATAATGATGAGTATCAGCTTTGTTTTATATGTAAAACTATACTATTGTTTTATATGTAAATTACTATGTCTATTTAGAGTACAGACACTTACGTCACTGACGATGTCCCTGGATGCTTTGGCAGCTCTGATGGAGACAGCATCTGATTTAATGTCATAACCCTTCCTGAAGCTGTCCTCCACTGCTTGCCTGTACAGTTTCTGTTTTTTGGTTTAAATCAAATGGTAAGTAAAACTCAAAATCAAAGAAAAAATGAGTCATGGTCTATAAACATATGAAGTAGTACTAAAGTGAGTACTAAAAAGAAACAAAATAACATTAATACTTGAAACTTACCCTGCTGTTCACAACAGCATTGGCCTTAGACAGCAGAATTTCTGGGGTATCAGGGTTAATATGGATCTTGATCTTATCAGCTTCCCAGGCTGCAATGTACTGACGCTGAAATGTAACAGCAAAAAACAGTATTCCAATGTTAAATTTGTGGAAGCAACAATATCAGGACACAAAGAATTAACTAACAAATTATGCAAAAACTAAATTATCTTCTACCTTGTTGATAATAAGTTTATGCTGATTTCATCTTTTTTTTCTAATTAAACGAAAACAATGAGGTCATTTTACCTGGTTCATAACGTCAGCATTTGTCTTTGCCAGGACCATGGGCATGGACTGCATGTCTTGTGAATATTTAAATATGTCTGGTTTCTGCCTGTAGAGGCGATCGCTGAGGATCTCTCCTGCTTTCTTTGCTTTTACGACATCAAGTGAACCGATTGGGACCCATCCAATGCCTTTCATGTCCTCAAGGTCAGCTTTGTACACAGCCTAAATAAGGAAAGGTCAATGTAGCTGCTTACCTGCTGAAAAACTGGTTGGATCAATATGAAGATGAAAATTATTTGCTATAAACTTACGTCACTGCGCAGATCATACACTTTCCTAGCTTGGACAACGTCGTTGGAGTCTGGCAGGCAGGTCCAGTTGTGCAGGTAAGTTCTGTAATTGGCATCATTGACTTGGATCTGGTTCTTCTTTGCCAGTTCAAATGCCAGCATGTCCACTGGGAGGTTGAACTTGGTCTTGGATTTGTTGAAGTCCTTCTTGTACAGGGCATCACTAGCAATCTTAGCTGAGTTCAAGGCCAGCATGAGCAGTGGGTCATCCCGGATACTCAGGGCACCAATGTGGTGACCAACTTGCTTACGATATCCAGCCTTGTACTTGTACTACAGTGAAATAGTTTGATTTTGAGCATCAGTCATTTATGTTTAACAATTGCATGGAAATGTGCAAGAAAACAATCGTACAGAATGTGCAAGACAAGTAAGTGCTTACATCACTAACGATGTCTCTAGAGGCTTTGGCTGCTTTGATAGAAATAGCATCACTGCGCAAGTCATAGCCCTTCTTCTTCGATTCTTCATTGGCAAGTTTGTACCTTTTCTGTAGGCAAAAAAACACACATATTTAAATATTATTTGTGCAAATAAGCATACATTGTAAAACACTCACATGAATTCTATGATCAGTATTCAAGACTTCAAGACACTATAAAAAAACACTCTTACCTCACTGTAATTAACATTGTTCTGTTTTGCTAGCAAAATGTCCATAGCATCAGGCATAATGTGAATCTTGGTCTTTTCCTTTTCCCAAGCTTCAATGTAATGTTTCTGTGGGAGACAAATGAAATCAATAAGAGGATTTGGGCTTTTACAAGAAATACTGGAATCACTTCAGAGCATCTATGGAGGTAAATATTAAAAAAAAAGAATGACTGATTTTAGTGTACATTGTTACTGTACCTTATTGCCAATCTCAGCATTGGCTTTAGCCAAGGCCATTCCCATGTCCTGGGTTGTGCTGGTGAACTTGAAGTTGCTTGGGTGCTGACGATAATGTCTTTCACTCAGAATATGTCCAGCTTTCTTCACTTTCTCTACATCAAGTGAACCAATGGGGACCCATCCCAGGCCTTGCAGCCATTTCAGATCAGCCTTATACACGGCCTAAGTGAGAAGCAAAATAAGTAAAATGAATATTAATGAGTTAAATGATATCACATCAAACCGGTCTGTATACACTGCGTGCTGTGTCACTCAATTTTTCTGTGTACAGACACAAAAGACGTACATACATAACAATATACTTACATCACTCTGGAGGTCATAGACCTGTCGGGCCTGGACAACATCGTTGGAGTCTGGCAGGCAGGTCCAGTTGTGCAGGTAAGTCCTGTAGTTGGCATCGTTGACTTGGATCTGGCATTTCTTAGCCAGTTCAAGACTCAACATGTCCACTGGAAGATTAAATTTGGTCTTGGACTTGTTGAAGTCCTTCTTGTACAGGGCGTCACTAGCAATCTTAGCTGAGTTCAAGGCCAGCATGAGCAGCGGGTCATCCTTGATACTCAGGGCTCCAATGTGGTGACCAACTTGCTTACGATATCCAGCCTTGTACTTGTACTACAGATGAAAGGTGATCAAAGCAATGATTAAAAATTTTCATCAGGTTCGCCCATGTATGTTTAATGATAATATAGTTATTATTATAAATGGAAAACTCACATCACTGATGATATCTCTGGATGCCTTGGCAGCTTTGATAGAAATGGCATCTCCGCGCAAGTCATAGCCCTTCTTCTTAGCCTCCTCATTGGCAAGTTTGTATTGTTTCTAAAGAAGAGGTTAGAAATTAAAAGAAAAAAAAACTTTGCCAGTAGAAACCCTGATTGTCTTATCAATAAAACAATGCTTGCACCTTACCACACTGTAATTAATCTTGTTCTGTCTTGCAAGGACCACCTCCAGTGTGTCTGGCATCATATGAATCTTTGTCTTATCACTCTCCCAAGCTGAGATGTAATTTTTCTGTAGTGTAAAACACATACATTTAAATACATTCAACCATAAATTAAAAGATGGATCTTTAATTAGAAAGGGACTAAATATATGCATATCTTAAAAGACTAAAAGAATCAGAGACTGCATTCATGCTTCATGAAACAATACCTTGTTCATGACTTCAGCATTGGCTTTAGCCAAGGCCATTCCCATGTCTTCAGTTGTGCTTGTGAATTTGAAGTTGCTTGGGTGCTGACGATACCGTTTTTCACTCAGAATCTCTCCTGCTTTCTTCACTTTCTCTACATCAAGTGAACCAATGGGGACCCATCCCAGGCCTTGCAGCCATTTCAGATCAGCCTTATACACAGCCTAATCATACACAGAAACAAAATTTCTATTTCATATTCATGAATTAAATTGACATGGTATTGCATGACGTTTGAAACAAATGATCAAGTTCACAAAATGTATTTATAAAAGACAGGCAAGCGTCTTAAAACACTTACATTACTCTGGAGGTCATAGACCTGTCGGGCCTGGACAACGTCGTTGGAGTCTGGCAGGCAGGTCCAGTTGTGCAGGTAGGTTCTGTAATTGGCATCATTGACTTGGATCTGGTTCTTCTTTGCCAGTTCAAATGCCAGCATGTCCACTGGGAGATGGAACTTTGTTTTGGATTTGTTGAAGTCCTTCTTGTACAGGGCATCACTAGCAATCTTAGCTGAGTTCAAGGCCAGCATGAGCAGTGGGTCATCCCGGATACTCAGGGCACCAATGTGGTGACCAACTTGCTTGCGATAGCCAGCCTTATACTTGAACTACAGTGGAAAAGGATGAAACGTAGAAAAAAGAAAAAATCTCAAATCGCAATTTTACAATATAACAGTAATTTACCCTTAAAGGGGCCATATCCTACATTTACCTGCCATTATATTTTTCCCTGAGGTCCACTTATGACATTTGTGTGCTTTTATGTACTGAAAACAGCCAAAATTTATTTTCCAATCTCTCCTAATTCTTTAGAATTAAATGGGGTGTTTATGTTACGACTTAAGACTGATGTATGTAAATGATCTCTGTTCTGATTGGCTGTATTGTGCTTTGATCAAAAAGCAATCTGGGCTTAAAAATAATGAACAAAAATGATGACTTCTGAATGGGCTATTTTTGCTGTTTAGTTTCCACATATGGACTGTATGGACTGAGGAGTAACCAGTGCAGTTTGAAACTTTAACCATGTTTACATATTACAACCTCTTTTGTTTTCAAAATAGCAGAAATTTCAGTTCTATATGATATGGGTCCTTTAACCTTTTTACAATATAGAGCAAATGGTACAGGAAAACTATTTAGCAAAATAATAAAAAAAAAGAATGGACATACTGTTAAGCTTTTAAGCTTTTCAAAGATACTGTTAAACGAGGATGCACTTACATCACTGATGATATCTCTGGAGGCCTTGGCTGCTTTGATAGAAATGGCATCACCGCGCAAATCATATCCCTTCTTCTTGGCCTCCTCATTGGCAAGTTTGTATAATTTCTGAGTGGACATTCATGAGAAATATTGTATTATGAACAGAACTTACAGACATCAATGAAGCAACTGCTTTGGAAAACTATATAAAATCTAATGAACATTCCTCATCAGCTAAGTGCAATACTGTAATTCGTGCATGACTCACTTCACTGTAGTTGACCTTGTTCTGTTTAGCATGGACCACCTCCATTGCATCTGGCATGATGTGGATTTTGGTCTTATCGTTCTCCCAAGCTTGGGTATATGTTTTCTGTCAGAATGCATTTAAGGAAACACATAAAACATTGATGTTTATGTTTAGAACATAATATCAGATGCAGGTTTTGATGTCAGTGCAACAGTTACCTTGTTCATGATGTCATTATTGGCTTTAGCCAAGGCCATTCCCATATCTTCAGCTGTGCTTGTGAATTTGAAGTTGCTTGGGTGCTGACGATACCGTTTTTCACTCAGAATCTCTCCAGCTTTCTTCACCTTCTCTACATCAAGTGAACCAATGGGGACCCATCCAAGGCCTTGTAGCCATTTCAGATCAGCCTTATACACAGCCTGTGAAATAAAAATAATAGGAAATGAATAGATAAAATATTATGTCCATTGATGAATCAGTAGATATACACATACTACTGTTTTATATATATATATATATAGAAAAAAAAAACAACTCACGTTGCTCTGGAGGTCATAGACCTGCCTGGCTTGGACAACATCATTAGAGTCTGGCAGGCAGGTCCAGTTGTGCAGGTAAGTTCTGTAATTGGCATCATTGACTTGGATCTGGTTCTTCTTTGCCAGTTCAAATGCCAGCATGTCCACTGGGAGATGGAACTTTGTTTTGGATTTGTTGAAGTCCTTCTTGTACAGGGCGTCACTAGCAATCTTAGCTGAGTTCAAGGCCAGCATGAGCAGTGGGTCATCCTTGATGCTCAGGGCTCCAATGTGGTGCCCAACTTGCTTGCGGTATCCAGCTTTGTACTTGTACTAAAAAGGACACATATCAGGTTTAGTTTACTGAAAATTTCTACATAGTCTGAGAGATATTTTTGCAGTTCCCAGTACTTACATCACTAGCAATGTCCCGAGAAGCTTTTGCAGCAATAACAGAAATGGCATCATTGCGCAGGTCATACCCCTTCTTCTTTGCCAGCTCGTGGGCAAGTTTGTATTGTTTCTGGAAAAAACGCAATAAATTTACTGAACTGATTCAAATAACAAAAAGGTATCTTCAAAAGATTTGGACATTACAGCAGCATGTTGCCCAAAATTCATAATAGCAATAATTGACGGCCTCATTTTGAATATAATCAATGAATAATAATTAGCTATCTCAGTGCTTATTTAATTTAAATGCTGTTTTAGGAGGAGTAGCTGCCTCGTACAGTAAAGTATTCAGTAAAAATGGCTGACCTCACTGTAAGTCACTTTATTCTGCCTTGCAAGGACCACCTCCATTGCATCTGGCATCATATGGATCTTGGTCTTATCATTCTCCCAAGCTTGGATGTAATTTTTCTGTCAGAAAAGAATACACTTTATTATACCAATAATCATCAGTAAATAAATAAGTAAATAAGTAAATAAATAAAAAAAACAAAGCCTACCTTGTTCATGATGTCATTATTGGCTTTAGCCAAGGCCAATCCCATGTCTTCAGTTGTGCTTGTGAATTTGAAGTTGCTTGGGTGCTGACGATAACGTTTTTCACTCAGAATCTCTCCTGCTTTCTTCACCTTCTCTACATCAAGTGAACCGATAGGGACCCATCCAAGGCCTTTCAGCCATCTCAGATCAGCCTTATAAACAGCCTGTGAAATAAACATAATAAAACATCCATTCATTTAAGTCAACAGAATGAACAAAGTGGTGTATGGGGGGAAAAAAAGTTTTAGCATGATCAACATGCCGAAATAAAAACTCACATCGCTCTGGAGGTCATAGACCTGTCGGGCCTGGACAACGTCGTTGGAGTCTGGCAGGCAGGTCCAGTTGTGCAGGTAGGTTCTGTAATTGGCATCATTGACTTGGATCTGGTTCTTCTTTGCCAGTTCAAATGCCAACATGTCCACTGGGAGATGGAACTTTGTCTTGGACTTGTTGAAGTCCTTCTTGTAAAGGGCATCACTAGCAATCTTAGCTGAGTTCAAGGCCAGCATGAGCAGTGGGTCATCCCGGATACTCAGGGCTCCAATGTGGTGACCAACTTGCTTGCGATAGCCAGCCTTATACTTATACTATCAAACATAAAAAATTGTTTCATTCATTTTGTGCATATTCAAATCAGTTATCCATTAATACACAGAAATCATTTATTGTGTCCCAATAAAAGAAAAACTTACATCACTAGCGATGGCTGTGGACGATTTAGCTGCTTTAATGGAAATAGCATCAACACGCATGTCATAGCCTTTCTTCTTTGCCAGATCATTGGCAAGTTTATATAATTTCTAAAAACGGAAACAAAAAAGAAAACCAAAAAAGACATCAAATCAATATTTCTGTGTGTGCCACAAGTATAAATTTAATGGATAAGCAAACAATTGGCTTACAAACATACAAACAAATGGTTAAAGATTACTAACCTCACTGTAGTTAACTCTATTCTGACGTGCAAGAGTTACATCCATCGCATCTGGCATGATGTGAATTGATGTTTTGTCCTTCTCCCAGGCGTCAGTATAGCTTTTCTGTGAAAGAAATATGCTGTTACATTTTTATAATTAAATAAATGAACAAAGTAATATTATTTACCAGTATATTTCTGTTGTGAAATACATACAAAATAAACAGCACTGACAAATGTCTGAGGCCAAATTTGCAGTTTTAAAATGAACAGCAAAACATTTCAATCTGTCAAGTAAGAAAGTATGAAGAATCATGCTGGCATATGTCAAACTCTCAAAAAAGAAGAAAATACATTGATGGAAATCCATAAACAAAGTGATTTAGAATCTTGCTCATAACTAGGTCTACAGTTAAAAAATATGTACAAGTTTAGATTCTAAAAGGATTGAAAAAAAGTCTAAAATGTCATTTTTTCTTTAAAGTAAGTGAAAAAAAGATTTTAACCAACAATGTCTGACACTAACATAATGCTATGACACTCAAAACTGTAAAAAATTCATAATGTGTTTTTAGCATTGTGATACCCTCATAAAATCCCAATTTGGAATATCTTCTGTCCACTGCAGAAAATAATCAAAGAAATCACAAAGATGTGAGCAAAGTACCAAATTTAGCAGCCTGTTGCCATCAAATTACCTTATTAATGATTTGATTGTTAGTTGCAGCTAGGACCAAGTCCATGGAAGTCATATCTTTGGTGAACGTGTAGTTGCTGGGATGTGTACGGTAGAGTTTTTCACTGCCTATGCGACCAGCAGTCTTTGCTTTCTCCACGTCCAGTGAACCAATGGGAACCCATCCCATTCCTCTCATGTAGTTATTGTATTCACTCTTATAGATGTTCTGTGAAAACAAACAACAAAATTAACAAAAATATGAAGTATGTTCAACCAGTTTGAACAAATGCTAACGTGTTTGTGTTACATTGTTAGCATGGCTAATAATAAACTGATTGTCCTTTAATTGTAACTTTAATATACTCAGTGGAGTTTAAAATCATAAACGACATTTTAATGAACAAGGGTTTTCTTCATAAAATTAGCTAACTCACATCACTAGCAATCGTTTGCATGTTGCGAGCTAGTTCCAAGTTCATAGCATCAGGCAGAACTGTGTAGTGAGCAATGTGCTGTTTGTATCCAGCGTAGGTCTGAACAGCAGTAGCATGCTTGGCCTGCACAATACTCAGCATGTCCACAGGGGAGTGGTATTTCAGCTTGGCCTTGTGATAGTCCTTCTTATACAGCTTATCACTTTGGATCTTGGCCACCTCCATGTAGTGCACCAGCAGAGGGTCATCCTGAAGACTACGGAAGCCAACATGGCGGCCTCTTGACTTTATGTAGTTCAGTTTGTACTTGTACTGTAAAATGTAAAAGGCAAAACATAAAATGTTAAAGAAACATACTGGATATAATAAAGCATTTAGTTAATTAATTTAAGGTACTCACATCACTGGCAATGCGTGTTGAGGCTTTGGCAGCAACCAAAGGTATGGCATCCACTCTGAGGTCATGACCCTTCTTCTTTGCGGCTTCCATTCCAGCTTTGTATGCTTTCTGAAAAACAAATTTTACCATTGGTTCTTTTAAAATGCCACCTTTCTTATGACGCTAGTGATGATCATATGTCTTTAAGGCTTTAAGATACTATTGCAAGTGAAAATAGCATACTTTAGACCTACCTCACTCATTGTTATGGCATTGGCCTTTGCCAGAAGAATCTCTGGGGTATCAGGCATAACGTGGATCTTAATCTTGTCCTGATCCCAAGCAGCTGTGTATGCTTGCTGCAATTGAAAACATGCAAAAAAAAAAAAATTACTGATGAAACAATGAAATATAGAGTATATATAAGAGGTAACTTTGTTCAGTAGATCTGGCCACCTTGTTCATGATCTGGTTGTTTGCAGCAGCTAGTGCCAGGTCCATGGAGTCCATGAGCTTGTGGAAGGTGTATTTGGAGGGGTGACTGCGGTACTTCTTCTCACTCAGTATGTTCCCTCCAACCTTTGCGGTTTCTACTGACAGTGAACCAATGGGCACCCATCCAAGACCTTTCATAGAGGCATTGTAATCACTCTTGTACTCAACCTGTAAATATTACAGAGATTGTCATGAACAACAGTTATCAAGCTCACACTAATTCAAATATTGCACATTGTCAATGAAGCAAAGTTCACTCACATCACTAGAAGTGGCATTCATGGTGCGAGCTAACTCCAGCTGCATGGCATCAGGGAGCAACGTGTAGTTATGGAGAGGCTGCCTATAGCCTGCATATGTCTGGACTGTAGATGCATGCTTGGCCTGCACAACACTCAGCATGTCCACCGGAGTGTGGTACTTCAGCTTAGCCTTGTGATAGTCTTTCTTGTAGTTCTTGTCACTCTGCATCTTAGCCACCTCCATGTAGTGCACCAGCAGCGGGTCGTCCTGAAGACTGCGGAAGCCAACGTGGTGGCCTTTGGCCTTCTCATAGGCAAGCTTGTATTTATACTATAACATTGATAAAATAATGGCCTCATCAGTAACTCAGATCTTTACACCACATACTAATGAGTATGTGCAAAAACACACAGAATAAATTATATCTGGAACAAGAAGGGAACTGCTGATAAACATACATTACTGGCAATATTCCTTCCAGCTTTGGCAGCCTGGATTGAAATAGCATCTGGTTTTAGGTTATAACCCTTCTTATTCATTTCCTCAAGGCCAGCTTTGTAGAGTTTCTGAAAAAAAACACAGAAAATCTTTGAGAAAAACAGCACAGAACAGTAAAACTAATGCAATCAACGATTTGTATTTACAGAAGTAGTAAATAATGCCAAGCTTGGTTACGAAAACCAACATTTATTCTACTGTTAACATGAGAATTTCTGTCCAACTGTTTAATGTGAAAAACCTTTCAGTTTTCAAGGAGTCATTAGAAAAACATAAGACCATGACCATATAAATATGAATGTTTATAAATTGTTTATATATTTATAAAACAAGATAATTATAAGAACATAATAGTATATTGTAAAACAAACAAAATTATTATTCATAGCTCTTATTACTACCTTAGAAAAGTACTATTAAATGTCTGTTATTAAACATTCTTTACATTGAATTATCCGATTACATGACTTTACCTGGCTATTATTCACTGCATTCGCCTTGGCAAGGAGAATTTCTGGGATGTCAGGCATCACATGGACTTTGAGCTTGTCTTTGTTCCATGCAGCAGTATATGCTTGCTACAACAAAACAAAAAAGAGTCATAGAAGCTCAGATCCTATTATCAGACAACAAAAAACAAAACTCAAACTAACTTTGTCCATGATCTGGTTGTTCGCAGTGGCTAGTGCCAGGTCCATGGAGTCCATGAGCTTGTGGAAGGTGTATTTGGAGGGGTGACTGCGGTACTTCTTCTCACTCAGTATGTTCCCTCCAACCTTTGCAGTTTCTACTGACAGTGAACCAATGGGCACCCACCCAAGACCTTTCATAGAGGCATTGTAATCACTCTTGTACTCAACCTGTAAATATTACAGAGATTGTCATGAACAACAGTTATCAAGCTCACACTAATTCAAATATTGCAGACTGTCAATGAAGCAAAGTTCACTCACATCACTAGAAGTGGCATTCATGGTGCGAGCTAACTCCAGCTGCATGGCATCAGGGAGCAACGTGTAGTGATGGAGAGGCTTCCTATAGCCTGCATATGTCTGGACTGTAGATGCATGTTTGGCCTGCACAACACTCAGCATGTCCACCGGAGTGTGGTACTTCAGTTTAGCCTTGTGATAGTCCTTTTTGTAGTTCTTGTCACTCTGCATCTTAGCCACCTGCATGTAATGCACCAGCAGCGGGTCGTCCTGAAGACTGCGGAAGCCAACATGGTGGCCTCTAGCCTTCTCGTAGTCTTTCTTGTACTGGAACTGTGAACAAAGCAGCAATGCTCTAAAATGACTGATAAAACGAATACATATTATAATGTATGATTATTATAATGTTCAGTGAATACATTTGTTGTATGGTAAGGTACCTACATTACAAATTATTTAAAAAATACACAAACAGAATCCTTTACCTGATGAAAATTAGAGATTAAAGATAAAAATGACTTTAAATTACTTACATTACTAGCAATATGTCTTCCTTGTTTGGCAGCAAGTATGGGAATAGCATCAGCTTTCATGTCATATCCTTTGGCAATGTCTGCATTCCACTGAGACTTGTAATGTTTCTGTAAAAAGGAGGAATGGTATGCTAGTATTGCAAATTAGTTTTTTTTTTTTGCTTTCAGTTTGGGTTAACAAACCTTTCAACATGGCAGGGTTTTAGAATGTCTTTGGTGCATTCACACAGTATGCAAAACTTCAATTACAAGTGTCTAAACTAAGGCCCTCTGTCATGTGATTTACCTCACTAATAGTCTGGGCATTATACTTGGCCTGCAGAAACTGTGGGCTGTCTGCTGGCAAGTGGTAGGTGTGCATGAATTTCTCTCCAGAAGCTTTATAAGCAGCCTGCAATAGAGAAAATAAACAATACAAACAATTGGAGAATTGTGGCTTTAAGTTTAACACAACTTTTGCATTATATAAGTAGCTTTTGAAGTTTACATACAGGATTTATCTGCTTAGAGTTACTCATGGCTAAGACCATGTTCATTTGGTCTGTCAAACTAGTGAACTTCAATGTGCTGGGGTGTATTCTGTAGGACTTCTCATCCAGGGCAGCTTTGGCAGTCTTGGCTCTCTCTACATCAATAGAACCAATGGGAACCCAGCCTGCTCCCTTGTAGATGCTGTTGTATTCTGAGCTGTACACATTCTGAAAAGATAAGAGGCAGATGCACAAAATAAGCTTTTAGATTTCTTAATATATTTGAAGAAGTTAGATAAAATAATGTGCAACTTACATCACTCTGAATCTCCATCATTGTGCGAGCAAGATCAATATGCATGGCGTCTGGAAGAAGTGTGTAGTGATGGAGAGGCTGCTTGTAGCCTACATATGTCTGGACTGTAGATGCATGCTTGGCCTGCGCAACACTCAGCATGTCCACCGGAGTGTGGTACTTCAGCTTAGCCTTGTGATAGTCCTTTTTGTAGTTCTTGTCACTCTGCATCTTAGCCACCTGCATGTAGTGCACCAGCAGTGGGTCGTCCTGAAGACTGCGGAAGCCAACGTGGTGGCCTTTAGCCTTCTGGTATGCAAGCTTGTACTTGTACTGGAAAATGAACAGATATCATTTAAAATGTAATAATTCCAGCAGCCCTTAATCTTAAATACAGATGTAAAGTGAAATGTGCAGCTACTAACATCACTGGCAATATCCCTTGAAGACCTGGCAGCAACAACTGGTATTGCGTCCTGCTTCATGTGGTGTCCTTTTAGAATATCCTGCTTGTGTGCATATGTGTAGTAGGTCTGCAAAAAGGGAAAAGTTCAGCAGTTAACATGAGATTAACAGAGATATAAAAACATTTTTATTATCATTTTGGCAATTGAAAATGTTTCCTATTTTTAGAAGTTTAATTGTCTGTATTCCTACCTTGCTGACATTAGCAGCATTATATTTGGCTTGCAGGAGCTCTGGTGTGTCCGCAGGCAGATGGTACGTGTGCATGAACTTTTCTCCACTGGCTTTGTACAGTCTCTGGAAAACAGGGACGTGATAATGTTTCTTTTCCTTTCAAAAAACTCATGATTCCATAGATATATACCTTCTTTTTGCGTGTTCATTGTTAAACGGACAAAATGAACAGAAATAGTGTGAACCTGTTACATACATCGCTTAGCTGCTGTGCGTTCAATTTCGCCTGCTCCATAACTGGGGTATCCATGACACTGGTGAACTTGATGGTATCTGGGTGCTGCCTGTACTTCTTCTCATCCAGAGCACGAGCAGCAGCCTTAGCTTTCTCCACATCCAGTGAGCCAATGGGTACCCAGCCAATACCTTTCACTGAGTTTTCATAGTCTGACTTGTAGTTGCACTAAAAAGGAGAATTTGACAGAACATGTGTGAGTTACCTTTAATAACTAAAACTAACTGAAAAAAGTTGCAGTTCAATTCCTAATTTAAGTATAAGAAACAAGTGCTGGATTTAAGATTGTCTTACATCACTAGAGAGGACATTCATGGTGCGGGCCAGCTCCAGGTGCATGGCATCTGGAAGAAGTGTGTAGTGATGGAGAGGCTGCTTGTAGCCTGTAAATGTCTGAACTGTAGATGCATGCTTAGCATGCGCAACACTCAGCATGTCCACAGGAGACTGGAACTTCAGCTTAGCCTTGTGATAGTCCTTCTTGTAGTTCTTGTCACTCTGTATCTTAGCCACTGCCATGTAGTGCACAAGCAGGGGGTCGTCCTGGAGGTTGCGGAAGCCAACGTGGTGGCCCCTAGCCTTGATGTACTCTTTCTTGTACTGGACCTAAAGCCAGTATATATCAGTGTGTTACTGTTTGATTCATTGGTTTCCATGCTGTCAAATGTTCTGTTTGATTGTATGTGGAAGAGACTCACATCACTGGCTGCATGCCTTGCTGCCTTGGCTGCACGAATGGGGATGGCATCAGCCTTCAAATCATATCCCTTTGAAATAATATCCTCCCATCCAACTTTATAATATTTCTGAAAATCAAAATATTGACGCACGCAAAACAAATGTTGTCACCTCGATAATAAAAAAAGAAAACAAAGTGAGATTTCACTTATCATGTTAGAATTGTTTACATACATTGCTGACATTGTAGGCGTTGCACTTGGCCTGGAGGAACTCTGGGACATCAGGCGGCAGGGAGTATTTTTGATGGACCTCCTCAAGCCCTTTCTTGTAATGCAACTACAAAGGACAAAAGACACAAAGGTCTGCTCAATTTATGGTTACACATTTTATATGAGGAGAATCGGTTTAAAATCATGCAGTAATGTGCCATATTGTTCAATTAAATGTGCAGTGTGGAGCACCAGGCCAGAAGAAAGGCGTCATGTACTTACATCACTCCTAATGATCTGGTTGACCTTAGCTTGCAGCATAACAGGGTGATCATCAATAGCAGTAAATGGCACAGTGTCTGGGTGCTGCCTGTACTTTTTCTAGATTGGAACAAAGAACAGGTACAAATGACTATGAGTAAGGAACAAATGTCTAAAAAATAAAAGCAAAATATTTTTTATATAGTGTTTTCAGTGTGTATTTCACTCATTGTATGCGCTTAAAAATTGCAGAGCATACACAGGCACAAAAGTAGTATATACATGCTTCATTATATTTGCCTTGATCTTAACAGACAGAAAAAAACAGAGGCGTCTTTGGAAAATATGGATTTACTTATTGTATTAATACTTTTTTTTTAAATTCAGGAATATATAACACAACAAGATACTTAAAATATTATAGATCAGTCACCAGGGTATTTGAATAGTTATCTTTGTATTTATAGTAAATACAGTATAGTATTCACAGTCCACCTTAAAGCTTCCACCCACAGCTTTGATCACCTGTTTTGACTTGTTTGAGACTCCCTGAAACCTACTTCAGCATGTGGCTAAGCCTAAGTATTTGCCAACTTTGTTCATGCTCTCTGTCTTCAGCACAACAAAGGATTGTTTCTCTTTTCAACCTGGAATAATCATTTGACAAAAGATTTGACAATTATACCTCACTTAGGATCTCTCCAGCTTTCTTGGCTTTCTCAACATCCAGTGATCCGTAAGGTACCCAAGGAGTTCCTTTAGTGTAGTTGTTGTAGTCTGACTTATACTCATTCTGTGGTTGTCAAGAAGAAAAACAAACAATAAAATTTCTCATAAAAATGTCTTTTTAACTTTATCATGTCAGTAAATAAGAGCTAAATCCTCATGTGGGAAACTATTACATGTCTGAGAAATGAGAATTCAACTAATGGCCCTTTAGCATTCTTATTTTCGTGGCTCAATGTAGCTACAGTGTGCAAGGGTTCAGTTTGGATGCTTACATCACTCTGAAGGATGTTGGCTTTCTTGGCCAGGTCCAGTGGTATGCTGTCAAATGGCAGGAGGTAGCGATTGGGGATGTTTCTGTAGCCAGACATGCTGGCAATAGCCTGAGACTTCTTTGCTAATGTGACAAGCATCATGTCCAGTGGTGTATGGTACTTGGTCTTCATCTTTTCATAGTCTTTTTTATACTCGCGCTGTAGAGACACTTCACTCAGTTAATAATCTTACTGAGAGCAAAATTAAAACAGTGAAAGAGTAAAGAGTTTTAAAAAGTTAAAATTTTAGGGTGTCTTTTTACCTCACTCTGAATCTTAGCAACATGGACTGAGTGCATAATCTTCGGGTCATCGTTAATACTGAGAGCGCCAACCATGTGTCCTTTGGCCTTCTCATAGTCTTTCTTGTATTTCACCTGTCAAAAGCGGATACAAGAGGCAACCTCACACAGTGAACACAGAAACCATCAAAACGTCACCTTAATGTCCATTTAATGATGAGCGAATTCACACTGGGTACATGAACAACACAGATCTGTTCACTTACATCACTGGCAATGTTGGTATGGGCACGGGCTGCGAGGATAGAGATAGCATCACCCTTCACCTCAAACTTTTTCGCTTTTGTCTTTTCCCATTCATACTTGTAACAAGTCTGCAAACAAAGAACACACACAATAAAAAGAGAACAGCATAATGCAGCTAAATTACTTTCAAGTTTACATTTAAATTAAGAGAAGAGGGTTATAGCAGTTAATACTCACATCACTAAGGTTATAAGCGTTAACTCTAGACTGAATGAAAAAGGGATAATCAGGGGGTAGGTAACACTTGAACTTCTCCTGTTCATACTTCGCCTTGTAGTTCAGCTGAAAAAAAAAAAAGAGGTTTAAGATAAACAACATTGCACCTGTTGTAGATACATTTGATGCCACTCTATATTAAAGGGCTTAATGTACCCAGGGTTAATAACAATCACTGTAGAATATGTTCTAAAAAGCATATGTGTATTTTTACACTAAATCATTTCCTGGGTACTATATTATTGTCTAACATACATAAATGTCTAAAATAAAAAGCCTTATTCTAATCTAAGCATCATCTCTTTATAAACCTGAATGTAGTCTTAGGTAAGTAATAAGAAGACAAAAGATCTGACTTTAGATGATGTGAATAACAAAAAAATCTGAATTTATGGGACTTAAATTAATAAAATTTTTATTCACTCTTTACTGCAGAATGCTATTTCCATACTATTAAATAATTAACATTCAGATCCTTTGTCTCTTTTCACTTTCAGAAGGGCACATTACCTGTGTTAAACAGAATGGAGAAACAAGACAATGGAAGTCCAGTAGATAGCAATGATGTATATAGAAATGCCCTATACTACACGTTTAATGCAAAGCCCTCTAGCAAGGAGAGTTATTTTTAGCATACTGAATGTAAATCCCTAATAATATGTTTAGGCATTCACTGCATGGCATCTACAGGACCACAGAAAATGAATAACTTTTGGGACTGTTATTAGTTCACATGGAAATGCCATTGCAGCTACTCATTTAGTGCACTTTGTTTTGTTCCCTTAATTGTACCTGGCTGACTGTTTCCCAAAAAACTAACACTGATGTTTTCATGAAATGAAAATTAAATATTCAAACTTTTAACTAATATGAGAGATTTAGGAGATACGTACATCACTCAGTTGTTGAGCATTGATGGCCGCTTGTACTTGGACTGGCGAGTCTGTTACTTGTGTGAACTTTATTCTGTCTGGGTGCTGCCGATATTCTTTCTATAGAGAGAAATTAAATGCAAAAATATAGTTAGTTAACAAATAAAATGCAAAAAAGTATTAGATGTACAAGCTCAGAAATGCATCACACAGATGTTGTCAACTTGTAAACTCACATCTTTACATTGTTCCACTTTTTTAATAGCTTCGTATTCAGGTGTGACTGTTTGAGGAAAGTAACATCTTGTCTTCATATCGTCATAATCAGCTTTATATAGTTTCTAAAAGAGATCAGAGGCAAAGTACACATTAACATGAGAGAGGATTGATACACACATAGAGAATGCACAACCACTTACGCACATATGTGTGTGCCAAAATTTACTTACATCACTCTTTAACTCCTCCACCTTCTGGCAATGAAGCGTGAATACATCTTCATAACTGCCAATATAGTGGCCCTTCACCTCATTATCATACTTCTCTTTATAGCGTGACTATGGAGATAGATAAAGCCAAACTCCTGATATTTGCATCATTAAATACCATTAAGTTGATACTGCATGCCTTTTGACAGCACTGCACACAGCAATATGACACTTACATCACTAAACTGTTTGAGGACGCTGTCCATCTGGAACTTGGGGGTGTCGCAGTAGTTAATGCTGGATCCTCTTGCTTTTTCATAGTTAGCTTTGTACACTTTCTAAAAAAATAATGCAAAAAGACAAATATCAACAATGAATAACAAAACAGCAAAAAGCAGGGCTGCAGCATCATGGAAAAAAGGTTTTTACTGTTATACAAGTAATGGTTCCTAAGCACATTTACATTAGACAACAGTCCAATTAGACCCAATGCATTTTACTATTGACTACAAGAAAATCCATCTTAAGTGAGTGTAAATAACTTTAGAAGATTAGCACTACGCCTAGGGTTCAATTTGGTCACCTAATCAAGGCACATTAAAGCACCAATATTTCATAGCTTACTTTTAAATTAAATTCTTTGCCCATCAGGGAAGCAAGTGCTAATGAGTACAAAATCTCCCTGTGCATTAATGCTTAAAGTATATAATTATGTTTGCAACATTATCGCCAGCAGGAGGCTGAAATTCTATCCTGTCATCATTAAAGGCTATGTGGAAAATAGACACAGCAGCTCTGAGTTACAGTTACTGTTTAGCACCTCCTGCTGGACAAAACCTCTGTCATGTGCTGCTTGTGGACAACGTGCTTGAAATATAACAAAACAAAAACCATGGTCTTCTTTACACTTTAAAATAATAAAGGAATAATTTTCTAGAATACAGTACACATTTCTTTCTCTGATCACTGACATTGGGTCTAATTCACAGCAAACAGAAACAAATCCATTAGGTTCACTGTACATCGCTCAAGATGGTGCCTGCGTATCTCAGTTGTCTGAGGAGGGGGTTTTCTGTAGCTGGGAGAACATTGTATTCTGACGTCGCTTTTGTCTTGTCGTAGTCCTTCTTGTACTTAACCTAAAAAGCAGAGAGAAAGCAATTAGAAATGAATGTGCAGGTCTACTTCACAAGGTTTTTCTAATCACTGTTATTTTATTTGTAATTTAATGTAGTGTAATTAATGTAATGTAATTTAGTCCATTCTCTTCTTGATTCGCCATAATAGTCAACATCTAATGAAGCCTGATCTTTGATGTAATTATAGTTTCTGTAGTAAGTCAAGACAATGCAATGAGAAAAACAATCATTTCTCAGCTGTTGTCAGTGAAGCCTCTACTACTACTCATCTACTACTATCATGGCTCACTTTATCTCATTTTCATGTCTTATTCTGCATGCACAACAACAACAACCAAACATTTAAAACTCACCGAGCTTGCAATGTCACCAGACTTTTTGTTTGTAGCGTATGTTGGAGTGTCTGTTTGCATGAAATAAATTTGGTCTTTCATGTCTTCATAAGCAGCAGTATATTTTTTCTAGGGAGACAGTCAGTGAGTGGAAAGGAAAGGTTATGGGAATGAACATTTAACATAACAATTCAATTTATAATGCATTTATTTACAGCTTAAATGATTTAAATAAAGGCAAATAATAAAGTGCAACAAGCTAATAATTCCCTTAACAGATTTCTTTCAGATTTATTCAGCATGCTCACCACTTACATCACTTATGTTATCCATGACCATTCTGCCAACAGCAACGTCAAAGTAAGGGGTTTCACACCACTTGCCCTTGACGTTCTTGTTATAGTCTTCATGATACTTCAGCTGCAAAGAATACAATTATCTTATTAATTCACAATTGAACACTGATTTTTTAAAGGGTCTATGCTCTATACATTTTTCTTATATTTATAATAAATAATAAATTGTATTGATATAGTACATTTTACATGACAACATCAACTTAAGGTGCTTTACAGAAAAATAAACTAAATTTATAAAAACACGTCTAAAAAGAATAGTCTTAAGATTCTTATTAGAAGATATAGAGTTTCTAAAACAAAGTCAAATTAATTCATAAAAACAGATACAAAAAGAAAAGATTCTTCTTAAGAAAAGAGATACAGAATTACTCAAAACAAAAAATCAACTTATAAAAACAGTACTAAAAAAATCTTAAGATTCTTTTTAAAAAGAGATAAAGATCCAGAATTTCTTTTATGCCTTAGAATTAAACAGGCTGTTGTTTTTATGCCTTTATATCTGAAATACCTATATAATCTCTGCTGTTATTATCTTTACTGTATTGTGCCTCATTCAAAAAGCAGTCTGTAGTCTGCTAGACACTCTTTCAAATTAAGAGATGTAGCTAAATTGCTGTAGGCTGAAAGCACAGATGCATGTAAATATGATAGTATTTGTTACATCACATAATTTCCATATCCGATGGACTACATGCATGTAAATGAACATTGTGAACTTTGACATTGTTTACCTACAACATCAGTGTTTTATTTGAAAAAAGTAAATATTAATGTGTTTTTTTCCATGATATGGGCCCTTTAAGTTGGTCTGTGGTTTCTTTGGGTTGAGTCTAGTTTGCTATACTCAGTGCCAATCCCCTCTAATAATATCAGATGGCAGGTGGTGGTTATCTCTGTCTGTCTCTGAGGACCTGGACAGACTAACTTGCTAAAGCTTGTTCTGATTTGTCTTTCTCTGGAACAGCACACTACAGCTGATTATAAATATGGTACAGGACAAAATGGGCAGCTAACATCAACTCTGTGCAACACTGTGCAACCTTTTGTGATTTTAAAAGCTATTGTAAAAAAAAGGTACGTTTGGCCAGCTTTTAAAGCGACCACAGACAGTTTTCAGTTGACTGATATGTGCTTGTGTACTTACGTTACTACGATTAGCAAAGTTTTTCTTGGCTAGTTCCACCTCTGGGGGCTCAGCCAGGGATGTGTACTTTGCTTTGCGTTTGTCATGACCCTTCTTGTATTTGACCTTAGAGGAAAAAGCACAGTCACCGATGGCTTTCAAAACTAAAGAGCGGAACTAGATTCATCTTGCTTCATAGTCTACTGCCTTGATTCACAGAGTATTTCTACATTTGAACATAACATTTTTAGAAATGTGGGATCTCATACAGTATGTAAACAGTAACTTGAATAAAAACATAGCTTCTGAGTTCTGAAACTTTATGAAAATTTAAGGTCTTTCTCCTTGTGTTGTTTGAGCTCTTCTTCATTCAGTAATCCTTTACTAAATGAATGAAGATCTTCTTGTTTCCCTTCTAAAATTAAAAAATTATAACCGTATAAGTAATATATTAACTTTATTGAAATATGCATTCTGCAGTTTGCTATTATATTTCACAGTGCCTAAAGATTTAAGCCAAGATCAGTTTACTTTCTAGGAAAAGAAGCAATGTACTAAATAAGCCATATTACACCTACAATAGGACATTTTCTAATTCTATTAGCAACTATCAAAGTTCCATCGCAATCCACATCCTAGGTGATGATGTTACTGATACTTTTTATTTTTACTTCTCTGGTCCCAGCTGAAGTGAAGTCAATGTACTGACAGTATAATAATGTGTGAAAGTATTATAAGAGTAATCATACATCACTGAGGATTTCCTGTGCCTTGGCCACTCGGCGGAGCTCTGGGCTGTCACTGTATGGGTAGTACATGGTCTTGTCCTCATCCCATGCCTCTGTGTATAGTTTCTGGCACAGATAAACACTTAATCAGATGGCACACTCAACTACTAAGACCTTTAGATGTGAAACTTCTACTGGGCAATGTCTTACCTTGCTGTAATTGGCAGCATTCTTCACAGCCAAAACCAACTCAGGAGCATCAGGAGGCAGCAGGTACCTGTCCTTGGTCTCATCCCATTTCTGTCTGTACAAAACCTAAAGAGCAACATAAAAACTATGTTTATCTGAGATTCTCTAGTAAACTGATGTTTATCACTAGTGCAGATAAGAAACAGCAATTAATATCACAGGAAAGTAAAATCGTCAATGTAGATTTAAAAGTCTGGTTAAAAAACGTTGTGCATACTTTGCTGACAAGTTCAGAGACGTGCTTCACGTGTGCAATCTCACGAGCCTCGCCATCGTAGGAGCTGGCGGTCTTAGCCTTCAGCCCTTCCATACGATATTTCACCTGAAATAAACAATTTAAATGGTAACAGAGTGTCATATTAATTAGATAAAACAAATATGAACAAAAATAGAAAATTTAAATATGGCATATACTGTCAATAAAATAATGCTAAACTGAAATGAATTGAAAGTAATAAGTATTAAGTACTATAGTTAACACTTAATATAAGTAATAAGTATAATTCCCACCTCACTGAGCTGCTCCTGGGCCTTCTTGATGCGAATCATCTCAGGTGTGTCACCTGAAATGATGTATGGTTGTCCCTTGGACCTCTCATACGCCTCCCTGTACTTGTTCTGCAAAGATATAAGAAGGGTTGAATTTACACATAAAACAAAAAATAATATCCAGCACCACATACATAGAAATATACACACAGTAATGTTTTTTTATGTGATGTAACCCATATCGCCACTGCCAGAATAAAACCTTGAACCTGAATTTTGCATCTCCATCTTTTTTTTTCTTCATTTTTGGGGTTTGCATGCAATCTCTGTGTCCGTGGACATTTCCTCCCACAGTCCAAAGACATGCAGTGAGGCCAATTGGACATACTGAATTGCCCCTAGGTGTGAATTTGTGTGTGAATGTATATGTCTGTGTGTCTGCCCTGCAATAGACTGGCAACCTGTCCAGGGTGTATCCTGCCTTCTGCCCAATGACTGCTGGGATAGGCTCCAGCACCCCCCGTGACCCAGAAAGATAAGCGGTTTAGAGGCAGGCTGAGTTCTCTTTAGCTTGGGTGGCATGATTTGTCATGCGAATCTAGCCTTAATAGTTAACACAAATCACCTCTTACCTCTTACTCAGCGTTCGGTTTAAGCTTTTTTTTGTTTTGCCACATCATGTTTTTATATATTTGGTACAAGGTTTTTATATACATGGTACAAGTCTTTTAAAAGGGATCTTTACACTTTAACATTTTATATTTTTTAATTTTTAGATGTGAAGCACCTCATAGAACAGGCTTGCAACTCACTCACTCACATTTAGAAGGCTAAAAAGTCTCCACAAGGGGGGGCGGCCTTGCAGTCAAACAGTTTTTGGTGCTTCATAAGAGCAGTGCTTTGCATCAATGACACAGGGTGTCTTTGTTTTCCAGTAAAGTATTTCAAAACCTTTTTATGCATTTAGTTAAGCCATTATTATTACAATATTTATTTATATACTTTTTTTTAAACTTTGATTACTTGACTAAACGTCAAAATATTTGGTAGATTACTTGATTGCCAATAAAATCAGAATAATAACATAATAGTTACATTATAGCACATAATTAATATCATAATGATACCTATAAAATACATTAAGAGAATAAACACAATTTTTGGTATTTGATTGGGTGTTTCCTTACATGACTGTACTGGTCAAGCATCTTCTGACTGTGTGCCAGGTAAGGGGTCATGAATTTGGACGTGTCCACTTTTGCCCTCTTCCTGACCTTGCGTGTAGGAAGGCTCTCAGTACCTGCCACCTGCTATAGAAGAAAGAAAGGAGACAATGAGGACTTATATCAACCCTGTAGAGAGGGCATGTCCTTTCTGACTTACTAAATGATGTAGGTCTCAATAACTCAAGAATTTACCTAATTACAAAACTTATGTTTTTCAAATTTCCATATTTATATTCATTTTATTCAGAATACGATGACCATATGGTCTCACTTTCATTAAATGTTCAGCCCTGTGCAGCTTGTAACTACATCTTTCAGTAATTCAAAAATAATTTGAACTAACCTTACATTTCTCTTATTGTGTTACTACATACTGATATTTTATGGATTAAACATGATGCTAACAATTTTACTCCAATAACCAAAAGAAGGTTCAAAGCATGATCTAGTTTGATATACTTACCTGAAACAGTCAGTACAATTCCTCATACAAACACAAACTTATGGTGTTAATTATGAGTTTAAAAAAGTGCTAAATTAGTCACATCTAACTTACACATGTTCACAGGTGCTGTTTCTTTTCACTAAGACTAGCAAAAGGGGTTATTTGCGTTTTTTGAGAGACATATAACACATAAAAAGGCTGGCAGCATGATGAGCTGAATGAAGCTGGAAAATAAAGAGCAGTTGAGCAGGCCAATCAAAATGCGTGAGTGTCTGTATAAGCTCACGTGCATTACTTCACACAGACTGAAACAAGGCAGAATCAGACACCAAATACAATCCTATATGAGCTGCATAGATGCATGCCCTTTAATACCACTCTAACATTACTACTTTTGTTGGAAGGATGTGCATGGCTGGATATAAGGGAGCATGGGGGCTATTTCATCAGATTCTGGACTGTGGATCATAACATTTTAGATACAATAGTGTCTAAATAAATGTTTCTCTGTCCTGTGAATTGTTAAACAAGGAGGTTTGTTTAATAATCCACTGCCTCTTGGTGAGTAGAATTGTTCTGGCTTTATTTCCCTAATTGGAACTGAGGATAGTGGAATAACCCCCATGGCAGGCAAAAGCAGCCAATATGGTATAAGCCTTATGTCTTTCACCAGAGCACCCTGGAAGGAGGCCATTTACCTGCTCGGCCTGATGTGTGGTGTAGGTGGTGGTGGTAGTGATGATCGTCGGGCCCTCCTCATAGTACTACAAATATAGGACAAACTCTGGGCTTTCAAAAGGAAGCTCACAGACACCAGAGACAAGGCAGAACTGAGGAGTGTGACCTCTTTCAAGCTCTGGATGTCTTAAAAACTCAGTAATTTACCTTATTAGAAAACTTAATATGTATTCTGACTTCCATATTTTATCTGATTTAGACCATATTACATCCATAAGGTCTTACAATCTCATGTATGGCACAATGTATCAACACTACCAGAACGTAACATTGTATCTCCAAAGTTGTAACTTTACAGGAGAAGACAAAAAACAGTCTCTTAATTCAAGTTAATATAATGTGCTTTAATTCTGACTATTTGTGGCCTTTTCTATTGGTGTATTCATTATGAAATGTTGACACAATGTATAGAGCAGCTGCCTTTTCAAATACAGTAAAAATATTAAAAATGGTTTTGTGATGATATTTGAAATAAGTAAATATCTCCTTCACCACTGTTTAATTCTCATAGAGTTCGGAGACCAGAAATCTTATTTCTGCACTACAGTTTACTTGTGGAGCGTAAGCACTAATGTTAATCCCATCAGCCGTCTCACTGCATTATAATTACAATAACAATGTCAGTCTATTGTCTCCCATGGGAATTGTTTTTGTAAAGGATAAATTAATGTCAATCAACCAGACGGTTTTCTGTATCTGAAAAAAGGACATCCCATAATAGACTGTCTGCTTTGACTGACTGAGCCTTCTGCCTGTCAAATGCAGAGAACATCTAAGCACCTAGATGAACTCATGTCTATTATTGTTTGTGGCTAAAGTCATAGTCATGGAGACAAACAGAAACAGTGTGTCAGAGAACAGACTGCAGTGAACCCTAAGCACGTGACTTAACTTAGCATGGCACTTTGAAAATTCAACACATTTGCCTTGGACTATGATATACTTTTCACTATCCAGTCTGTAAACAGCTTAAAAGCTGTCTACTACAATAACCTATTATATTGCCATCTTATTGACCTCTGGGTGACCTCTGTTGTCCGTAACTGCAACTTAAACTATGATTTGCTAGGCCAAAGATAATTTTTTGTTAAGTAAGTGTACACCAATCAATATCTAAAGGGTTACAAATTCTCAGGGCTACCCTAACTTGCACTCCATCCATATTCTAAAATAGCTACATAACCTCAGTTGTAACCAGAGCTGGAAAAAGCACACAGGATGAGAAGACTTCTTCATTCAGACCTATGGGACTGTAGAGATACAAAAAGTAGCTTTGGCACCCCTTAACCTCTCACCTCACCTTTCTGCTCTTGCCTTTACCGTAGATACGTCCCGTTCTGTCCCTTGCAGGTGTCTTTTTCCACGCTAACTCCCCCCCAGTACATTCTCTCAGTATGACGTTAATGGTTAGAGGACTACGAGTGTGATTTACAGCGCGGCTCATCTCATTTGCCTCTCTGCGAGACTACCGCAGATGTAGACTTCTATATTTGTATCTCCTGCAAGAACGACCCCTCGCAAAGCTGAGAACTACTTTTTCCCCTAATGGTGAAAAAGAATCACAGATTTAAAATAATTGTAATCATCTATTAGTCTGCAAGTGCAATCACATATTCAACAAATGCACATTTACAGAAGGCTGTATAGAGTTCATACTGTTTGTAGCTTACACTGATTAAATGACTAATGGAAAGAGGATTAAATGAATGAATAAAATTAAACAAAAAAGGACCACTACAGCTCATACATCCCATACATCAGATGAAAGAAGCCATTTTCTATGGAAATATATTAAATAACTGATGTCTTTTAATGTCTTTTGATGTCTTAGTGAAACCAGAGTGTATATAACTTTGCCTCTCTTGTTCAGATCACCATCACTATAAAAAGGTGGTGATGAAGTTGTCATCCCCTATAAGATATCCACTGCAGAAATTGGGTAACATGTACAAGGCCAACTTCAAATTCATTTCACTAGGAAATTAAGAATTAGAGTGTCCACCTTCTGCTTTCACTCTTGCATTGAGTACTCCTAAAATACTGACCATAAATAGCCTACAGTAAGACAAAAATACAGCAGCACAAGTATACATGTACTTAAGGAAGACTCCCTGGAAGCTTCAAGAAGAACTACATCAGTTGTGAAAGAGTTATATTTTGAGATGTTGAATTAAAATAGCAGGTACGTATCCTCTGACAGTGGGAAACCTGCTATTATAGAATGAGAGTAAGTGGATGCATGTACAAATTACAAATGTAGAAAGTACAATCAAGTGATCTGTCTAAAACTTCTAAAATGTTTGCATGTTCCGATCACAGCAACCATAGCTCTAAATGAAGCTTGCAGGGGGTCTTACCATGCTGAACAGAACGTAATCCCACTGTTAGTATAAAGGTTCCACAGCAAGCGTGAGAATATCATATCTAACAATGGTTACTTCCATTCAGGCTCATTTCCAAAAAAAGCAACTTGACAAGTCATTAGCAATACTCATTAATAACCATCACAAGGATAATCATATATCATGTTGCACATGTTTTGCACATAACCAGGATAATGATATTTTGCAGGCACTTCAGTAATCACTGAATACTGTAATCTGACGGATTGATTTGAGTGAATTAATATGCAAAAACATAGAACTGACATGCTTGCTTTTGAGAGGCAATTTCAGCTAAAATCTATGACTGTGTAGAAGGAAGAGATTTTATACGTGGTAGTTATTTACTGCACTACTAGGTGGTGCTGAGACCCCCCATCTTACTGGGAGGAGGTCATCTGAAATGGGACCCATTGCTAGTCATGGATGCCGGGGGAAGCTGAGACTGAACTGCTGACTGCAGTGGTATTGGAATTCACTATTCATAGGGCTTGCCAATGTACCTGCAGGACTAGAGTGAAGACATGGCCTAAGGGGCACTAAGATTATAAGTCTGAAACTTAAGTTGAGCAAGAAGAAACATCTGGGAGTAAAACAGGTAGCTGTTGAATTTACTTGTAAGTATAGCTCAACAGTAACAGCAGATAACTACATCATGACAGGTTATATCTTACCTCCTCATACTCCTCCTCCTCAAATTCTTCTATTTCCATCATGAAACACTTTTAGTGGGTCTAAACAACAAATAAACAACTGTGAGGCACAACTTAATATTGCCATGTTCTTGAAAATTTGTGATGTCTACACAAATAAAATCATTATTGAAGAAAAAACAACAATAAACCAAAAGTGACCCTTAGGACATCATTTCTATCCTTACTATCAGTTGAAGGACACACTACTTATTCATACTGACAACAAGTCTGGAAACGTCAATCAACCCATTCGAGAGTTAAAGTAGTGCTATTGAGATGCTAATAACAAATGAACAATTAAGTGTTTTCAAATTCATTCATACCTGACCAAAGACGGTTCTAGTAGTATTTCCAGTGGCCTAACAGCATGGAAGGAGCTCACTTTCCATGTAGTAGGATCCCACACTGATATTCCACTTAGCGTACTCCTGCAAACCTAGACACAGACAGAAAAGTGTCACAATTAACTTTTTTTCTGAACTATACGGAAAGCCTGAGTGCGAAACGACAACAGAATAAGTCTATACTGTCTGCTTAAAGGTTTCTGCAGGCCTCGGTTGGTCAGAGGGTTTGACACCCAAGACCCCCAAAAGACCCACAGCTCCTGGATGAAGCTTTGCGACAGCTGCTCCTAGACGCTCAAGCTATTTGTCATGTAAGTTAATGCCACAGCCTGATTGGCTGGCTTTGTTTAGCTAGCAGAGCTGCAATGCCTTCTGAGGCTGCAGGTTAAATATAGGTCTGCCTAACTAACTAGCCTTTTTTAGCACCTAACTCATTGAAACTTTACATTAAAAATAATGCTTTTCCATTCATTTCATTGAAAGGATAAAAATAAAAAGAGAATGAGGATGTGGGCAAACTCCAATCCGCAGGCGCATCAGATTGAGCTCCAAGACACAGATGCACAGATTCCAGAGAGAAGTTCCAAGGTCAACATATTCACAGTTCTAGAAGTTCTTGTAAAGCCGCCTGGTCAGAGCAGCCAGAGCATTGCTTCTTGATTCAGACTGTGGTTCAAGGACCAACCATCAGCATCAATTCCATCCAAAGGCAAATGAGTATAGAAAATCCAAAGAAGGAGGACATGCAAAGCACGCTGGAGAGGGAAAACCGAATTGTTTGGTTGGTTGCCTTTCTTTGCTTACCAGTGACTTTAAAGTTATAGCGTTTCCCAAGCTGCCAGAGCCTCCCCAACTCTTCCCTCCCGAGAAACGCTGGGCGACAGCTCACAGCTGCAGCCGCACTTCAGTTATCATGTGCCCCTACCAGCCAATCAGAGGGCAGCTTTCTCAGGTTTCAATGGCTAAATATACATTAGTGATGCCTTCAGAAAAGAGCACCTGTTCAGCAAATCCAGTAATATACAACTATGCAGGAAGAGCGAAGAAAATGAGGGAAAAAATATCAACATAACTGGTGGCCTGTGGGATGCATAGGAAACACTGACATTGTTTGGGATGGAGATGAGAATTGTGGAAGTGTCAGTTTTGGAAGAGATGAGGTAAAGCTATACACATATGGAATCCACCCAATGAGGATGGCCGGAGAAAATCTATGAGAACACTGTTCAGTGTCCAGGATTAACGCGTCCTAAATTCGGGTCAAAGTCAGGGGGGCAAGAGGGAATTCAAGCGTTGACTTGTACACCACAAACAATAACACATTCGCATAACAGTGACTCATGAGAATGACTGAGTGGAAACAAACTGATCACAGATGCAATATGCAAAGCGTCTGGGATATTTCTTTCCTTGCATGTATTAAATTCAGTAACTGCCTGATATTTTATTCTTATTTTTTGCGAATTACAATTTTGAATACAATTTTGAGTAGCACATTTAAAAGGTGCTACTAAACATTTACCGCACCAACAACACATATATTCAGTGTTTGTTACTAATGTAATCATATCCTCTACTTCTTAGCCTCAAAACAAGGCAGAACAAGTATATATTTGCTAAACAAGGCATGTTTCCATAATAATAATAATAATAATAATAATAATAATAATAATAATAATAAAATAGAAGACACTATAAGTTTAATTTGTAAAATTAGTTTACAAATCCTTGATTATAGCTTTAATGCATGTCTTTGCCAAGTATACAAAACAGAAGCCAGGGTAGAAGCATCAGTCTTGCTTTGTTTTGTGGCATTTATTAAGAATGTCCCAGGCCCCTGTCTTATATTCCTTTATGACCTCTGAGTAACCGTGATATTCCAATCCCCCACCCCACCCCCTTTAGTACAGTATTCAGGGTGAATCAAAAAATATCACAGACATTATTTTTAAAAGCTTACTCAGAAGTTGTGGGGAGGGGGATTGTAACACGGCCTGTCACAGACAGCATCTCTCATTGATGACAGCCTAGCTTCTAACATTCAGCTAGTAAACAGCCCTGATCTACTACCTCACTGCACCTCAGGTAACATTATGTCTTGGCACTTTTTGATTCTTGATGTTTCCACATCAAGAGTGTGCAGATCCCCACGCCCTCTTAACACTTCAGCACCAGAGCAGGTTGAATGACAGAGACAGCTGCGGGTGTCTGGCCTCTCTTCCGAAGCGCTCTGCCTCTCCACTGACTCTCACTCTTCCAGAATGCTGTAACATCAGCAGGCTGAAAGGAGGCAGACTAGGATCAATGCGTATGCCACCTACTTAGCATCAACCCCCACAATCTGCCTTTAAACTAACCTTTCATATCAGCTCATGATTGTCCAAAATGCACTGTGCAGAGCTTATAATAACACAACAAAACATTAATAAGCACCCATCTTTCTCTGCACACTTTGTGCAGCATGCTAACTCTTCAAAAGTCCTTATGTATAACATTAGGGTAATGAGAGAAGCACAGGGCACAAGTAAACAAAAACATCAAAATGTTTAGTCACCAGAAAAAAATAGTTACTCAGAAGGATAAGGCTGAACAGCTGTGCATGCATATTAAATACCTGGGGTAGTACTCACTCAATAAAACATCTCTAACATCGGAAAATAATCGCTTGCCAAAGCAGTGAGATAAGTCGGCTAAAAACAGCCAGACAGAGGCAGAAAGAAGGCATGTTTGCCAACAGCCTCAAAGCATGACACAACAAGAAGCAGGGTCATTCCGGCGTGTATGAGAAGAGGCAACATAGTCTGACCATCAGTTTATGAAAAACAGACAGTCCTTTCTTACATACAACCCTCAAATGATTACTACATGTAGTGATGAAAGACTGAAATGAGATCCTAAGAAGACATCTTACAGCTTCATTTTGTTTACCTCAGCTTGAAACAAATCGATAAATAAAAGGAAACATCATACTCTCTATACTCTCTGTGGCTGCTTCACTAGGTTGTCTTGCATACGTGCATTTGGGGATAGGCTGTATGTCTGATACATCTACACTTAAAAATAAAGTTGCCAGGGGTTGAAATGATGCCATTTTTCAATAAATCCTTCAGTAAAAGAACTTAACTCTGAAAATTATTGGAGGACTATTAACTATCTGCTGAGCAACTAGGATCACTGTTTAATCTAAACACTTGTGTCCAATGACATACTGTTTCTTTCTTTTTTTATATACTTACCATTATATATTAATTGTAAAAACTTATCCTCTATTCATATTGCTCTTGTTGCACTATTGTTTTGCTATCTGGTGTGGACCAGAGAAGGAGTGGTTCCCCTTTTGAGTATTGGCTCCTCTCAAAGTTTCTTCCTCTTGCTCTTAGGGAGTTTTTCCTAGCCACTGTCGGCCTTGGCTTGGTCACTGGGGCTTGTTCTTGGATTTTCTGTAAAGTTACTTTGTGCCAATGCCTGTTGAACAAAGTGCTATATAAATAAATTTAGATTAATTTAAAGCAAACACTATAAAAAAATGTATTCAAAAGTAGAGAAATGGTACTTTTCGATTGTGTGGGCAACAACTCCCCAACTTGCCGAGTAAGAGTCAGCAATTGGAGGTCAGAATTTCAGAGTTGCAAGCATTAGTCAAATACAGCGTTACATGAGGTATTAGTTTAGTATGGTTTCAGACATTGTTTAGTACTCTTTAATATGGTTTCAGACATTTTTCTGCAATTTCTGAGAGCAAGAATAAGTTGCATGCATTTGAGCATTCTCTGCTGTTCTACAAGCACCTATTAAACCCCATTTCAAAAACCTATTTAATAACCACAAGATAATAAACAATAAACATTTAAAAACTTTTTTTCAAGTATCCAAAGTACATGAATTCCAAGATGAGTTTGGATATTCATATATTAAAATAGCTACCCCATCACCATGTAATAATAGATCAAATAACCTAGATTAAGTTCGATTAGATATTAAATAAAATGTTTACATGGATATTTATCCATGAAATGTCTTGCAACAACCCATTAACTGTTACAATATAATTACATTTGCGGTTTCTGGGAATATGTCCATAGACAGGCATTCATTTTAATTCACAGAGAGGGAGTATCAATACAGTGGCTGAGTGACTTCACTTTGCTATCTAGAGATGTCATCAGTTATCTAGGGCCTGATACTAACATTCTTCTTGAGTGATCTGATGACAAGTGAATATCTAGCAATCACATCACAAAAAGTATGTGTTTATATGCATCCCTGTATTCATGAGGGTTCACCTCATTGGGCAGAAAGTGTTCAAATGCCACTCCAACCCTAAAACATTATGACCACTCACACTAATTATCTCATTACAACGGCACGTGTCAAAGTCTGGTCAGATGATGATGGTTCAGAGCATCTCAGAAACGGTAAGGCTTTTGGGGGGCTCCCATTCAACAGTGATGAGTACCAACAGACAGTAGTCCGAGGAGGGACAACCACGAACCAGCGCTGAACAGACAGAAGGGCTACACATGTCTGACATGATTAACGGTTGAATGAACATGGGAAGAATGTGTCACAACACACAGTTCATCACACCCTGCTGCATACGGGGCTGATCAGTTAGATCCCATTATTTTGAAGTAAATGTGTTCCAAAGTATCATCTGCATTTAAACTTTTTTTGCGTTTTAATGAAAAATATTATGATTTAATGCGTGCCCTATACTGGCTGGCGTTTTTAAGTTATGCTGAAAATTAGCTATAATTGTCATACAAAATGGAACCTTAAATCATTTGTTTTAAAAAAATAAACATAATTAAGGTACCATGTCATTCAAAACAAAAGAACTGTAGTTTAAAGACAAACATAGTTAATCTTTCACTCTGCAAATGTTAAGACTGCATATATAAGTGAAAGTCATATATCAACAACATCTAGAAATGCCGATGCATCTCTGGGCTAAAGCTCATCTGAGATGGACTGACGCAAAGTGGAAACGTGTGCTGTGGTCTGATGAGTCCACCTTTTAAATTATTTTTGGAAATAATGGACGTCAGGTTCTTCGGGCCAAGTGTCAGATTAATGTCTTATTTTTTTTTCAAAATAATTACTTATGATGTCAAAATAATCAGATACTTTCTTGGTGAGTAAAAATTATTATATTTATTTAGTCTTTATCCTGAGTTATTAATTCATAATATCAAAAAATAAGTAATTGTTTCGACTGAAGTATAAAACTTAAAAAAAAAAAAACATTTAAAAAAACGTTTTGCTCCTATCTGAGGAAAACAGACTTTCACACAAAAAGCATGCAAGCCAAACAAGTAGTTATATCCCAGGAAACACACCCCTGTGGGGCCTATGCAAGCAGCCCAACAAGGTCCCACAAAGTTTTGTCCGTTGTTTCATGTCATCCCTACTTATTGAAGCCCACCAAGTGCAATCATGGGTCCAGGAGGGGTTAAACAGCCTTTGTGTGCTTTTAATTGGGTTGCAATTGGGCTAGAAGTGGGTTTATGGTAGTAACCTCTGTAATTTATACTAGTGTTGTAGTCAAGGCCACTAAAGGTGAGTCCAAAACTTTGTAGTAGGTGAATCTGCTTCAAGACCGAGTGGTGAGACAAGACCAATTTAATTTTGTTTGCAGTTCATTGTACATTCATTATCATTCATTGTACACAATATATATTAATAAATAATATTATATTTTAGAATATATTTTGTAAAATATAAAAAAGCAAATCATATGTAGTATAAAATATTACTAATTATAATAGCCCAACTTTACATTGTAACTTTTGGAAGCAAATAATGGTTAAGATTATTTTCTGTCTTTTCTTCTCTAAAACCACCTAAAGTCAATTGAATATAAATATAGTAGTAATACGTTTTCGGTCTGCTGTCAGAGGATGTTTGAATTTTGGAATCAATGAACATCAACAAACAAAAAATACCTAGTTAAGTCATCATGGAAAAGATCAATTAGATCCTCAACTGGCAGCTAAAAGATTACCTAAACTTTTAGAGAATATTTTTTTCTGCTTGATATTAAATAAGAATAGAAAAAAGTTCAGTTTCAAATCACACCAGAGACATTTGGTCTTAAGAGCAATTTCTGAGCCCACCTTACCCTGAGACCAAGACAAGATTGTATCAAAATGAAGCTGAGACCATTAAATTACAAAATCAAGACTGGACTTGAGTAATACAACAACTGGATCCACCAGTTACGTGGGTATACTGGTGGATATTAGAGGTTGGAGGCAGCAGTCACGGGCTGGGTTGGGGAGGGGGTTGATTTTTTTTAGGAATATAGCTACTTTAAAGCTCTGTATACAAAGCCACTAAAATTCCATCTCAAATATTACTAAAATAAAAGTTGTATCTTGGATCTGTTTCTACATCAACATATTACATATCAACATATTAATACAGAACCAATCATTTTAGCATATTTTCACATATAAAATCTAAGTTAATATTCAATACAAATATATTTAGATTTTTGTTTTATTTACCCATATAATAATATTCTGTCATACTGACTTGGTAAAGAGTGACAACATTTAAACTTTTAGAAGAGCAAAGACTGAAAGCTGCTAAGTTCTGCTTTTGTTTAACATTGATAATTTGTTAGCTTTCTGCTAAGCTGGTCAGTCAGCTCTAATGAGAGCAAAATACAGCCCACTTACAGAGAATATAGACCAGTTAAAAAATTATGTACAAGGGTTATCCAATGTAGCAGACTTAAATGCTAGAAATCACAAGTATATTAAATACTTGTTTTGTTGACTGTTATTTCTCCTGTGGGCAAAGCAAGAGATATACATTTTTATTCCTTTTAATTATGAGCTAATAATTTTTTATGATCAGATTTTTTGTGCTTTGGTCAACTAACGAGCTGGTGTCTCCCAGTGCAGTTTATTACCTACTTATTTTCTACAAAGCCTCAGTTAAAACTTTGTTATTCTATATCTATAAAGTGTCTAAAATGACAAAAGACGTGCAAGGAAATTTGAGGAGGAATGAACATCTAATATAAGACAGAGGTTGAGGGTCTGCACACGAGAGAGACTGAATCTCTGTGCGTGAAGGTTTGCCTGGGAGAGCGAGGCTGGGAGCAGCACTGTCAAATTTGTCACCTGGCTGCAGTTGAAAGGCGTGGATTTCAAAGCTAACAGCTACAAGGTGAAGACAGGTATAAAATAAAAAAATGGTACTTAGCTACAGTTTTAGCTTTTAGTTTTCATACTGAGACCATATAATTTTAGATGGTCAATATGATTAAACTAAAAATACATATTGCAAATTGTGTAAATATAGTAACAGCATACAAACGAGAGCCGGTTTATGGGAGGCCCAACCACTTCCTATTTCTCCAGTGACGTCAAAAACATGACTGCAAATCGTCACGAATGGGGGTGAATGGAGCTTTACAGCTGAAAATGAAAAAATGTAAAATAGTTTCTAACCACTTGTTCAGGACGTTCATTTAATTTTGACAAGTAGAAGGATGTATTCCACTAAAAATGAAAGAAAACTTACCTTACCTCCTCATTGGCTGAGTAAAGCCGTTTACGCTCACTGACGTCCTTAACCTACACAAGGCGCCGAGACAAAGTCCTATAACTACAAAGGTGCTCAGAAATATAACAGCGGTGTTAAATGTTTTGTGCTGTTCTGTGTCCTGGAAATTAATGCATTCTTCTAAATAAAAATGTTTAAACTATGACTGCTCAAATGCTCCATCTTAATCCATTCAATTTGGATTCACTTCGGAGCGCCCTCTTGTGTTTGACAAACCTGGAAGACACTGAGTGGCAGTTCTCCTCGCTACACATTCTCTGATACAAACTCTAATTACAGTACATTTAGAATACAAATTCATATTCTTCTTCAAAAGAAAAGGTGATTAACACAGGAAATTATGTACACTGAGTCTGACTAAATTAACCAATGGAAAATGTACAACACAGTAAAATGTTTTTCCCCATATACCAGTTACGTATATGAATTTACATAATGGGTCTTCCCAGTTAAAGCCCATGTATGTTTTCCTGGGCAGCGTAACTGGGCCCCTTTAACAACCATGCACAAACCCCCTCAGAACCCAAGGACACTTGGAGCCCAACTAGCCCATGTTTAACACACGTAGGTCCCACATGGGTGTGTTGGCTGAGATTGCGCTGGTCATACGTTAACTACTTAGATGGGACTGTGTTCATTTGCAGTAAGTTAGTAGATAACATACTAAACTGGCCAAACCCACCAGCGCAAAATGTTGGTAGACTGTATAGCTTCTCTCTTAGTAAATCTGTCCCTTAATGTTATATAATTGGACACAAACAAATGGAAAAACAGTCTTCTCTTCGGCACTTTCACTTCCACAGACAACGCATTTTTCTAATGTAGCTATAAACAGCAGCCTGAGGTTACTTGTCTGTGCATAATGGCACTATGCTGCGATGCAAGTGAGTCAACAGGTAAAAGCTAGAAACACAGCAATGATAACGACAGATTTACATGTAATATGTAATATAACAAAATTATAAACAGTATTACATATACACAGACACATTTGCTCAATGGTCTAACACCAAACTAAATGTACTGGAACTGAAGAAAACAGGCTTCTATCCCTCACCGTTCGTACCCGTGCAGGCGACTGTTACAGCTTCCACCTCAGAACAACTGGGCTGTCACTCCAACCTCAGTAGCCACGCCCACTCTAGACTGCGTTTGAATCATCACTGAAAACAAACAGCACCCAGCATAATGGGAAAAACTTGCAGTGAGCCAGCAAAGGATGAGCGTGAAGGACACGCCAGATCAATTTAACTATGCTGAGAATAATGTACACAGAGGGGTGTTTATTTGAATATGTCGAGTTTTAAGGTCAGTTTTTTTTTCATTTGGTGCTTGACACTAATCTAATTCTACATATTCCAGCCATTTCATAGTAGTTTATTTAATAACATTAACCAGCCAGAAGCGCATTGCAGTTTTTAATATAAAACTTCCACTTTATTAGCAACATTAGACTTCATTAGCATTTAGCTCCACTAAGGTAATGCTATTTCTGCTATTGCTGGGAGTTTTACTGTTAGGGCCAAGAGATTTACATAATGGTTTACACTCTGAATCGCATTTCTAGCTTCAGCACGGTTATCCTTAAGTTTATAAGAAATTTAAGAAACATATTATTTATTTCCTATTTTGCAGTTTTACAGTAAATGCTTAAGCTAAAAACCTAACTTGGAGCCTGTTAGCCACCTGTGGCTGGTCTCTGAGCTGTTAAGCCCTGCTTTGCTGTATACACATATATATATATATATATATATATATATATAGGACTATAATAAGGCTAAATGGGGAAACATCCACCAAGAATGTCTTTGTTTTTTATCTTTCACCTGAGGTGCTGTTAGGTCATCAACATGGCAGCAAATAAAAAAGTCTGATTGAAATATGGAGCAACAAATGTTTACCCAAGTATTAAGGCAAACTAACGCATACAAAAAATGAACAATGGCTTTGTGATTAATTGCATTATAGGGGAAAGGAGGTCAGGGGGTGGGGGCACACCAAATTAAAAAGTTTTTTCCCCACACTGCATTTTTGTACACTTTGAAAGAACTGAAAGAAACCTTTCTGATTAAACTAAACATTGTTTTTTTCTTTTCATCAAACATTAATTAAAAATCAACTAATCTTACCAGTCTAACTTATCTGACTTAACCTACCAGTAGGCTTCTGTGTATTGTTTACATAGCAAATTTAGAGCTTATGTAACATTAATCGCCCTGTGGATGGCATGCTTGAGTGGTTTGTTTTTTTGTCCCCTAAACCACTCAATCAGATGCCATGAACAGACACATGAATAGTTACAAAGGCTAAGTAATCTAAATATTTAGGCTATGAATGGATGGACATCCTCTAAATTCATGCTGTATGAACAGACTAAAGTTGTGCCGTAAAACCTTTTTGAACTGTTTTAACCAATATAACAGAAACTCATTAGTGTATGTCATAGAACTGGCTACAGCTGGGCAGGTTAGCTAATGTTCTCAAACAGTTCATGAATCACACCACTAATAGAGAGCCTTTTATACATACATATACAAAACATCAAGCAAACACTTGCTCTGTTTCAAAGGACAGGCTGCCCATAAAGGGGGCCCAATCAAAACATAGCAAATATAACAGAGTAGAAGTCATGTTGGTCAGTCTTATGAGATTAAGTAGTACCAAAATGTTTATCACAACTGAAAAACTGCTGGTACAAATTATGGCAACGAGTTAGGTAGCAAGGTTTTTAAGTATTCACAGCAACTGAAGCAACCAGAACTAACTAGAAGTTTTCTCTGCACTCCTCCAGCCAATGATCTGGTATCACAGAATCTGCACCATGTAAAGAAAATGCTATACTCCATCTAAAATAATGAAATCATTAAGAAAAAATTATAATTGAAATACACACAAATACTAATCCTGGAAGTTATGAAGAGTGATGTACTGAACACTTACTGCACATCATTCTAAATCACATTCCAAATCAACACAAACCCTGTATCCAAAGAAATGTGACCCCCTAGAGGTCAGAAAGTTAACTGTCAGGACAATTTTATCTCATCAAGAATTGTTTCAATACCACTAAACTCACAACTGACAGAAAAAGACATGTAAAAGGGATTAAACTGCAATCATGATAGATAAAAACACTTTATTTAGCTTTTACATAAAGTGTAGAGTCTCTCCTTGCATGATGACTTTTGACTGTTTTATGCCCTGGGAACTGAGAGGTTCAGATGCAGGCACAGGGTTAAAGTAAATACTGGACTGTACACACAGGGCAATACTATGTCAGGCAGCCAGGCGATACGGCAAGGCCACTCCAGGCAGAGCCCCACTTAGCCACACATCCTCTTAGTCCAAGCGCTCCTCTGTATCTCTTCTTTTAGACTCTACAGGGCAACCGTGCAGGAAAACACTGAGTTGGAGTCCATGTGGTTTTACAAATCCTGACACATTTGAAAAGTTAGTTGATAGTTATTTGTTCACAGTTCTCAGAGAGCTGTAATAAATTAATCACACAAGTCCTGGTGACCTCGCTGAGTCACCTTCACAGTGAGTGACAGTCAGCCTCCACACAGGGAGGAGAAAGAGTGTGCACTGCTCGCTAGGGTCAGAGGTCATCTCACTCGCAGTCGTGACATCATCCACTCTAGTCCCTGACAGAGCCTATGGAGAGGACAGTCATGATTATTTCCAGTGCTTCATTATCATATACAACATTAAAGACACAAATATGTTTTAAAGAATTGAATCTCTGGACATGAAAGACTTCAAAGCTGATGGGTTTGTTTTCCATTGAACCAGTGAATCACTGTACCACACTGGACCAGTTTTCCCCTCACACAGAGAAAGTAAGCTTTGTGCTACATAGACGCTTTAATGTGTGGGATGTTTTCCAAAACAAAATAATGCAATAAAATAGTTACACAAACTTTTTTGCCAACTTGTATTGGGTTCCTTAGTATCAAGTTGCACTTATAGCAGAGGTGTCATCATCAAATTGACTATAACTTAATGTCTTAAATCACTAGATTTCAGAATGTTTCTGACCATCTCACATTTGTTTAAAGGGTTTTTCACGTGACAAATCGAAAAAGATTGTTCCTTAATTGGTTTATGAGATCCAGAGAGTTTACATAAGTAGGTGATGCTTAACTGTCACCTTAAAATGAGTTCTACAAAAATGTAAAACATGAATCTTCTGTTTTGGTAGTTAAACACACTTCAAAGCAAAGAAGAATACATGAAATATCATACACCAATAGTTCAAAAGTAATAACTTACCAAAGGGTGCGTTTCTTTTTCCATAAAACTTTTTTAAGGCAACAATGAAGGCCAAGCTCACTTATAAAATCTCAGAAACAAATGAAGATGCAACCCTATCTACTGGGTACAATGGGTCTCATTCACCAACCGTTCTTAAGAAGAAATTTCTTAAAATCCACTTACATAGTTTCTATGAAGATTCTGACATTGACCAATGTTTTCTTATTTGTTCTTGCAAGCAGAATCTACACACACTCAAGAGCACAAAGGTGCGAATGATTCTTCGGTATAAGAACACGTCATGAATCTGACGTAGACTCTTTCTTAGAACCTTTTTCAAGAACAAATTTAGGTAAAAACTTAGGAAGATATTGGTAAATGAGGCCTACTGAAATTAATTCCTGAAAGCAGGAGGGGGTGGCAAAGAACGTTTTGATTTGCATCTTACCTTCATATCAATACTCCAGTTTTTATTCATTTATAACCGGTTCCCATTCATTCTGGTATGAAGGGCATAGCTGATTAATGCCTGATAATGCTGATTTAACTAGACGATACGCCTTTCAGTTCATTCAAGTATTCCAAATGCTGTCCTTTAGGATATTTCTTTTCCACACTCTTACCCTTCCCCTGTGAGAGCACAACAGGCCTGGATGTGCCACTGATGGTCCTTAACAGAAGTTAGCTGTAGGCTCTGTGAAATTTCCGCCACCGTCATACAACCCTTCACATCTTGCTTGTTAGCAAACACCAACAAACCAGCCTTTTTAAGGTCCTAGAAAACAGAACAAAATTGATTTTTTTTTCCCAGAAACTTTGAAAACAAAATAAAAAAAGAAAAAATAAATAAATAAAAAGATACTTTAAAAAAAGGATTTAAGATTTTTTTTAACATTACTGCACTGTCAGGTAAGTCAAAATAAAAAGAAAACAGTGTAAAAAGTAACAAAACAAAAATCAAATGAACAGAACAGACACCTCTAACATATCGTTTCATATACTTTCCATAAAGGTAGCACTCACTTCATGAGCTAGCATTCTGTAGAGCTCTTCTCTGGTCACAGAGATCCTCTCCCTGTCTGTGCTGTCCACCACAACAATCACAAACTGTAAACACAAGACAGCAAAATTAGAGAAAGATTAAGCACCTTTATGTACTGCCCAGCAAACAATCATGAACAAAAAAAAAAAACAACAAAACAATTAGCTAGCGTAGCATTAAAAGAGGCTCAATAACCCTACCTCTGTGTTAGTGTAGTAGGTATTCCAGGAGGAACGTAAAGATTCCTGGCCTCCAATGTCCCACATGAGGAAATGGGTGTTGTTCACCACAATCTCCTCCACATTGCTTCCTATTGTGGGTGAAGTGTGCACCACCTCATTCATAGAGCTGAGGACCACAGAGAAAAATTTAATAATGCAAATAAAAAATAAAAATTTGTAATAATTACACTTAATATTCTTAAAAATTGAGGACTGTAGGAACTTCATATAAAAGCTTCAGGACATATGAATATCAGTTATTTTAACACTGCCCAGTCCTGTTGTTTGGCACTCGTTGTATGTGCTAATATCTAGGCTTCCAGTTGAAGCAAATCTTAGTTATCTTATGTAAGGTACATTTATCTTAGTTGCATTTAATACTTACAATTGATAGAGTATTGTTGTCTTCCCCGCATTGTCCAGCCCAACAATGATGACTTTATGCTCTGAACAGACAAAAAATTATTTTTAATTATGAGTCACAGTAATGCTCATGTTGGCAAAGTTTGACTCAAAAATAACAGACCCCATCACCGATTTCCTGGACAGGGATTTAAGCCTAGTCTTGGCCTGCAGTTTCCTTTCAGTGGAGAGACTCCATTCTGAATACTGTACAACCTCTTCTAGACCCAGTTAGCTGAGACAGTGACACATTTCTGTTACACATTATTTAACTACCTATCCTTACGAAATACTTACGTTAACATTCTTAATAAGTAGAGCTACAAGAGATACAATACAAGGGAAAGAGAGTAGTGATGGGGTACAGCAAAAAGTATTTACCAAATTTCCTTACCAATGAAGAATAAGACAATAAAAACAAATATTTAAAGTCTTAAAACAGAGTGTATTTTTTTTAACTAAGTATCTATTTACAGTAAAGAAACTCTCCAAAGGAGGATCAGATTAATCAAGTTGATCCTGTCTAAGTACACCAGCCCAAAAATATGTTTGCTCACTGGCTACCATTTCACGTTATGATTAAGAAAAGTAATGTTATACGTTCATATATGTCAAACAGCTGTGAATATGGAACAAACAAAACCACATTTCTTGGTTAAACAGTTAAAATCTCAATTTGCTCCCTCAAGAAAACCTAAGCCATCTGTGTAACACTTTTAGGCCTACCTCCAAGCACAGGCAGAAAAAAAAATGTGATAGTATTACATGTACATTTGAGCTTTTCTTGTTCCACGCTTTTCTTTAACACAGCATGAGTGAACAACCTTAACAGGCCTTAAGGCTCATTTCCTTTACATTATAAGAAAGAAGTCACTGCCCCAACTATAGAATCACTTGACTGGTCATTTGTAGAAAATATTCACTGAAAGCCATAACATTAAAACCACTTCTTTGTATCTACACTCAATGTCCATTTTATCAGCTCCACTTACCATATAGGTGCACTTTCTAATTCTACAATTACAGACTGTAGTCCATCTGTTTCTCTGCATACTTTGTTAGCCCCCTTTCTCCTTGTTCTTCAATGGTCAGGACCCCCATAGGACCACCACAGAGCAGGTATTATTTGGGTTGTGGATCATTCTCAGAACTGCAGTGACACTGGTGTGGTGGTGGTGTGTTAATGTGTGTTGCGCTGGTACGAGCGGATCAGATGCAGCAGTGCTGCTGGAGTTTTTAAACAGCTCAATGTCACTGCTGGAGTGAGAATAGTCCACCAACAACGTCCTGTGACCACTGATGAACGACTCGAGGATGACTAACATAAACTGTACAGCAACAGATGAGCTACTGTCTTTGTCTACAAGGTGGACCAACAAGGTAGGTGTGTCTAATAGAGTGGACAGTGAGTGGACACAGTGTTTAAAAACTCCACGCCTACACTCGTGAGAAAATGGATGCAAGGTAAAGAAAACGTAACTCGATTAAGGACAGGACAGTTTCATGCACATAAAGAGTTTTAGGATTAAACATGTGAAGGCTAATATCCTGCTATATCAGCACCACACAGCATGAGAAGTTTATCCAGGCTAAAAAACTTCTGTGATATTGTCCAAAAGCACTGTTTGATAAGTAAATATGTTAAAGCAGACCTAAAACTTAATTGTGTACAGCTGATTGTTTTATTAGATCGTTATATATTATTTTCTATTTTATTTACCTGTGTTCTAATGTCAGCTACTATTGTCACTATGCAGTAATTTAACTGGCTCCATCATTAAAAACATCAGGTTTTGAGCACTTTAGTTGATGATAAAGTAGTCTGGTCAGGCCGGGTTCAAACGCAAAACATAACGATGTGGTTCAGGTTGAGTCAGACTTGGACAAGAAGTTCTCCGGCTGTATTCAGGTTCGGACCAAAATTTCAGGCCTGATTAAAGCTTTAGCGTACACATGATCAGGGATGCAGATCTGTTCACCTTGGTATTCTTTTTTTATCCTCAATATCAGTCATAACCTTTAACTGACTGAATATGGTCTTGAAAAAAGCTTTAAAAAGCAAACTACAGTCTTTGCTTGAACTTGTATTACACAGCTTTCTCTTGAACACAAATATCTGTTAACCTAACGAGTAAGGTGAGTATAACAAAGAAATGTGCCACGGTGTCACATTCCAATTAACTTTAGTCGCAAATACCTTAACTGGAACGACAATAGGTGTGGTCTGGACAATGTTTAGCCCATATGCTTTCAACAAGGTATTTATCTCCATTTGCTGTCATTTTTAAAACATACACAATAACTGATGTATTTTTCTAGGCAAGCTGACTTTCTAGGGAAACTGGAGACATTGGCACAGCCGGTCTAGCAGTATCACACTTAAGCCAGCACTAAGCCACATCATTTATAATAAATGAGAGGCCGTGTACTGTAGGCTATCACATAGAAGTCTGTCACAGTCAGTGCTGGCCAGCTCTTGTATCATTTAGTAAGTGGTCATTCAGGAGCCTATGAAAGCTTGAGGAAACCGTAGTTGCCTAAAAACAATGGCAAAATCGGACAACTCACTACCTTGTATGAAACTTAGTCGTGCTTAACTTTTCTGATGTCGACGGAAGCCCACAATTTGACTCTACATTACTTTAGTTTACATTACATCAATAAGATTTCAGTAAAAAGCAAAGCCAAAAAAAGAAAAAATCCAATACCAATTCTGACAATTTAGACCCTGATCAATCACGTTTTTTGGAAAAAATATCGCACATCGAACAAGCGGAAAATTACTAGCCTGATGCCAATGTTTGAATCAGTAAATTGTCTATACAGTCCTTGGCCAGCTGACAAGACGTTATCAGAGGTACCAAAGGAACTGATGGGTTAAACACCTGTATACGGACTGACAGCTAGGCAATGATAAGGACATTTTCCGCCAGAAGAAATGATCGTTAATCTAGGCGTCGGGGAGATTTTCACGCCACACCACACAGCCAGTTCGCTGGCTACCTTACACCGCTAACATGCTGAAACTGCGAGGGGCCCGAACCCCTCTGGAGCTGGAGCTCATAAGCGAGTGCTAGCTGACCTCAGATCTGTCATAACGCCTATCGGAACAGATTAGCGAGTGTAGCTACCACAGTTCCACGTAACCAGTCACTATCAAACCAACATCAAGTCACTGGATAACGTTAATCTAGACAGGCAACCACTTCGAATGAACCGGATAGCTATTTATCCTCTGAATAAGTATATCATTTGTAATGAATTATTTCAGAACCGTATCTGAACTTCAGTCCACCTAAGGTTAGCTGGCTAGCTTAGCTGATTGCCGTCAGCTACAATGTAGTGAAATGTCTGACTCACCTTGGTGGTTAAAAAGCCTCCATAACTTTGTGAAAATAATTCCCATTTCTGTTGAATGATTTTCTTCGTGGGCTGTGCCGACCCAAATAAGTCCGAAATTTAGCGTTATCTAGCTAACTAGCTAGCTGGAGATTAGCTTCGTAGCAAGCTAGCTAACGTTAGCCACTGTGCGAGAAAAACGAAAGAAGAACTAATCTAACGTGAGCAGTCGGTGACAAGCAGCTGTTTAGCTAGACACCGGGGAATGTTTTCAAGATGAGACAGGAGTAAACAGTATCCATATCTCTTGACGACACCTCCGTATTTGAAATACTGCATAATTTGATTAGTGTCATAGCCGAGCTCGATGGGTTAAGCGTTGGAAGGCTGTTCAGTTCGCCTCGCTTGTTTTGAGTTAGCTGCTGCTGCTGCTGTCGCTGTCGTCTTCTGCCGCAACATCCGAATTAGCGCAGAGCTGTGAAGGAAGCGTCGCACTGAGGCACAACAGGACTCCCCGTCGCCCTGCCCACTGACTCAAACTTATTGCAGCATTTTATTTTTACTTGCACGCAGGCTTAAGAGATTTAGCTGATGAGACACAGTCTTTAGCTGGATGCCTCATTCTCTTTCTAACAAAAATGGTACAAGAATGTTTGGTATTCGGACGAATATAAAAAATAACTAGGCTTCAGTTTCCGTAACATTTAGAGAACTACAAACGCCAACAGTGGACAGTGATGCACGAGTAGACTTATGGGAAGTGTTGTTTTTTTAAGTAAATTCATTAATTCATTCATTAAGTAATTGACAACAAAAAAAGTGTTTGTTGTTATTCATTCCACATACATACCGAAGAGCAGTCTCTGGCCGATGCCACTTTAATTCTGAGTTACAAGGTTATGCCGTTTTTACAGTTTTATTTAACACTTATTCATGACTGTAACATCTAAATACTGCCTACTAGTGTCCCTGATTTCATTATTTTAAGGATTTTAAAATGGCCTATATTGTTGTAATCGGAAAAAAACGTGTCACGTGTTAGTTGAGTGCGAATCTAATAGGATTTTACTGCTGTAATTAATAAAGTTAATTTCATGTTATTTTCATCATTGTAATAAGTGTATTAAAACGATGGCGCAGTAAAATGTAGTAAGTTAGATTAAAAGATGTAAAAGTACTTTGAAATTTAACTCAGTGTGTATTTCGACGCAAGAAAAAACGTTTGACAAGTTCATTGTTTTTTAAATAGTCTGCTGAATGGTGGAAAGGTGTCACGTGGTACAGAAGAGCCCGCATAGATGTTCGTCATCACGCCGCGACCCTGAGGGAGGGCTGGTGGAGAGCACGTTGATGCACCGGAGCTCCGGCAGTTCAGGAGGAAAGAAAAGGGAGAAAAGGGCAGCTCCTTCTCCTCGGAACCCCTTCTGCTTCTGCTCTGCACGCCTTCCAACGAATTACATCAGGGAGTCGCCGGTGAAGCCGCATCAGCTTCTACGAGCTCACGATGTCAGTCACGGAGATGTTCAGCTACATCCAGGGCTTTTTAAGTGCCGACCAAGATGTTCGAGAGGTAACATTAAACGTTAGCTACACAGCTGTTTATTGATTGGTCTCAGCTACCCCCGAGAAATACGTTTAGAAATGTTTCTTTCCTTAAAAAAAACAAAAAAACAAAAAAAAAAAAACATGCCACGTATGTTTTCCGTGGAACCTAAAATGTCTTGAAACGGTGTCACGTACGACAGTGCGGTTTCGAGGTGGTTAGCTTCCGAGCATCAGGTTACCTACCTACAGTAGAGCTCAGCCGGGTTCTTAGCATGTATATCTTTTAACGCTTCGTTTCCTCCCACGCCTTTCACTTTTAGGACATAAGGAAGGTTGTCCAAGTGCTGGAGCAGACCGCGAGGGAGATACTGACTGTTCTTCAAAGCGTCCATCAGCCAACTGGTTTCAAAGACAGTAAGAGTGCACGGTTTGCTAATGTTTTGCATGGTTCACTGTAGCATTTTAAGTGCATTCAACAACCTGTAATTTCCCACCAGTTCCCAGCAAGTGCCTCAAGGCCAGAGAACTGTTTTCCACAGTTCAAACCCAAATCGGTGAGCTGAAAACAAAGTTTCCAGTGGAACAGTACTACAGGTTAGTGCAGAAATAGGGTGATATAGAAGTTGTACTTATTTTTATGAGGTAGATTGTAGCTTAACATCCCATTTCATTGTCTTTTGTCCAGATTTCACGAACACTGGAGGTTTGTTCTTCAGCGCCTCACCTTTCTCGCAGCTTTTGTGGTCTATTTGGAGAGTGAGTCCTTGGTGACGCGAGAGGAAGTGGCTAAAATACTTGGAAGTATGTGAATTTTTTTTTAACTTATTTGAGCTTCTTATGTGGCGTTTCTTTGAGTGTACTGACATAAAATGTTAACTACTTTTTGTGCAGCTGAAGTTGACAGAGAAAAGGGCTTTCATTTGGACATTGAAGATTATCTAGCAGGAATTCTTATTATGGCCAGTGAACTGGTAAGACTTTAGTGTTTTGTATAACTAGCTACAAACGTAAATAAGCAAATATGCTTTTCTCTTCATTGCTTCACTGTTAAGTCTTTCAAATGTTGCTTTGGAGCTTTGGTTGGTCATAATGTTAAAGTACCCCTAAAGTCAATATGTTTAAAACACAAACATCATTGTTGAAGAATAAATAGTAATTTGTTGTTGTTGTTATTATTATTATTATTATTATTATTATTATTATTATTTACATTTTTTTTTATGTTTATGTCCAAGAAACTACCAAAAAATAGCATAGGACCATCCTTAAACCTCAACACTCATTTAGAATGTGAACATCTATGATTTTGCAAATTGTAAACATCCCTTTGCTGCCCTGTTTCTATCAAAGTAAATAAACTGAGAAGCAAAAAAAAATAAGCCTCTGCTGTAACATTACTAATCAGAGAGATTCTGTCGATCACTGGCACCAGTCACTTGTTTTCACTCACTCAGATCTGAGTCTTTGTCTTCTAAACTTGCCTCAGTGCAGTGTCAGTGAGCCAGAATTGCTGATAGTTTAGCCTTCTCACTAAGCTAACATTAGCCTCTGGAGCTACAAGGATATATAAAAGTAGCTTAAGCTAACGGCTCCGCACACAAAAACATTATTTATCCCCTCAGATTTAGTTTATATTCTCCAAATCTGCATCAGTGAGTCTAAAGTGAGCTGGAATGAACCTGCGTGGTTATGTGTAAAGCTTAGGTGTTCTCACTAGGCTAACGATAGCTTTTGACGAATATGGAGCAAAAGTAGTCCTTATGCTCATTAAGTGAGTTGGGTTGGGTATCAAAACCCTTCCAAAATTCCAAGAACCGGGTATCCATTAAAAAAAAATAAATTCGATTCTGCTTATCGGTTCCTACGAACACATTTTCATTCATACATACTTCAAATACATGTCAGCGATTAGGGCAAAAAATACATTTCTAAGGATGCAGCTATCTACCAGACCTGTGTACGTCATGTAACACTTCATTGCGTAATGCTAGGCTCTGCTATAGGATTAGCGGAATATGGATCGCGAGAAGTGCTCAGAAATGAGGCTCCGCTTTGTGAAAGAAAACAAAAAGACAAAAAACAGCACCACCCAGCTCCACAGACAGTGCTAGCACCTCGCTTACTCGCTTACAGTGTTGCTGTGTTGTAGCTAAATGGGTTTTTACAGGGAGATGACCAAGGTGCTAAACTCAAAGTACCCTCTCCCCTACAGAGATATTTTGACTAACCAGCTGATCCCTGCTTGGTACAAGGTATAAAAAAGTCATATAAGAAGCAATTGATGAGCAGAATTGGAATCAAAATTCAAATCAATAAAATTTAAATAAAACCCAACCCTAGGTGAAACCGTTGCATGCTTAACTACTGCAGTGGCATGCTACCTGCTTCTATAACAATGCCAGGTGCTTGCAAGAGGTGGCATGAGGCCAGTGCCAATCCCCAAGGGCTGATGAGAGCCATCTGAAGCAGTCCTGTGATCGAATTCATGGCGCGGTCTCCCGGGCTTGGCCATGTATCTGGGTGATGTGGCTGCCAGACCACCCTCATATTTGACCCTGGTGGTGTTGCCATGGGATGTGAGGGGTGAGGCAGCGGGGGTTTGAGCAGCAAGTTCTTCTCTGCTCAGGTGCTCGTGCTGCCTTTGATGAGAGCCAGCTACCACTGGTTTTGCATCAGCAGTGCAGGCTCATGATGGTACTCTTAGCTATTGTTGGCACTTTGGGTCTGCTGCCGGCTTCTTGCCACCTCTTGCAGCTCTCTTCAGTGCTGGCACATTCTCTCATTAGAATATTTTAGTATATAGTACTGTGGTAGATTTAAGCTCATTTGTAACATACAGAACTAAGCTGCCGCGTAGCACCCCATGAAATGCTTTTTTCAGATGCACTGGCAAAGTGTGTTTTCAGTGTGAAAATTTGAACCTTGCTCTGTGGTACAATACCAATGTCAGTCTACATAATGACAAGTCATCCAAGAGAAGTTACCCATTTAAAAAATAATTTTTTTGAGTGCAAATGTTTTTTAATACTGCTTTCTCAGGGAAACAAAACTGGCTAACTCACCATCTTGTTTTTCTCCACAGTCAAGATTGGCAGTCAATAGTGTGACAGCTGGAGACTATGGGCGTCCCCTCCGTATCTCCAATTTTATCAATGAACTTGATTCTGGGTTTCGCTTGCTCAATCTGAAAAACGACCCTCTGCGTAAACGCTATGATGGCCTCAAGTACGATGTCAAGAAGATCGAGGAGGTGGTGTATGACCTGTCTATCCGTGGCCTTGCCAAGGAGCCAGAGGCTGGGGGAGATAAGTAGAGGCAGTAGGGGAACGGAAGAGGCCGCGGGGCACAACCCTGGCCGGAATTCTCCATGACTGAGAGAATGGAGACTTAACCTGCCAGTGGGCAGGTGGGTGGAGGAAGAGAAGAGGGGATGGAGGTATTGAAGCCCCAGAAGCCTTTGACAGTGGTGTGTATTTTGAAGCCACCTGTCTGACCGGGTGGAAAGCTGTTTAGAACTGTTAAAAAAGGGGAGATGTTCAGTTTCTCACCACTATTGAGCGAAGTTTACTTTTGTACAGTTCACCTGTATGTTTGGTTGGATGTGCCATTTTGCTGTTCTTATTGTTTTGTGTTGGTTATCACACTTGTGAATCATTGTACAGTCAAACATCTGATATGGAGGGAGTTATTATTACTATGGTTATTGATTTATGAATACATAAGGAATAATTTGACATGAAAGAAAAAAATCTTCCCAGATTTGTTGTTCTTTAACATTACCTGATATTCAGCCAGGATTATGTTGGAATTAAGCCTACAGGGGTTTTTCACTTATGTACTGAAGGTGCACATAAGGGGAACTTTTCCAAAAGTGACTAGTGGGGGAAAATATGCTTAAATTATCTGAAACTTTTACATCAAAGGGGGAAAAAAGCTTAAGAGCTGACGTTTTTCTTCAGTTTCCCCTTAGACGTAATTTGTCTGCACCTGTTTCCACTGAATAGTTAGCACATTTATGTCCATGTTCTCTCTGAGTATTACCAAATACCTCCTGGGCCTATTAGCATTGACGTTGTTGTGTTCTTTTCATTCAGAATGTTTCTTCTCCAGGTTTAATTTTGCAGTTTTATATTGCAGTTTGGCTGAAATATTAGATACCTTGGAGAATATTCCTTCATAACGGATATTTTATTGCCTTATTTTCATTATCCTTTTAGTGAGCACTCTGATCCCATCACCTGCATAAATTATACATTTCTCAATTGTTATGGATGCTGGCATTGCATCTTTGCATGTTGCATATGGTCTGCAGAGCCTTTACAGTGTGTCTTTTGGAAAAATGCCCAGCTTGAAAGCAAAGCAAACTACAAAATGTCAGCTTTATTTTCCTTATGTGAGGCACAAGTCTACTGTTGTCTTCTTGCAAACTACATTTTATTGGCCTTAGTGTGTAGCTATGTATGTGAGCATGTAACTGGTCTGATTTGTAAATATATGTTTGGGTACTGCTTAAAAAGAACCCATAAAATACCTTTCTTGATGTCTGACCCAGACTGTCAGCGACAGTATGGACTTAGTAATAGTATGCACTTTTCTTTTTGGCCTGTAATGGTTTCTAGTATACCAGCAGATGCTGACTTTGTGTTCATTTTAACAGTTTGCCTCTTCCTGTTTGTCATAAACTGTAATGTTTGCATTTCAAAACATTTTTTTTGTTATTCTTGCATTAATAAAGTACAAACTAAATCGTTTTCAAAAAGCAAGCCACCAATGAAGAGACCAATACATACATTTTTTTTCTTATATTTTAATATAATTCACAATATTTTACACAAGAAAATTATTAAATTAGGTTTTTGAATTCAGCAAAAATAAACAAAAACAGCTTGACTGGTCTCAGTTAAAAGAATGACTCAGGGGTTGGTTATGTGGCAGGTTAATACCCTCTTCTACTGTTGACTAATATGGAAGCTGTAATATTTATAACAGTATCAGTGCCATTGTTGAGGAGATATTCTAATGCAAAACTGTCAGTTTTACATCCATAAGCTTACATTGACAGTTCTTGTCTCTCAGTACTGACACTAAACCAAATAATTGATTTGGCTGATAAATATTGCTTAAGTCAACTGTGATCTTTAATTCTTCTAAAGCTCAATCTGGAAATAACAGTAAAGCTTTGAATAAAATGAATGTCTTCACACCCCACACTTAAGAGCTTTACATTAAAGTGCATCAAACAGAAATGAAGGGCTTTTTTGTTAGCTTGGGGAAAAGTGGGAAAAGCTCACTTAGATAACCGTGTTCATGTTTTAACTGGAGAGGGAGGATATTTGCTCCGACATGTCAGCAGACTATCGATTGAAAGGCACACGGTTTTACTCCCCTCTGTGTCAATGATGAAAATGTCTTAAAAAGATTTCTCTATGACACAGTCTTGACTTTTATGCTACTGCCACTATGTCCACATATTATTTAACCTCCACCTACAGAGTAGCAGTGGAACACGGTGAAAATGGATACAAGAGAAATCATTCTGGACAATGAAAGTCCATACTGAGTTCATTTTACTGTGGTGCTTCATTGAAGATGCTGGGGATTGACGATTTTAAAAACCAGCATTAGTGTAGCTACAATATATAACTATAATTATTGCTGCTTTGCTACTCAGCACAGTGAAAGTAATCTCAACTTCTAGGCGACAGTATTCCATCATTCATTTCAACCAGTCTAATTCCAGTCTAGGTGAAACTGTAGGGTCCAGATGTCACAAGAAACTCAGGATAGCTGGAACTGAAGCTACAGGAAAAAAAGTGTGAACTGCCGCTCAGTCTTCTCTGGCAGTGGAAATGGATGCTACAGTAATTTTGCACGCTAATGAGAAGAGAGGAAGAGGGCAGTGACTTACCTTCATGAAAAAAAAAAACCTCAAGTTCTGGCTCTGCCTTCACGAAACACACTTGTTTCACTTTTGTGCATCATTGTTAAAAAGGACATTTTTAACAGTTTCCATTCTTCAACAGTTTTTCAACATTTTCACCCATGCTTTTACCAAAAACCACGTCATTGCTGAAAACATGTACTTCATTAAGAAATATTATACAATCAGTGGCCAGTGATGTTCCCAACCACGTCCTCATTTTGGTCTGCCAAACAGCTGAAACTTCACACGAAAGTTTGTTTTTCTTCTTTGTCTTTTTGGGAAAGTCAGTGTTTTATTATAGAAAGTGCACTCTTGTCCAAATCATTATACAGTTCTTTTTTTTTTAAATCACAGTAAAACCCCACAATTAAAGTCCTTTAGGAAAAAGGAATATAAGATCTATTTTCCCTTTATTTAATACTGTCAATTGAATGAATATTTTCCATTATTTACAGCAGAATTAGGCTGAATAGGGAAAATATTTGCTGCGGGGCCCAGTCTCAGGAGCGGCTCTGGGTCGTGTTGATCATAATATTGGGGAGTGCATTGCGTCTTTTCCTCCAGAATCCCAGATCACAGGCATACCTCTTGATCTGACGAAACCATTGCTGTGTGCGCGATTTGTCAGAGGCACGGAAAACAAAGGCCTCGCGGCGAATGTCCAGCACCTCGAAAGTGTCGTCACAGTCAGGGTCGGAGGATACCACACAGTTGGCCAGACGGATGGGCTCCCTCAACACAGTGAACTTACCGCTACTTTTATCTTTAATCAACACCAGCACACCATCCCGCACCGTCTCAATGGTCTCTTGCTGCTCTCCTCTTATACCATCTGCAGGAGGTGCTCCCTCCGTGCTGCGCTGTGTGCACACCATGAGCAAACTCTGAACGTTCTGAAACTTGAGGGACTTGCTCCCTTTCTTCACCCACTGGCCATCTGCAGGCTGTGAAAGCTGCAACGGACCCTCCATGATGAAGCGTGTGCTCTCCCGAGCCCAGCCCACCGTCTTCATGGACATCTCTCTCATCTCGATGTTGATGACCTCACGGTTCTTGCGGCTGTCACGGCGGAAGGAGCGCAGGGACCACGTTGCTGTGCCCTCCTGCTTGGTCTTCATGTTGATGTGCTCCAAATGGGACTCCACACGACTCTTGGCTTCCCTCAGCCGGGCGTGGTCGGGGTGACACTCGTTAGTGGCCTTGCTGATGCGACTCAGTAGCAGCGGATACTTGGTTACACGCTGAAGTGGAGCCATGAGGAACGATCGCAGATTCATGCGCCGCAGAGCGGTGTTATCATTCTGCGATACATCAAGGAATATCCTGAAAGACAGCAAGAGAGTCACTACAGTTAAGTAAGGAAACCTGAAAATACCTTATTCCTAACAATTCTTAATGCTCTAAGATTATCTTAAAAGATATCACAAACTCAGTTCCAAAAAAGTTAAGACAGTAGGTAAAATGCAAATAAAAAGAGACGTCAGTGATTTGTAAATCCACTTTGAATAAAATTAGTACAAAGTCATCTTATCAACTCCAGTTTTTCTTGTAAATATACACTCACTTTGAAATTGATGCCTGCAACACATTCCAAAAAAAGTTGAGACAGGAGCAACTTAAGACTAATAATATAGTGAAATGTTCAAATAACGTCTTAAATAGGTCAAGCAGTCATGCTTAGGTATAAAAGTGGCCTCCAGGAAAGGCCTCATCTTAGTGAGTAATGATGTGTTGAGGCTCTCCATGGGTCAAAACACACGTCAGCAAATAATGCAACAGTTTAAGAACAACATTCCTCAGTGAGCAATTGCAAGGATTTTATGTCTGTCACCCTCCTCAGTGCATGACAGCATCAAAAGATTCAGGGAATTGAGAGAAATGTGTTTGTAAAAGCCAAGGCTGAAAACTACAACTGAATACCCATGACCTTCGATCCTTCAGACCAGGGGTGTCAAACTCAACCACTAAAAGGGCCATATGAAAAAATCTCAGCAAATCTGTTGGCCAGCTGTGGGCCAGCTGTGTTTTTATTTCGTTTCTACTTAACATTTTGCCAAGACCTGAATGGGTCGTTGTTAATTCAAAATATGCCAAAACTGCAACAGCTAAATAGGCATTAAATACTTATTAAAAAATATATAAATAAAAAATAAATTGCTTTAGGCAGTTTTTTTAAAACTGCCTATTTGCTTGAACTAGACACCAGCCATCTTTTTTTCTTTTTGTGTAACCCCTGGCCCATAAATTGTTGTTGGGGGAAGGGTGTCAGAACGTACACTATGTTGAAGTGCATGCTGGGGACTGTAATGCATCTTAGGCTGAAATTAAAATAATTTTGGCTTTGTGTTTGACACATGGGCCTTAGACGGCACTGCATTAAAAAAATCAACATGCTTCTGTGATGGGTTTCTACAAACCATCTCCAAAAAATTGTAAATGAAGTTAATCAAGTAGGAAGCAGCGCCTAACTATGCTACAAACAACAGTGTAATAAACCTTCATAACGAGCACTCTTAACAAATTTAGGAAAGCTTAAATAAGCTACTTGCTGGGAGTTTTGTCTGGGACTCAGAGCAGCAGGACAGCAGTCACTTTATGTGAAGGAGAGGAACACGAGTAGCTGACATATATATATATATATATATATATATATATATATATATATACACACATATACTGCTATCTCTGATTGGTCCTTTGTCAGATCTGATGCCGTCAAATTTGGTCCAATCTAACTGAAATCGAACAGAAGAGAATGGAAGAAAAAGTAATTTCAAAAATGTCTCAACAGAAAAGGCCAACAGCATTGTTTATCTGACAGTTCACAGTAAAAATCTCACAAAAACTATGTATAACAGTTAGAAGGAAATCATGGAAAAGAGCAGATGGGGCTTTAATTTGCATTTGTCAATGCAGCGACTGATGGTGTTTATTTAAAAGGGTTATCCAAAATATTCCTTTGCCCATGTGGTTATATTCATTACAGAAGCATGTCGTTTTTTAATACAGTGCTTTCTGAGGGACAGACATTCAGTATTAGTTTTTGGCCCTGCCCTTTACGCACACAGACTTCTCTTCTCTTTTGATGATATTCTGCGCAATAGAGGGTGAAATACCTAAAACCCTTGCAAGTGTTCACTGAGGAACATTATTCTTAAACTACTGATGCATTTTTTTGCCAAACTGGCAAGTTTTGACTCATCTTCGCTCATAAAGGCCTCTGCCTTTCGCGCCTTTTATACCCAACCATGACCGCATCACTTGTTTAAGATGTTTTTTTTTAACATTTCACAACATTTATAGTCTAGAATGGGCAAACATTTACAAAAATAATGAAGTTCAAAAGGTAAAACATGAAATATGTCTTTATACTGGTTTTTACTTTAAATACAGGTCAAGCAAATCACTGCTTTCTGTTCTCGTTTGTATTTTACCTACTGCCCCAACCTTTTTGGAATTGTGTTTATATAATTTTTTTTTTTTTTTACTAATTTTTTTCCTAGGCTCACTAATTGGCAGCCATATAGAAAGATGTAATAGCTGTGACTTCATAACCATGATAAAGTTGAAATTAGCTCATTCTGCAACATTTTATATATGGACTATTCAGCCCGGGGAGTGAAGGCTACGGTTTGAAACTTTAACAATGTTTACATAGTATTACAAACTCTTTTATGTCAACAAAGCAAGGAAAATTCAGTTTTTCACGATAGAGAAAACCTTTAAGGCTACAGTGGCTTCACGAATCTCTTAAGAGGTTCGAAAGATGAGATAAGATGCCACCTGTTCTGTAAGATGTTTTGCTTTGTACCTTAGCAGCTCTTTTTCCTTCTCCAGAGTATTAAGCATGTTTACAGATGCAGACTGCTGTAAGCAGTAGGTCTGGAAGGCTGGCAGCATGTTGACAAACTCCAAGAAGATTTCTCCAATGCATACAGTTAGCAGATCCTCATCTCCCTGCATGGTGAAAACAAACACTCAGTCTGTTCTTATTTTTATCATTTTACCACAAATGTTAAAGTGCATATATTCTAATTTTCTTGCATTTTACATTTTTTCCCTGCTGTCTGCAATAAGGTTTGTATGGCTTTATGAACCAAAAACAGTCATAATCAACTTCTTCTTATCTTTTAGAATTAAACAGGATGTTTTTGTTACTGTGCCTTTAAGACTGACATATGTAAATGACCTCTGTTCTGATCATCACAAAAACAATGAATTCAAAAGCTTAGTTTAAAAATGCAAAGAAAAAAAACAACTGTCCATTATATTAAAATCAAAAAGGAAAAAAAAAACGCTTGACGTAAGAATTGTAAAAACTGTTTTGGCATGCCGAACGGATCATATATTAGGCCTAAGTAAATGTTTTTCCACAGTTTTTTCACATTTGTAGGTCATGGGGCAAGATATGTTTGATGTTTTTCCACAGGAGCCATGTGGTTAATGTAATGAGTAATAGAAGCTTATTCCCCACCAATTAGCATCAGATCAACTTGTTATGAGGTTTCTGACCTTGTGATATATTAAGTAAAAAAAGTACATATTAAGTAAAAAGTTACATCACATAGCTACAAATAGTGATTACTAGCCCTAAATTTTGCCTGTACTTTTTCCATTTTTAATTAGTGTGTCACAAACCACATAAGCAAGTCTGTCTGAGATTACTTAACGTGGATTGAGGCAAGCATGTGATGAATCACCCATGCAATTTTGCTGATTGAATACATTTGGCATTAGGGGAAAACTTGGTAAATTAGACTTTTTGCTACACTTTTTCTTTCATCCGTCTAATGTAGAAAAGTAGTTGTAATGAGGCAGCAGATTGCATCCTCCTTCTTACCTGATCAAAAGCCTGGTCAATGCTGTCCTGCAAGTGCTCTGTAAACCTGTCGTTCACATCAATTAGCTCCTGCACATTGCTAAAGACCACAGCCAGCTGTTCAGCCGTGAGCAGCCCTGCACTTTGCATGGGGCAGTAGAACTCTTCTTTGATGATGCGCAGGTCCTCCCCATAGCTGGACTCTGTGTTGAGAAACTCCAGAATGGCCTCTTTGCGCTCAGTCCGTAGCTTTGAACAGCGCTCGCACATTCCCTCTCCTTGAGTGCCCTCTCTGTCGCCGCAGTCCGGGCATGGCCGGTGGGCCTCCCAGGCCTTCAGAGACGCTGAGGGTCTCTTCCAACCTCGGGCCAGCCCAGGACCAATGCCACTGTCCACTCGCTCCACCTCTGCTCCAGCACTACGGCGGGCCCGCCGTGGCTCCTCCTCATCCTCGCGCTCGTCACTCAGCCCTACCACGCCGCTGTCCGCGCTCAGACTGCTGACCGTGCTCCAGCGGTGTTGGCCTGCGCGGTTCACACCCAGACCTCCACTCCGGCCTTCTCCTCTGGGCTCAGAGCGCCCCCTAACTATGCATGCACCTGACACAGACAACACAAAGAGGTAAAGAAACAGGAGGCATAAATATGATGCTCTGTTGGGCACAGTGTAGCAGGTAGGGGTGTGATTTACCATGTTTAACACCAGGAGGCAGTGGTCTAGGGTAATGGCTGATGCGGTACATCAGGTGTATTTCACAACATTTTTATTGTTTTATTACAGCAGAATTTCTCAGTTAGCCAGAAAACTTAAAAGAAGGGTTTGGCAAAAAAGCAAATTTGAATAAATTTCCCCTGACCACAAACACAGGCGATATGCTATTACATGTTTGTTGCTTTGCTGTAGTTTGCTTCTTTCATTTTGCACTGAAGATGTGGGACTAATGTAGCTAACAAGTAGTGAAAGTCTATCTCACCCTTTTTAGTACTGTTACTTTTATTACTAACATCTCTTGGCTGACTGACCACATTAAGGGGAAAACTGTGCAAATATAAACACAGTGATTTCAAAGAAAAAGTCAGAGACCACTGGTGGAAATGCTTCTATTTTTCATTACAATTTGTCATGTATCTGGCATGGACTCCACAACTTTCTGGCATACTGGACAGATTTTACACTGAGCTTAAATTATTCAATTTATTGACAAACCATACTTTGTGGAAAAAAACCTTGTGATTCTAATTTCCTCTGCTCTTATTATGTTCGTGTTAGTTATGCTTTCATCAGTTGTTGGTCTTGTTTTGGCAGGTAGACTTTGAAATAAAAAAAGTGAAAGCAAAATAAATGTCAGCATGTCTTAATATTAATATAAATATTCTATCATGACATTTGTGTAGTGTTACACCCCTATTATTATGTCTCACTACACTGAAAGAGAAAAAGAAATGCTGAGCTCAGACCAAGCAAAACCTGAATAATCACCTTTCTGTTACTGATATTAGCATTCAAAAGTTTGGAATCACTGTTTTCAAAAACATAAAAAACTATTTTGTTGCCAATGCATGTATAAAATTGCTATTATAATGCTAGAACTCTACAACTTTACAGGTACAGGACACTGTAAAAAATTAAGAAATTTTAGATGTATGCAGAACAATGAGAAGAGCTATAATGATGGAGAAAACTGTATAACACCAATAATTAATTTATAACAAAATTAATATCCAGTATTTCAAATGTGATAATTAAATTTCAGGGAAGACAATTACAGTATATCAGAACTTATTGGTATTCTCAACATAGATGAATTATTGAACAAGCAATTAAAAATTCCTTTTGGTGTTATATTTATAACTTTTAAATCTTATTATTGTATAAAATTACAAAAAAATATTGTCATAAAAAGTGACTCTAACCTTTTAAAAACTAGTGTACTGTATTTGATTTCACATGATTAAAGTTGTGCAAAAAGAGCTAATAACAGCTTAGTATGTTGTCTAGTCTGAGTGTGCCTGGGCTCCATAAATGACGTAACACCATTTACACTCATTTCAAGGCCTGGCTTTCAACTCTAAAACCTACAATATACAGTTTTAACAGTACTGACAGTGCTGGAAACATAAATGGGATTTTTAAGAGCGAGTGCAAAAAAAGAAAGGTACGCTGAGTATAGATGCAGTGGTTTGGAAAGTTAAAAGCTACCCTTAAGGCACTGACTGCAGTAGCAGCAGCATCACACTGATGAAGACAAAGTTAAAGCTAAGGGCAAGTCTTTGGAGTAACAGTGTGGCTAGAGCGATAGCCCTGGGTTGAGAGAAATGCTCACTGGTGTCGAATGTTGAGAAATGCTTTTTGCACACACGTGACTGCCTAAACTGGGCCATGTGAAGAGTACAGTCGTCAGTTCCATCAACAGTCTTGTAAGCTGTTATTCTTTAGAATGTGTTCATGCAGGTGCTCACTAATTTCATCCATTTACCTACTTCCTTCTGTACTCAATGATTATTTTGAAGCACAAGAAAAGGAATTTAAAAAAATTCTCCTGCTGTTGGCATTAAACCTGCATTTGAACAAATCCTGTAATTGAACAAATCTTTTGAAGAGGGAGAGTAAAGAGTTAAAGGGTTAGTTGCTAGTTTAACCCCTTAAAAACCCAGGCTTTTTACAACCCCAATTCCAAAAAAGTTGGGACGCTGTGTAAAATGTAAATAAATGTAAATAAAAACAGAATGTGATGATTTGCAAATCTCATAGACCCATATTTTATTTACAATAGAACATAGAACACATCAGATGTTGAAAGTGAGACATTTTACCATTTCATGAAAAATATTAACTCATTTAGAACTTGATGCCAACAACACATCTCAAAAAAGTTGGGACAGGGTCATGTCTACCATTGTGTCGCATCCCCTCTTCTTTTAACAACAGTCTGTAAACGTCTGGGAAGTGAGGAGACCAGCTGCTGGAGTTTTGGGAGAGGAATGTTGTCCCATTCTTGTCTGATGTAGGATTCTAGCTGCTCAACAGTCCTGGTTGTACTTCACCGGATTTTTTGTTTCATGATGCGCCAAATGTTTCCTATTGGTGAAAGGTCTAGACTACAGACAGGTCTGTTCAGCACCCGGACTCTTCTTCTGCAAAGCCGTGCTGTTGTGGTGGATGCTAGTGTAGTTTAGCATTGTCTTGCTGAAATGTGCAAGGCCTTCTTTGAAAAAGACACTGTCTGGATGGCAGCATATATTGCCAAAACCTGTATATTTTGTTCAGCATTAATGGTGCCTTCACAGATGTGCAAGTTACCCATACCATGTGCACTAATGCTCCACCATACCATCATGGATGCTAGCTTTTGAACTGTGTGCTAATAACAAGCTGGGAGGTGTGGAGGAGGCAGTGTCCATGATTTCCAAAAAGAATTTAAAATTTTGATTCATCGGACACTTTTCCACTTCACCTTAGTCCATCTTAAATGAGCTTGGGCCCAGAGATGTTGGCAGCATTTCTGGATACTGTTTATATACGATTTCTTCTTTGCATGATACAGCTTTAACTTACATTTGTGGATTGCACGGTGAACTGTGTTTACAGACAATGATTTCTGGAAGTGTTCCTGAGCCCATGCAGTGATTTCCAGTACAGAATCATGCCTGTTTTGAATGCAGTGCCATCTGAGGGCCCGATGATCACGAGCATCCGATATTGACCGTCAGCCTTGTCCCCTGCATACAGGGATTTCTCCAGATTCTCTGAATCTTTTGATGATATTATGTACTGTACATGGTGGGAAAAAGTCTTTGCAATTTTACATTGAGGAACATTTTTCTGAAATTGTTTCATCATTTTTAGATGCAGTTTTTCACAGGTTGGTGAACCTCTGCCTACCTTTGCTTCTGAGAGACTCTGCCTCTCTAAAATGCTCCTTTTATACCCAGTCATGTGAGTTAGTTGCAAATTACTCCTTCAGCTGTTTTTTATTAGTACTACTTACTTTTCCAGCCTTTTGTTGCCCCTGTCCCAACGTTTTTGAGATGCATTGTCACCATCAAGTTCTAAACGAGTTAATGTTTTTCATGAAATGGTAAAATGTCTCACTTTCAACATCTGATATGTGTTCTATGTTCTATTGTGAATAAAATATGGGTCCATGAGATTTGCAAATCATCACATTCTGTTTTTATTTACATTTATTTACATTTTACACAGCGTCCCAACTTTTTTGGAACTGGGGTTGTACATGCTAAGGGTTATTATTCAGAAAAGATTTCAGTGCAAAACAGCTGAGCTATTCTTGGGTTGTAGAAGCATTTAATAAAACTTTGGGCCCTCTGCTGAGCCCTTGCCGTTTAAGGGGTTAAGGAAGTCACTGTGGATAAAACTGTCTGCCAAATGTTTCATTTTCCTGGCCGAATGGCAAAACAGTAAGAATTGAAGTAAGTAAAACTGATCTGTTTCAGGTCTTACCACTTTCTCTGTCCCTCCGCTGACTGTGGAGGCGTGCGGCCGCAGCGATCTTCATCTCCAGCTGCTTGCGCTTGGCAGCATCAGCGGGCATGGGGTCGCTGTAGTGGGGCCGCAGACGACACTCGCGCTGGGCCCTCACCGATTCGGCCGGTTCATAGGCAGCGTCTGAGCTGGAGCGCCTGCATCCTGACCCAGAGATCTGAGGACAGGACAAAGGGCCATCAAGATGAGCTTTCAGGACATAGAGATAGCCAGGGGAAAGATCAGTCAATGAGTTAGTAGTGGTAAGATAAAGGAGAGAGGCTTGGAGATTTACAGGCACACTAAAAAGACGAAGAGCAGTCACAGGTGGAATCACAGGGTGTTTCAAGTATTGATCAGAGAAAATCCCTCTGAACCACAAGTGGTGTCCCATTACCAAAGCTTTTAATATGCTAACACAGAAGCTCTAAGTATACCATCTATTCTGTTTTAAATGCAGTGCCTACAGACAGAAGTTGGCTTTGGAAACCTTGCATGAGACAGTCCCAGAAAGCTGAAGAGATAGTTTCCACTTCCTCTAACTCTTTAGATATAGCAATAAACTAACAGAGCACCATAAAATATAAAAAACAAAGGTTAATCTCTATTTGTTGCCTGATCAATATGCCAATAGTGATGCTCATTTGACTAACAAGAAGGTTAAAAGGTCCCCTGATTGGTACGTCCTATGGCCTGTGGGTAGACATGGTCTTCACATTATAGATAACCTCTCACTTCTTCGAAACGTTGCATAATTCACTGACGCTGACCTCTGCAAGACGTGGATCAGCACTTTAGCAGCATCTGACACCGTACACCCACAATACATTTAATAGAGCAGCTACCGAGTAAGCTAGTCTGACGGGGATATGTTTTCAACAGCTATCAGTGCATCAGTAACCAGACACCTCGGGTTCAGGTATCGCACAGAATAATTAACCATGCAGCTGCTATTCTAATTAATTACAGACAGAACTGAAAAGACATAACAACCTTCCACATCAAGCCCGGTGCAGGTAACCCACAGCTGAGCTATGCATAACAACAGGTGAACACTCACAGATACCAACCGCCGAATCTCAATTCCTCCAGCCTAATACAAAATACATGACCTCAAACTACCAAAGGATGCAATCAATACTGCCTTCAACCTTCGATCTAGCAGTCGCCGGAGACTAAATGCATGCGGCGTAAAGAAGAACTGGCTGGCATTCCAAACAGAAAGAGAAGGAGATGGATCTGCGCATCCACACACGCTCGCAGCCTTGCATACAAATGGAAGGAAACATAGTTACCACGATAAAACCTGCCTCTAATCCTGCGCGGGAGTCATTCTGAGCCACGGCTCTGCGCACACCGCTGCATGCCTGCAGTTGTGTGTGCCTCGCAGCTGCCTGCAGAGCTTTATCTGGTGCATGCGTGACAGAGCTCTCTGCTGTGCCCGGCTACAGGCAGGGAGAGAGCGGGTCATGCTGAAAATGTAGAGAAATAAGAGGGGTATGTGTGCGTGTGAGTGAAGGGGGGGTTGCCTTACGCATTCTGCAGGCTCTTCTCCCTCTCGTCCTGTGGCTTCAGTGCAAGCCTCTTCTCCGCAGGCCGGCGTTGTCATGGCAACGCGGGCAGATTGACGGCCGGGCTGGGGACTGATGATGTCAGCGCCGTCGTGTGGGTCACGTGACAGCCTGATGGGGGCTTCGGCGCTGATGTCTGCACTGCAGCTGAAGGAGGACAAGGAGGGGAGAGAGTGTGAGGGAGAGAGACATAGACAGAGTGTGGGGGGGGGGCAATGAAAGATGAGAGAGGGAGAGAGAGGGGTCTATTAAAGTGGAATTCTAATTCTTCCCTCTGCCTCTCTGAGGCATGTGGTTGAACATCCCCCATGCTCTCTAGGGACGGCTAGGTTGGCAGCCCACTCTAGAGGGGCTTGGGGGTGGGGGTGGTGGGGGTGTTCAATTAGATGCTTCAGTTCACATTAACACCTGAACTTACAAGCTGTGTGGATATGTGACTGAAGCAGCTAAATGGATCTCTTAGATTTCTTTGTGTGTGTGTGTTTATCTGTGTAAGCATTTGTGTCAGTTTCTGCACACACATGCGCAGACTATGACATGAACCGGTCTCTGGGTTTAACCCTTTGAAGTCACAAAAGTGGTGATAAAAGCATGGTGTCATTTGATATGGATTATTTATCACTCATAGCTCATCGAAACAAGTAGAGAAATTCTATTAGAAGTACAGATTCGAAACTTTCAATAAATAGCACATTTTAGTAGCGTGTAGTATGCCCAAAAATGCTAATAGAATATCTATAAGTAAAACTGTGGTATTTATCAAGGTAACAGGTGCAGTATTTATCAATATATATAAATGTCTTGATAAATACCACACCTGTCAGAAATTTGTTTGTTTGTTGCATGGACAAGGCCTTGAGACTGCGGCTTCGTCTAATGAAGCTGACCAAGTCAGGGAGCTTCCCAGTGTGGTATGAAAGGAAACAGAAGGGCAGCAGTCAGACCGGGTGGACCATGTTAGGCTAATCCCAAAAAGGAAAAACATTCCTTTGTATCCGCTGCCTATAAAAAAAAAGTAAACTGCTTCAGATCCAATCAACTAGACAACGATAAGTGATCGCAGGACTGTTGTGTTTTCAAATTTTCATGACTCAGCCTTTCAGCTAAATGGGCTGATGATGCAGGGTTTGCAATGTTTGTACGTTGCATTATCTGTATTTATTTGTGGCACGGTGGTACAACAGTAATGAGAAAACTAATACCTGAGGAAGAATTTCCCACTACTACCCCTTTTGTATTCCTAAGTATAAGATAAGATATTTTATTTAAGCAATAGAATGTAAGAGGGAGTGTGTTATCGCAAAGTAATATCACAGTGATTTGGATGCTGTAGATAATCACAGCCATAATGTTACTGGCGATACCACACAGTGTTGAGCATTTTATTGCTCAATTTTATGTGGAAAAAAAAGTCAAGTGAAAAAGCCCTGAATATTCTATCAAACCTGCTTTAATTTCAGCTATTCTATTAGTAACCTTTTGCATTACAGAAACTGTTGTAATATTAGATTCAGCTCAGCTGTTTCTATCTTGTTTGTTTTCTGTTTGTTTCTGGTTAATTCCAGTTTGTTTATATGTCCTGCCATCACAGCTGCTGACTGAAAAGCTTGGTTAAGGGAAATGAAAGGTTCAGAAATTGATGTAGGCCTGCTGTCATACTTTTCTTTAGAATCTGATTAAATGTTATCTTACAGACATTAACTAATGTATTCATTTTCTTGTTTTTGTATGTGCTAAGCAGAAACTTAAAGGTGGAACCAGCAAGTCTGAAGAAAGACTGTTGATATTGGAACTTAACAGCTGCTTCATAAGCCCCACCCCCAAAATTTATGGACGCGCACTGTCAAGGCAAATTACACTGGACTTCAACTCTCAATGAAGCTGAAGTCAGCTTCCTATTTCTCAGATTCTTGTTTGAATTTTCCCGTTCCACCTTAAATGGTGCAGCAGTTGCATTCTGGCAGCTGAGGCTCATGCCTGATTTAAGAACTTCTTTCTCAATCTTTGTTCTTCAGATCTTCTCCTCTTTGGCTGTTTCTCAGCCATCACTCCTTCTCAACAATGCATGGAGCTCAGCACATAGCATGTGCCAGATATACAGGCTCCCCTCCCACTCCCCTTTCCCCTGTCCTGTGCACGAGCATGAACGCCCCCTGCTGCTGATTGGCTGGAATAGTACTGTGTTGTTCATTCCGAACCACTTTGTTTGCTTCCTATTTAGGGAGCCAGGGTCATGTACAAACACCGGATTTATTTCTAGCACGCACGTACAATGACAGCTAGCTGACTGTGATGGCATATTTGCTGAATTTGACAAAAAGTGTACTTGATTAAAATCGTTTACTGCACCTTTAATAATGATTATCTACAGGTAAAGTGACTTGTTAATTAGCAATGAATGCTCAGCCAAATGATACTGTAATGTGGGATAGAGTGCTTCTCATTCATACTGTGTGGTTGAAATTAACCAGTGTATATGTATATTGAAACTGACTAAAAGTTATTGTTGTGCATACAGTCTTATTTAGCAGAAAAAAAATCCTGCACTTTCTTTTTGTTTTCTTTTTGCCATGTTTTTGTCCATTTTTGACATTTAAACAAACAAAAAAAGTCAAAAGTTTATACTCAAACCAGTCAAATGCCTGTACATATAATTTCTTAAAAACTTTGTAATTAATCACTTGATTATGTAACTACATTTAAATGGCACAGCAAAACAATAAGATCTAATAACAAGTAACTTCTAAGAGTTAAAGCAACTGATATTAATCCCTGGTGAGCCAAATTAACAGCAGCAGATGTAATGTTAATGCACGTTACATTATTAACTTTCATTTTATATTTATATTCCATGTTCACCCTTCATCCCTCTCTTACTCCTGACATGCATGTTATCTTCTCATGTTAGTCTCTGTAGTAAAAGATATGTCTCTTGATTCATTTGTTATGAGTTTCTCTTTAATTGCATCTCCCTCACCTCTCGCTCTTCTAGTCTGATGCCTCAGGATCTTTCTTGTCAATGCAGAACATGTCACAAAAAAGCATTTGCATAGATATGATCCTGGAATACTGCTGACAGCAGAACCCTGAGCGCCACTGAACCACTATGCATGCACTGAATAGAAGTTAAAAGATGAAAAAAAAAATGTGAATAGCGCTAGAATCTGTTTTATGTCAGCACTGACAACACAGAAATATCCTATGTGTATTTGTCACTACTGTAAAAATACACTCTTAGCAAAAAAAGGTTCTATATAGTACTGCAAAAAAGGGTTCTTTGTCTTGTAACAATAGCAGAAGTCTTTTTGGTGCTATATAGAACCATTTTTAAAAGAGCTCTTTAAAGAAATATATACAACTGGTTTTCCATTATAGAGACTTAACATTTGACTATGCAAAAAACCTTTGTAATCAAATGGTTCTTTGAGTGTTTCAGGGTTCTGTATATAGAAGCACCGCTTCTACTAAAGAACCTTTAAAGAACCATTTTTTATGAGTGAAGAGAGCAGCTTGCAGTGGACACAGGGAAATGGTTCTGGGATAGTATATAAGATAATATATGAGCTCTTCTTTCTCCTATCAGAGACACAGTAAATGAAAATGTCCCTGTGATTGCCTTGTAAAGAGAACTGATCTGGTTTGCTCTGTACATATTCCTTCCTTACTTGATTCTTTATGCAATTCCTTAGTCTATCAATTACTTGTAGCACCCTGAAGCCATTTCCCTAAGGTACATTAGAAAACATGGCATTTCTGTATTACACTCAGAACAAAACGAAATGAAGCAAAATATACATGAAATACAATGCGGAGAACATCTGCTGTGTGAAAAATACATGCTTTAACATTAATCCAATTTGTTATAATTTCAGATATTTCATGCGCTGGTGCAAATTCATTAAATACATTACTAATGTTACAGTGAAAATGGCTTCATGGCAGTTCCTGGCAGAGACCGAAAGTGCATCAGCCCTAGCACTGTGAATGTCCTCATTCCTCACATTCCCTCTTTGACTTCACTACTCGCTTTAATCCCTGCCTCTGGTAATAAAAACAGAGAGGACCATGTAGCTTACATTTACTACTCTGGTATCTAGTCTGTTATCTCTAATGTACATGGTGAATCAGAGGCTAGAAGACTCCTGGTCAGCCAAACAGCCATATCCTAATGGACTCTTCATTCTCTGTTTCTACCTTTGTCCTGGACTGAACTCTAAGGCTGCTAATCACCAGACAATATGCCTGTGACAGCTGCCGGTGGGTGCCATAATGCTTCAGGGGCAAATCCAGACGCTCCTGCCATCTGCAGAGACGTGTTACCCTGGCACTAGAGAAGGTGATAGAGAAGCAGTGTTCACACTCCCTTATGGTCTGTCTGGACCACACCAAAGTGCCAAAATAAATCAATAGGAACAAGGCCGCTAATGCCGCAATAATGTCTTAGAGCTCGCTATAGCATCCAATTTCATGGCTGATAAGCAATACTGGTCCTCAAAAAAAACATTTTTTATGGCCACTGATTTTGCTAAGAACACGTTTTGCTGATTTAAAATGCATACTGTGCTCATATCAAAGAAAATGATAAAACGAGAAGTATAAAAAGAGTCTGATTCAGTAAAATTGTCTCTTTGTTACATTGATTTTGACTTAAATTGCCAAACTGGTTTCACATTTTAATTTTAAAAAAGCCTTACACCTGTTACCGTTTCAGTTGGAAAATGGTTAGCTAATTTTTAGGGTAACACAAATAGCAGAATGCTTAACCTTTAGCCAGTTTCCACTGTAGTCTATGTAGTTACTGAATATTAAGCCTTAGGTTGTAACAGGAATTTAAGAGGTTATTGAAAGGGTTGCACAATCAGAATCATATTGAAATCAGCAGATCTTTGATAAAAAAAAAATATATCAGAATCAGAAAGATTTTTAGACTTGACTGATATTTTAAACTATGTATTTTATTAAAGTTATTGCATTTCTAATCCTAAAAAATAAATGTTTTATTTTTCACAGTTTCTATAGTTTATAAATGTGTATTGTATCAGTATCAGCATCAGCAGATATGCAGACAAAAATAGTGGATATTGGCATTAGCCCATATCAGCACCACATTTGTGTTCATAAGTAGAAGAGGAGATATTGTATTAATAGTTTTATATTGATGAAAAGTTATTGTGGTTTATGCAGTTCTGTTTTGTAGAAAAAAAATGCTTGTGTTTTTATTTCATTTCTTGATATTGAAAAGTATGTGCAGGCACAATCCTGTCAATACAGAATATAAACTGTATGCAGATTTCTTTATTCCATAGCTTATGATATTAACTACACATAACTAAGTCATTAAACTATCCATGACTAATTATGTAATTATATAATTAATATATAATTACACTTGAATAGTACAGCAAAACAAATGTAATAACTTCAAGGGGTTAAACTAGTAAGTTCTGAAGCATGGGCATAGTAAAACAGATGCTAATTTGCATGTAGCATACTGACATACACTTGGTTTTATCCTCTCACCTCTTCTTTATGAGGTCCAGGGCTGATCCGAGGAGGTCCTCCTTCATCTTGTAGATCTTGGCTCCATAGCTAGAGAGCTCTGTCCCATCCAAGAGGATAGCAGGACAGCAGCTGGATGCCCCCTCGGCATTCTCCCTGCGGGGAGGGAAAGGGAGAAGAGCTACATCTGTAGCCCCAGTGCCCCCAACTTCATGGACTTGTGCTTCTCCTGTGGCAGCAGCAGTCTGGGAGTGCAGAGGAGAGCGAGGCACAGGTCCTGTACAGATGGGTCCATCTGTGGTCTCTGCAGAGGAACTGCCCTCTGTCAGCTCCTGGCCACTGGAACCACATAGCTGGGCTGCATCTTCACTGTTAATACAGCTTTTCCCAATTTCTGCCTCAGTTTTAGCCTCTGTCTGTAATTTGTCTTTAACCTCCTGTGCTTTTTCCATACTGTTTCCCTCCCTGCACTGGCCTTCAGACCCACCTCCCCCACCAGGTGGCGCTGTGAAAAGGCCCAGACCCTGACCGCTCTCTCTTTGCCTCATTCTCTTGAACTCCTCGAACGTTGGGATATGTAGGCGGCCCATTGGAGGCCTTTTCCTCTCAGGAGTGGACTGGGCAATGCTGTTGACTGGTTCAGAGGTGTAAGACTTGCTAAGGTTAGCTTCCTGACCTGAGCTGAGGGCCAGGTTAGGCGTGCTCCTCTGCCTGCGCAGCTGCAGTCGCCGCAGAACTTCTTGCTTGATCTCTTCGGGGCTGGTGATGCGGCGAGCGCATAGCTCTCTCTGGCTGTTTGCCAGCCCTGGGGAGGAGGGCCGACCATGGCGCAAAGCCATTTCCGGATCATAAAAAGAATGGGAGATATTGTTGGGCAAAGGCTGAGGCCGAAGGGGCTTGTGGGGCTCATTGACACGAGCGCTCTGGAGGCGGAGCTTATCTCTCAGGCCTTTCCGGCCATTTCCGTTTACACCCCAGTCCTCCACAGCAGGGAATAGCCACTGAGGGAACAGAGGCAAGTCCTTTCTTGCCAGGTTACGGCGTGGGTAGAAAGCCATGCTCTCAGGGGTGTGCATTACACTGTAGACATGTGATCCCTGAGGAGGCCCATCGTACCACTGACTGCTGGAGGTACAGTGGAGAATGAACTCACTTTCTACACTCCTATAAGTGTAAACGCCAGGGTCAGGTGCTGAACTCCAGTGCAGGTTCTCCAGGCTGCGGTACATTCGGTTGCTGCCGGAATTCATGCAGCCCTGAGAGAAGAGCCCCACTCGAGATTCGGGCTGTTTGAGTGGTTGCACACTGCTGGTGGAGCAGTACCTGAGCCCCAGGTTTCCAAGAAGACTGTTGTTGTTGTTGCATCCTGGAGAACAGCGACCTGCCGGAGCGGCCACGTTGGAGAAGGAAGGTGTGCTGTGGTGGGGGAACCCAGACAACGGGGGGCCAAGGACAGATAGAGGGTCTGGCAGCTCACTGAGGCAGGGCTCCAGGTCCATGCTGCAGCCAGCAGGGGAGCCTGCTGGGGAGTACTCACATGGCAGAGCCTTCACGTCCGGCATGACCACAGCATGAGCCCGCATCCATCAGAGAGAGGCACGGGGATCACAGCCCTGCGGAAATCAGAACACACAGTCGGGGCATTGGCATGACGACAACACACTGCACTCTCATACTGATATTCACAGCCCATCTAAACATCAATTATTCACCGCTGCCAAATGTTCAAGATGCATTGCTATGAAGACTATGAAGTTATAAAGGATACAATATAAAGTGGACTTTTTTTCCTTAAGTCCACTTATAATGCTTGTGTGGGTTTATGTACCAAAAGCAGTCATAATTCATTTTTAAATTACCACTTACATGACAGCCTCTTTATCTCTTAGAAGTAAACAGGCTGTTTTTGTTACTGTGGCTTTAATGAGGAATTTCAAAATATCTACATGATTCAATCATTGAGATGTAAACAAAATTGTTCAGAGTGGTTTGATGTGAAATGTGGTATTCTAGAGAAGCTGTCCAAGTCAGAATTGTTTACAGCAGTGATGATAGGAACCAGACGTCTGAAGAGTTTAATTCTTCTACAAGCTACCTTACTGAAAGTTATTACATTAAATGGTATATATTGCCTGATACCTGAAACTTTTTTAACAATAGTTTTAAGATTGAAATTTTTTGGCTAAAAACTTTTACAAATGAAGTCATGGTGGAGAGGTACACGCAGGGCGCTGTGAGGCAAAACAGCATCCAAATTAAACTTATTTTTCAGATTTACCACTATTTCACCACCAATTACCAGCAAACTATTCTGAGTGACTTTGTTTCCATCTAAGTGATTGAATTATGCAGGTAGGTAAAAATAGGTGGCATTCTCCCTTATGATTGATACATGTAAATGACCTCTGTTCTGACTGGCTGCCCTGTGTTTTGCTTCATTCATAAAGCAGTCCAGGCTGAAACGCTCCTTATAACTTCTGCTTATATATTCTACACGGCATAAATTTCCACTGTTATGCCGATGACACTCAGTTATACTTAGCAAGCAAACCAGATGATAAAATTAAACTTAGCAAGATTGAAGACTGTATAAAAGACGTAAAAGACTGGATGTCGAGTAACTTTCTCCTTCCTAACTCCGATGAAACAGAGGTTTTTGGTCCAAAAGCGGCTAGAAACAGTCTAATTTAACACTTAAACTTAACAATTTCCCAGTTGCATCAAGCTCATCTGTAAAAAGCCTTGGTGTTATTATAGACCCTGATCTGTCCTTCGACGCACACATAACTAATATTACTAGAACAGCCTTCCTGCATCTCCGCAATATTGCTAAATTGAGAAATGCATTATCTCTACAGGATGCAGAAAAGTTAGTTCATGCATTTATTACTTCAAGGCTAGATTACTGTAATGCCCTGCTGTCTGGATGTCCCAGCAAAAGCCTTAACAAGCTTCAGCTAGTCCAGAACGCTGCAGCCAGAGTTCTTACTAGAACCCGAAAGTTTGACCATATCAGCCCAGTTTTATCAACCTTACACTGGTCACCAGTTAAATTTCGCATTGATTATAAAATTCTCTTACTGACTTACAAAGCTCTAAACGGACTCGCCCCTCAGTACCTGAGTGAACTTCTCTCTCACTATGAACCATCACGCCTACTTAGATCACAAGGTACTGGCTTACTATTAGTACCTAGAAATAATAAAGTTACGTCAGGGGGGAGAGCTTTCTCATACAAAGCCCCCCAGCTTTGGAATAATCTTCCTGTTAATGTTCAGGACTCAGACACAGCCTCAGTCTTTAAGTCTAGGCTAAAAACTTACTTGTATAGTCAAGCCCTTGGTAATTAGTTTTCCCTGTCAGTTCTATACCTGCCAGAGTCTCTGCTGCTCTGCTAACACTTTAATCTGTAATCAGTTGCCCATTACAGAACTAACACCCATTACAGAACTGACTCTCAGTTCTGTCAGTCACCCATTACAGAACTGACTCTCTGTGTGTTTTTTCCTTTCTTTCTTTCCTTTGCTGAGTTGAACAGCTGCTCATCCTGTTCATTCTGATGCTGCTACCTCTCTGCCTTGATCGAGTGCCACTGCTCGCCAGCCCTCTGGACCGGCTTGACCACGATTGAGCTTCTTGCTGTGCAACGCCGTGCAAACCTCACCCTCACAATCCCGACCCCACTGATGCTGCTGTTGCATAAACTAAACTAATCAAATTAATCATCTGAACTAATCAATCATTTAAACTAATCAAATTAATCAATCACCCATTACAGAACTGACTCTCTGTGTGTTTTTCCTTTCTTTCTTTCCTTTGCCGAGTTGAACAGCTGCCCATCCTGTGCGTCTGATGCTGCTGCCTCTTCTGCCTTGATTGGGTGCCACTGCTCAACAGCCCTCTGGACCGGATTGACCACCATCAAGCTCCATGCTGTACTATTCCGTGCAAACCTCACCCTCACAACCTGACCCCACTGATGCTGCCGCCGCCGCTGCTGCATGAACTAAACTAATCAAATGAATCATTGCTCCACCTGTTTTCCCTGTTTTTGTACTAACAATGTTTACTATCTGGTGTTGACCAGAGGAGGTTGCGTTCCCCTTCTGAGTGTTGGTTCCTCTCAAGGTTTCTTCCTGTTTCCTAGGGAGTTTTTCCTTGCCACTGTCGCCACTGGCTTGCTCATGGGGGCCTGGTCCCGGATTTCTTTCTGTAATGCTGATTTCCTTGTAAAGCTGCTTTGTGACAACACCTGTTGTAAAACGCGCTATATAAATAAACTTTACTTACCTACTTACTTACTACATGAATGGGCAGGAATGCTGTAGGCTGAAGAGGCAGATATATATAAATGGCTTCACAAAAACAATGGATTCGATGTTTTGAATTAAGCTGTTTTTGCAGCTTAGTTTCCATACATGGACTGTATCGACTGGGAAGTAAGCAATGTTAACAGTGTTTACATACTGAACAAAACTACATAAAACTTCTTTAAAATCCTTGTGTGTGAAATGTTGCAAATACTCCCTACATTCAGTCATTACAAAATAACTGAAACCCTGAGCAAGTGAAGAATCTATGATATGACCAATATGACTCTATCAGGGACTCACAAGGTCAAATAACCTGCAGTGGGCACAGTAGCCCTGTAGCGTGATTCAAAACTAGAAAAATCACAATAATATTCTTAAAATGGCTCTGCTGTACGGGTTCAAATAGCAGATTATTTCCTCTGCTCTGGTCACTAGAAAATTAAGGGGACATCAGACTCTGATGTGAAGAGACAGTAATGAAAAAAGCCACTTTACACTCGCTGTTGGCAGTCATTTCACTAATGGGACGAGAGTAATGGATTAACCAGAAGAGCACTGCTTACTTCTTCTTTCAGTAATTAGTACAGATCGCCTGGCTCCAGGCCAGGCTAATATCCATCCATAATCTTAGGCAGATATCAGGGTCAAACGTAGGAGTTATGAAACAGCACGGCTGAATCATAGTGGTACATATGGTAATGTGATAAGATGAGATTTGCATTAACGATAATTCATCTCTCTTATAACGCCTGTCAGAGAATAACAACAGTCGTGTGATTGTAGATAAAAAGCACTGAAAACATCAATGACACTTTGAATGATAATAAAGGGGAAAGCCTGACATGTTCAGGTGTTCAATTAAAATTCGTAGCCAGTTTAATTAAACAGGATCCACTGAAGCCCCTTTGGCTAAACCAGGCTAATTTAAATGCTACGTTTGAAAGATAAAGAGTACAAAAAGGGAATCTTCTTTGTTTATCTCTGAATCTTAATGTGCTGCATTTATATTGGTGGAAGTGCGGCTGCCACTCACTCAGTACAGTTACATGCCTCAATAGCAGTGCCAGTGTTTTCTTTAGCTGGGTGCAAAAACTGCTGACGTGTGAATGAACACACTTGATTAGCATAAGGAGCTTGGTTAATGAGCATGTGGAGCACAGCTCAGTTCACACAGGGCTCACCTCTCTGTCTCTGTTTGTGACAGACAGGCAGATGCTCTTTTTCACTTCTGAACTGAATTACTGTACACACTAACACGCTGAGAAAACTACTCACTGAGTTATTACAGGCTTTTACAAGGGCTCCATACTGTCACTGTCAAATCTCTCTGACTTACACTGAAAGAAAGAGAGATTCCAGAAACAGTACACAATATATCAAACAACAGCAAAGAATTAATGCGGCACCAGTATACAACATTACTGTGTTTGTTTAATCCCCTTAAATGGCCAGCCAGGACCCACTGGCAAGTCCAAAGGTTTGTTACACACTATAGCTTAGGAATAGACCACACAGTCCAGGTAGCAGTCCCAGCAGTGTCTCACAACCTGTTTTGGTGATCGTTGTCAGCTAAAATTCTTGATTTTGCAGCAGCTTTTCTCAATATTCGCTTTGATATTTGCAATATGTTCATTTTGGGGGGTTATAATAAAACTCTATTGTAATGGTTGTAAGCCTGATACATTTCTTCAAGGCAGCTTAGTTCATTCCTGATGAAAACAAATGAGAAAAAAATATATTTAAATTCTCAGAGTTTTTAATATTTTACATTAACGTGATATAATGAAACTACCTGTATACAAAAAAACAACATACGTATACAGTCAAATATTCTTAAAATCTGCATGGTACAACTTTGTGTGCTAACAGCTCCCCTTCTGGAGAAACTTCAGGCTACTAAACATGCATGAGTGAGCTCCAAAGCCATGCCTGTTTTGTGTCGTATTGTATTTTCATAACAACACATAATAGTTAAAACTCATCTGAACCATCTGGACTCTTGTACAAAAATGTTCCTGCTGCACTCTGGGAAGCCCTTAGAAGACAGGGGAAGATTTGCTGTACCGTAGCCTAATAGCTTTTTGAGGTCCTGTAAAAAGGATGTTTTTAAGGTAAAGGGAAATGGCATGGTTAAAAATCGTAAGGTAAAAAATCGTTTTTAAGGTAAAGGGAAATAGCATGTACATATTATATTCACATTATTTAGCAAAACAGTTCCCAACAAAGCAATTCTCACCTTTGAAACATCACCATCAGGTTATTTGTCAATCATCGCCAATATCCAATTATATCAACCTATCGCCCAAGACTGCTCCTGAACTAGTCTCTGAACAAAGCATCTAATGTTCTTTGCTACAATAAGCACAGTGATTATGGATATGTCCATAAAAGTGCAGAAAGTCTAGTTAAAGTATCATTTTATGTTGTATGCCACACAAAATAATATTTCACATTACTTTCTTGTAAATATTCAGGAATTGGTTGGCCAATCTTTAAAAAACGTATTTGCAAATGTTATCATTGCTGTATTATCCATGGCTTCCTAGCATGTAGCATAAAAGATGCACACTTAATTGTAAAAGCACTTATAGTACTTGCACATTTAAATAATGTGGTCATTTGACAAAAATTGCAAACCCTTGATATTGAATAATAAGCCTCAGGATGTAATAAAGCTAGATTTGAAGGTATTTAAACTGAACAACTCTCACTGCAAGCTGAATGTGATATGCTTTTGTTGTGTAGCTCATGCAGTTGTACTACAGGGCTGGTGAATGTGTGTACTGGATGTGCACGCCACTCTGTTGATTGGATGTGGAAGAGAATCCCCTGAGGATCGCTGTAGGTTAGCCATATAAACTTACCCCATTTTAACAAAGTCTCTGTGTGCACCTTTACTCTGCTTGCTTCAGGCTAAAATTCACTGGCTCCCCCAAAATGCTTCTTTGTCTGCTGATCTGTCCTTCAAGGTAGACTCAGCATCCACAAATCCAGACAGCTGAAGCCCTGAGCATAAACATCTGCAAAAGAGGAGACAGGTCCCTCAGTAGATGCCTCTAAAAATAATACGATCAATTGGCAAAACTCTCTCTTGCATGCTGTTGGTTTCTTACACTTAAGACAATACTGATAAATAATAATAATATTAATGAATAATAAAAATTAACACTGAATTGAACAGACCTCACTAGAATTTATTTGCACATAAACAAAGTCTGTTAGACAAACACAGTGAGCATTGGAGGTCTGGGCAGATAGCAGACCTCCAATGTTATAATATTGATCATTCAAATCAAAACGATTGTAAATAAATAGCCTCTATATTGCAATTTGGAAGCACTCACAAACATCAATAAAACAAAACAGCACACCACAGTTGCCAACAGCAACCCAAACAGCTAAAGTCTAGGGTAATAAATGTGTCATACACCAACAATCCAGAGCTGCTGCCATCAACCTCCAGTATGCATGGCATGGCCTATCTCTCATTTTATTCCCAGTGTACTTGATATCTGCCACATTATGTCTGCAAAGCAGATTCTAAAAAATGTGATGGTGGCTTCTGAATGCATGTCATTTTTCTCATTCTCTAGAGAGGCAGCTCCTGACCTTAGTCAGAAAGCTGGCTTTAGTCAACAAAGATATTCAGTTTCTTCTTCTACAATTTTTCCCTTTCTCTCATCCCAGGCAGGACAGGCAGGGATATGACAGAGTCATTGTCTGGTGTTTGATAAGTGTCTGACTGCAATAAACGGTTCTGTTGCCCAGTGAGACAAATCTGAGTGACAGAACACCTGAGGATCTTCACTGCTACCCTGAGTATGGGGGATAGTATTTTAGGCCACACTGTGATCAACTACTGACAGTTCCAGCTCTTCAAAAACACCTTGGTGTACATTATGCAAGACCACACTACTAGAGATAGCATCAATCCAATATTGGTATCAGGCAATTCCAGAAGAAAATGCTAGATTGGATATAAACAGCAAAAAAGATCAAATCTGATCCACATAAGGAAGAAATCTAGGCTGAAACTACAGAACTGCTCATTATGCAATAACAGAAAAATGAAGAAAACTGGTCACTATGTGATCAATAGTAACCACATGTAGTATGTATTCTATTAGGTATTCTATTATTATATCATTTTACATGTTCTGTAGTGTAGTTGTTATAATTAAAAATAGCTCATTTTTAAATAAACAATAAAAAATAAAAATAAGATCCTTAACTGCATCAGTTTATTTTTCAAGTTTCAGCATTGTATCAGCATTGGAAGAGAAACAGTGGTATCATGCTATCTTTACACACTACTCAATATCTCGTCTTTATGCCAACAGATATGCATATACCATACAAACCAAAGCCCAGTAACAGTCTTATGTCACTGAGCCACGTCATTTTAGGCTGCTGACGTCATTTGCATGGCTCTGTAAATGCTGAACAGAGATTAAATCTCCCTATAATCTTTTCCCTGCACCCATTCTCTAAAGTAGTGTCTTAAGCAATTCATACTGCCAGGAGAATGTGTAGATGTGTCCCTAAGCTTTAATATCTGTCTAATATTCAACAAACTAGCTAATCTCATCTTGCTGCCAGGGCTTGTGTATTTAAACTTCAGCCAACATTAGGAGTATGACAATGTGTGGGCGTGACACTATGATATCGCAGTGCAAAACTGTGACAATGCACCACGTGGAGAATGTGCAGTCTATTCATTACACCATCTAAAGCAATTGCATTTTTTGAGCTCCCAAGTTTGCAAACAACCACCAACAACCCCATCCAGCTTGTTCATTAGAAATCTGGATTGTCATAGAAGTGCTATGTCATAATTTTCCTTCATTCAAATTTTGTTCAAAATATCATGAATATTGAATCGAGAACCCAGTATCAAAAATCGAATCGAATCACGAGCCGAGTGTCGTTACACCCCTACAACCTAGGGCTGTGCAATATATAAAATGATTGTGATAAATCACGTTACAATAGAACACAATATACTCTTCTGAATATATCATGCTTCTCGCCTGTAGAACACTGATCAACTGTATGTTTCATTATAAAGAGAGCAAAATTAGTCCTGTTTAACTGGATTTATTGCAACACAGTATGTCAAATATTGAATAAAAATCATTGTATTCACAGTTTTTCACAGTAATTTTTAATGTAGCACTAGTTGTTCTTTTGACTCTGTTCCAACTGATCAGATGTCTAAAAAAATGAGCATCATGATATATTGTGTATAGTGAAAATTTCTTGAAATATTGAAATACTATATTTATGCCATATTACCTACCTCTACTACAGTCGTAGCAGAAAAGGGTTCTATACAGTACCAAAAAACGTTCTTCAACTTGTAATAACAGTGCAACCCTTTTTGGTGCTATAAAAGAACAAATGTTTAAAAGGGTTCTTTAAAGAACCACATTGTCGACATCAGAACAAAACCTTGTATGTCCATTTTTGTTGGTTTTTTCGTGTTAAAATGCATGTGTTAAATTTTCTTGATGAAGAGTGAGAGTAAGAATTACTTAGAGGAACATATTGTTCCATTGACTTCTATTCAAAGCTAAGAACATTTTTCCTTCTCCTGTAAAGTTACCGTTTTGAAGATAAAAGTATTTAACAGGTTCTCGATCATGGCGAAAAACCATTTAGCCATGCAAAGAACCATTTAAGCACTCAAATGGTTCTTTGAGTTGTCATGGATCTATATATCACGACTGCCTTTACTAAAGAATGCTTGAAGAACCTCTTTTTGTGAGTGTGTGAGTGAGAGAGAGAGAGAGAGAGAGGGAGGGAGAGAGGGAGGGAGAGAGAGAGAGAGCCTAAAAGTGACAGGCAGTCAGACAGAAACAGATGCAATAAAAACACTCATTCTGAAAACCTTTTACAAAGCCAGTAATGATGTGATAATGATATGGCACCTCATTATAACACCTCTGCTAGTACTTTTAAAGACCCCCATATGAAGATTATACATGAAAAACATCTATCCTCCAACGCACACACACCAAACTGTAATAGGATGTACCTCTCTGTTCTGCACACTACATGCAGTTTCTATTCCTTCCCTAAAAATATATAATTATTTTTAAGACAAATTCACACTATTTTGTCATCAGGTCAGGAAGTACCTTCAAAAAGAAAGAAAAGACCTTTCCCCTGGCTCACGAAAAGCCATGATCTTTTATTTTGATTTCCAAACCTGCCTCACATTGTGCCTCTAAAATGAATTGAGGGATCTGTAACAGCTTCCCCTAGGGGTCATTTAAGCCAAAGCAGTGTGCACGTACCACACCAGTGATTTTGTTGAGGATGTTTCACTGAAAGTGGACCAAACCCAAGGGTGGTCAGAAGCTTTCTCGTCTCAGTAATTCAGTGCATGGATGGAGCTTCACAGCAGGGCTGTACTGCTGAGGTGAGGTGAGATGTGACTCACATCAAAGTCCATGATAGGCAATGCTCTCTCAAAGGCACAGTATAACACACAGTGATGAGTATGGGGTTGACAGGGAATGGAAAATCACTCTCAGCTCTAAATCTCCAGTCACTTTTCCATTGAAACACCCAGCAGGTGGCCAAACTACATGACTACCATCACTTCCTACCACTTCAGGCAGTTGCTTTCTGGGAAAGCCAGAAATGTTCGCCTCCATGAAAAGCAGCAGTTTCTTAGAACTATCCCTGTGGGGCTAGGAGAAAATATACAAAAACATAAAGGAAATAATAGTGGAAGACACTGAGTCATGCCTGGACTTAGCTCTACAATTGTGATATGAGTCCTCTCAGTCCAAATGATGAGTTGAGCCATAGTTCTTATGAGGACAACTTATGTGTTTTGCTACCTCTGAGTGGCCATGCCGGTATTAGTACCTACTGGCCACATCGCCTAATCCTCATGATTCCATCTCTTCCCTGAAACACCAAATATACTGGAAAGGTCTGGAAAATCCAGCCAATTACTGATCATTTGGGTTCTTATCTCAAGTATCTTGAGGTAAGTAGACTAAAGGCCATCTTTAACAGTCACATTATGCTTATTAGTTTTGCCATAAAATGGACCAGCACTGCTAGAAATGCTAAACGGTCCATCAGCAGCTTTGAGGTCACGGACAACAGCTCTGAAAGAAGAAAAAAAAAAAACAGCTAGGAAAAAACTCAAAGTACTAAATCTGTCAAGAAGAGTACAAATCAATAGCAAGTACAGTGAAACCCGTTATCTGGATTTCAGGGGTTAAGATAAGTGTTTCCAAGACAGAGCTATTGAGATGGGGGAGTTAGAGAGTCAGAGAGAGCGAGCTGCATAAGTAGATGCAGAGCTCTTAATGACCTGGAGAACCATTCAATTCCCTGTCAGTGCAGCACGGGAGCATTCTGACAACAGCAGGCGAGACCGAGGCAACTGCAGTGCATCAAAGCATGAGGAGACAGCCTCGACACATTCACGAGAGGAGTGAAGCCTCAAGTTCTTTTCAGGGGCAAATCTGGGTTAACCAGCATTCCACCATGGCAGACAAACGGTGCACTGCTCATGTGCAGAGTGGTGTACGGCAATTAGTGCTGGGTGGTATCAACCAAAGTCAGTATCACAATATTTCTGAAATATGTCATAGTTTCAGATGATTTTTTTAGTTTGCATTAATGAAGTTTATGAACCAGTGCTTCCTGGATGCTGGTAATGTCAAAATATCATCCCTCTCACTATAAAACACCAACTCTTATTCTTCTTTTACACAACAGGGACCCTTAGACTGTATTTTGAACATCAACCAGATAGACCCAATATTGGAAACAGTGGCATTTGTCTCATCCAAAAATTATACCAGAAGGGAAAAAAATAATAATATTTTGAAAGCGAGACCGAGGGTAGCGCATTTTGCCAGCAAATCAGTCAACCTCCCCATTTCATGCCATGTAATGTGGCTCTGGGCCTTCTTTGAGGTGCCCGTGTTGAGGTGCCTGTTCAAAAAATGAAAAAAAAAAAAAAAGTACTATGTTGAATATTCTCCAATTA